TTAAAATTATCTAATCTAGACGTCTATTTTAGTAGAGTAAGCTAGAATCTATAGTAAAGTTATTCTATAGTAGAAAGAATATAGCAATTATAGAGATATTTAACTACTAGATATTTATTTATATTATTAATATAGGCTATAAGTAAATCCTAGGCCTTTACTTAGTAGTTAATAAGAGAAAAAGTAAGTAGATATTTAAAGCCTATATTAAGTATATAAAGAAAGAATATAAAGATCTTCTATAAATAAAAAGAATATTAGAGGTTATAGTTCTAGTATAGCTTAAGTAGGTAGAGTAGTATATTTCTTTTATATTCTTATATTACCTAGATTCTAGTAAAGCGTATTATCTTAATTATAGTGTTTTGCTATATTTAAACTATGCTCTTAATACTAGTGTAAAAATAGTATACTTTTAGTTCTTAGGTTAAATATAGAGTAGCTATATATTTTAGTATTTAACTCTATTATATCTCTTATATAGCGTACTAAAACTTAGTATATTCTAGCTATAAATTTATCTAGATAGCTAGAGTTTCTAAGATAATAGTATATTTTATTACTTAATATAACTTAGTAAGGTATACTGTGCCTTAAAACTATACTCTAAGTTACTCTAGTATAGAGTTTAGCTCTAAGTTTATATTAGTTATCTCTAGTAAGTCTAGTGCTACTATCTAGGTTTTATTTTACTTATTACTAGAGAATAAACTTATACTATTACTGCGTAGTAGCTCTACTGCGTTATCTTCTACCTAAAATACTAGGTACACTTTAAAGTATAAAGCAGTATTACTACCTTTTAGAACTAAAGTAAAGAAATACTAGCTTATAATAGTAGTATAAGGTTTTTAAGTACTATTTACGTTTACGCTATATAAACTATAAATATATATCTTTATATTCTTTTCTATACTATCTTCTCTAAAGATAAAAGTAGCTAGTATATTAAATAAAGTTTCTATAAACTCTAAGTTCTAGAATAGCCTTAATAGATATTAGTAGAAGCTTAAACTCTACGTATACTTTCTTTAAGGTTTATAAGATATATACTAGTAGGCTTATAATAGCTTCTTATATATTCTTTTATTCTCTAGAAGTTATCTATACTTAATAGAAGTTAGTAAAGTAGGCTAGGACTTTATCTAGTAATACTATATATTAGTAAAAGATATAGATAATAATTCTATATTAGATATCTACCTTAATTAAAGAATAGATATAAATAGTTAATATATTTTAATAAAGATATATAGTACTAATAAATTAAGAGATGCTAGCTATTTAAATATATATTATATATAACTATTTCTACTACTATTATAGTAGTACAGCTACTATATTACTACTTATAAAACTCTTATCTTAGTATTTCCTTCTACTAGCTATATATAAATATATCTACTATAAAAGTAAAAGTAATTATTATATATATTAATATTATAGATATAGTATAATAGTTTTATTATTATATACTTAGAATAAAGCTATCTTATTTTCTTCTACTATATTAAATAAAATACTACAAAGTTTATACTAAATAAAAAATAAACTTTATATCTATATAACCTAATATAATATACTTAGCTATAAGACATATATTAGTATTACGCTATAAGCTTAGAACCTAGAGTAAAATAGTAGTCTAGGAATTATAAAAGTATATATTTCTATTATAATAACTCTGTTATTAAAATATCTACGTCTATTCTTAGAGTAGCTATAGAGAAATATTCTTTAGATATTATAGGTTAAGAAGAAAGGGTTAATCTTATTAACTATATATCTAAGTATTTAGAGAGTAAGTCTACTAAGTACTAAGTAGTACTAGAAGAAGATAAGGGTTTCTAGATATTTATTATATAATATCTACTTAATATATTAGAGTAGATCTGCTAGTAAATTAATTAATATTAACTAGTTAAAGTAGTTACTACTATATATAATACTCTAAATAGCGTTACTACTAAAAGTAGAGAAGAGGCTATAGACTAAAGAAATACTAATAATAATAGTATATATAGTACTAAGTAGGCTAAGAAGAGCTATAATACTAATTTATATAAAGAAACTAAGGAGTTAATAAAATAATTAAACGCTGCTTTTATATAGATAGTAGTTAGTAGCTAGAAGGTTACTATAGCTAATAGAAATATTACCTTATTAAGTAATAAATAGATTTAATACTAGAATTTCTCTAAAAGATTTATTAGCGCTAGTATAATAATAGTTACTAGTATAATTACTAGAGCTGTTATAGTTAGTATAGTTAAATTAATTAAGAACTAGGTTATAGTTCTTTCTATATAGTAGTTATAGTTTAATAAGAGTTAGCTGTTATTTCTTAAAGGTAATAGCTAGAAATCTTCTATTCTATTTACTACTAAATCTAAATTAAAAGATAAGCTAGACTATATAATTAAATAGTAAAATACCTAGATAGCTTTAACTTAAACTTTATTAAATTTAAATAATAGTAGTAGACTCTTAATAATAGATATAGCTAATTTTAGAAACCTATTCTTTACTATATAGTCTAATAAAGCAGTTACTCTAGTTAGTAAAATATAGTATTAATAGATTATATCTTCTCTCTATATAGAATATAAAAGACTTAAAAAGTTAATATAAAGTAAGGCTAAGCGCTCTAAGAGAAGTAAGAGTTTTATAATATTAGTTAAGAAGTAATTATTTTTAGCTATCTATAGAAGGTAACTTACTAACCTAATATCTAGGTAGCCTATAACTACTATATTAAAATAAGATTTTTCTAAGAAATAGATATTATATAGCAGGTACCTTAAATATAGAAAGAGATAGAATATACTATATAACTAGTTTAGTATAAGAATCTTTATATTATTACCTTAAGTAATAATTTTAAATACCTACCTTAAGTGTTCTATTATATAGATAAGACTAGCCTAGTAGATAGAGCTATTAGCTAAGTATAATAAGGAGGCTATAGGTCTTACCTATACTATTACTCTAATATATATCTCTTATATAAATAGATAAGCTTCTCTAGAATAAATGTAGTAAAAAGATACTAATAATAAAGAGCTAGTAAATATTTATATAGCTAACTTATTTAGAGATAATTCTAGTTAAATAGAGAAGGTTTATAAGGTCTAAAATACTAAAGATAATAAGTTTAGATTAGGTATTAAGTAGTAAATAGTAGTATAGTATTAGTTCTTATTATATACTTTTAGTTTCTAACTACTATATAGTTTTATTATTAGGATAGCCTACTTTTCTAAAGATATTCTAGATCTATCTAACTATTCTAAAGGTTATTAAATACTTTATAGCTATCTAAGTTAGTATAAAGAGTATATATTATATCTAGGTAATTTTTACGTCTAGTTAATTTTTAAGTCTATATTTTAGGTCTAGGTAATTTTTAAGTCTAGTTAATTTTTATATCTAGTTAATTTTTAAGTTAGTATATTACGTCTAGGTAGTTTTTACGTCTAGATATTATATCTACCTAATTTTTAGGTTTAGATTTTAGGTACTAGCTTAGTGTATATGTACCTATTTTTACGAACTTTTAGGTTAATAATTAATAACCTAATATTTCTAGACCTCTCTTTATATTTTAATTTTTGCTATATCCTACTAAATTTTAGAGGTATCTATAACCTAAAGAAGTATAATAGTTTTTACTTAAGTAATTATTAGTTATTATTTATTTATACCTTTATCTATATATATATATTTAGTAACACTTCTTTTACTATATATAATAAATTAATTATAGTACTTTACTTTAAGAAAAGTAAACTTACTTCTAAAATAGAAATTCTTAGTAGTTTACTATATTCTATTCTATAAAAAGTAAACTTTTTTAGGTTATAAAAAACCTTAGTAGTTTACTATATTTTACTCTAAAAAGAGTAGACTTTTTTAGGTTATAAAAAACTTTAGTAGTCTACTATTCTTTACTTTAGAGAAAGTAGACTTTTTTAAGTTATAAAAAACTCTAGTAGACTACTATATTTTACTCTAAAGAAAGTAAATTTTTTAGAATATAGAAAACTTTAGTAGACTACTATATTCTACTTTAAAAGAAGTAAACTTTCTTAGGTTATAGAAAATATTAAATAAGAGCTATACTTTATATAAAATTTATATAATTTCTAACCTTAACTTAACTCTTTTACTTAGATTATTACTTTACTATATAACCTTATACCTTTTCTATATATACTATAGAGTATAATATATATAATAGTAGTAGTATAGTATTATAAATCTAAGTTTTAATTATAATATTATTACTATTAGACTTTAATTTATATTTTAATTTTTAATATATTCTACTAAATCTTAGAGATATTTATAACCTAAAGAGGTATAATAATAAATAAGCTTAACTTTAAGACTTTAAATAGTAACTTATAGTTAAGTATAACTTTAGTGCTTAATATAGTAATTTATAGTAAAATATAAACTTTAAGATTAGAAATAATAATCTATAATAAATTATAACTTTAAATTTAAAATAAGAACTTATAGTTAATAATAAACTTTAATAATAGAAATAGTAATATATATATAAATATAAACTTTAATATTAAAGATAGTAATTTATAGGTAATTATAAACTTTAACGTTAGAATTAGTAATATATAGGTAATTATAAACTTTAATATTAAAAATAGTAACTTATAGGTAATTATAACTTTATATTTAAAATAGAAACTTATAGTTAATTATAAACTTTAATATTAGAAATAGTAATTTATAAGTAATTATAAACTTTAATATTAGAAATAGTAATATATAAGTAATTATAAACTTTAATATTAGAAATAGTAATATATAAGTAATTATAAACTTTTATATTAGAGATAGTAACTTATAGGTAATTATAAACTTTAATATTAGAATTAGTAACTTATAGGTAATTAAAAACTAATATTAAGATAGAATTTTAATATTAAAGTTTTATATTAATATCTACTCTAACTACTATATATAGCTCTATTTTAAAATAATATAACTATTATATTTTTAACTTTAATATACTTAGTTATTTATAAGTAATATTTATTTTATCTATTATCTATTATATATTTAAGAGGTTCTCTATTAAGTTATTAACTATTTTATACCTTTTTACTATACCTGTGTAGTAGTTCTTCTTACTATACCTGTATAGTAATCCTTTTTGCTATGCCTGTGCAGTAGTCCTTCTCGCTATGCCTGTATAGCAGTCCTTCTTGCTGTGCCCGTGCAGTAGTCCTTCTCGCTATGCCTGTATAGCAGTCCTTCTTGCTGTGCCCGTGCAGTAGTCCTTCTCGCTGTGCCTGTGTAGTAGTTCTTTTCGCTGTGCCTGTACAGTAGTTCTTTTCGCTGTGCCTGTGCAGCAGTCCTTCTTGCTGTGCCTGTGCAGTAGTTCTTTTCGCTGTACCCGTGCAGCAGTCCTTCTCGCTGTGCCCGTGCAGTAGTCCTTCTTGCTGTGCCCGTGCAGCAGTCCTTCTCGCTGTGCCCGTGCAGCAGTCCTTCTCGCTGTGCCCGTGCAGCAGTTCTCCTCAAAGTATATTTTCCAACTATAACTATTGGCCATTGTTCCAACGCGTGCTTTTTTGCTGCAGATGCTATGCTAGTACTACAAGCATCTGTGTTGTATTCCTCAATCAAAGCTCCTCGCTGGGATGGGTGCGGCGACGCTGGACATGTCGACGGCGAGGGCATTGCGATGGCTGTGGGCGTGCAAGGCTGGATTGAGCATTTGTGCGCGTTTGACATCCGCGCCTGCTTCGGCAACGCAACCGTCCTATCGCCTTTATCAACGCTTACGCGCTTACGTTTCAGTGGGCGCGAATAAGGCGAAAATGTTGGTGATAGCGCCTGTTTTGAGGCGGCGATGATCGAGGTTTCGAGTCCAGGCGAGGACGGAGGCGTGGGCGTGGGTGAGGGAGTATGGTAATCACGCTGGAACAGCAAGTGAGCCTCGATATACGGAGCAAGTCGGCTTCTCAACTTCGGTGTCTCAAGGAGCCGCTCGTCGAGTTGAGCCAGAAAATCCATATCGGTGGTCGTGGCTCCGGTCCTTAAGGGTGAGGAAGATGTCATCACGCGCGCGCGCTCGGGCTTGCGCCATCAACCTTGGCGGGTTTCAGCGGTGCCAAGGCCGCAATCAACCCCGCGATCATGAATTGCGCCTGCCGCCTCGTCGACGTTCAGATCATGACTGCAAATGTACTTCCTAGTGACGATTATTATGATAGAGGCAGCACCACCGAGCCAGATACGCCTGGCTCATCCGACCGTGACACGGCGCCCTATGTCTTTGCGAGGCTGATCCCTACAAACCGTCCCGCCCGCGAGGCCATGGAACGAACACGTACTCAAGGTTCCCAATTTCACACCAACTTTCTTGGCAAGACAGCATTCCGCAACGAAGAAACCACATGCTTCGTTCTTTCGTTAGACGCATTGCCAGAGTTTCCTAAACTGGGCTGGCGCATTGGTACCGGGCGCGACAGTTTACCAAAACGTGGCGTGGATCTCCTGCTGTGTGGAACCGCTAAAAGCGATCGGGTTGCTGGTATACATGCACGATTCAACTTTGTCAAGGGAGCAGCGGGGTTCTTTCTGATTGCGGATAATGCCAGAGGGAAGCCATGTACCATCAATGGTGATGATTTTGCAAATGATCGGCGCCCAATTCCTTTCCGAAGCACCATCACGTTGGGTGAATGTGCATTTACGCTGCATTATGTGGTCCGCGATGCAGATGCCGAGAATGGCTTCCAGCTTGAACTGAAGGCTTTCTATAAACTGGCTCTGACGGACGAGAACCCCTTCATTCTGCCTACGCCGCGTGAGTTCGACTCACGATTCGGTGACTGGGTTGTGCAATACCCCATCTCGAAGGGGACATATGGCACTGTGTTTACGGTAACCCATGCGGCGGATGGGCGGCTAGCAGCAGCCAAGCAGCTCGTCAAGACGCGCTTCAATGCGTCTCAGGTGGAACACGAGGTGGCCATGGCCAGAGTTGTATCCAGGCTTTCGCATCCAAGTATCGCAGTACCCTTTGAGATTCGTCACAATCCGTGTCGAAGTCAAGTAGAAATTGTAAGAGCAACATTCGATCTACCTATTATACCTGTACTAATCCGCAAAGGCTAGGATCAAAACAATACTGGGTGGAAACTGGGATCCTGACACTCAAGGTGACATCACGGATGAATACATTATCTTCTCACCCCTTCTCAACGCGACGTTTCGCTCCATTATCACGAACTGGACCTCTCTACCAGTCTCTCGTCTCGAACTCTTTTTTTGTAAACTACTTGACGGTGTTGCATTCCTCCATGATCACGGCCTGTGCCACCGCGATATCCAACCTGTCAACATTCTGATCCGCAGCTTCGATCCACCCGAAGCCTTGATCTGCGACTTTGGCTGCCTCTCCGACAAGTCTGAAATCATGTATGATTCGCCCGGCACAGTCCCACATCTTGCGCCCGAGCAAAAGAAAGGATTGACACACGATCCCACGGTAGATTATTGGGCTTGCGGACTTGTAGGGCATGAGCTTCTTACTGGTGAGGTTACGCGGCAACGTGTTGAAGTTGGGTCCATGCTTGAAGGGTACTATTGGAAGCTAGATGCTATAGGGAGTGTGATGGCCATGTGTTGTAAGAGCATGTTGGATGCCAATCCGACTCTACGCATGCCCGCGAAAGATGCTGCAAAAGCAATAAGATCTGCTTTTGTGAAAGCAGAAAAAATTTCTGAAGTTACGACGTTATCTGAACGCAAGAAGGTGAGAACTTCATAACTATAGATGCTTAGCTAAATCTATTTATTTCTCTATTCAAGTGCCCGTTGTCTGGCCCAGGCCGCTGGGTGATAAGCAGGCTACCTCAATGCGACAGCGCATTCCGACAGCCGTAATGTATATAAACCTGCGCAGACGGACCTTGGTCTACTGTGTAGGTGAGTCGTCGGCCGTAGTGCCTAATAGTAGATGAAGGTGACTGGTGATAAGCGCTCCTAACACCATGCATACTCAATGCAGACGGATAGCAGGTGGAGCGCAGTAGCAGCGATTGGTCAGCAGTTTTGCACTGGATCCGCCTCAGCGGCCTGCCTTACTGCTAGTACTCGCTCTTCTCAAAAACTTCTTCGTTGACGATCTAACAGGTGATGCCTCTGGCCTCCAGACCGTGAATTTATGTAGCAGTCTGCTCGATGTCGACGCCGGACCCGGACATAAGAGCCAATCGCTTGGCACTGCGCTCGATTATCTATGTTATTAGAGTGCAGCCCAGACCTCCGAGACAGCGCACTGGAAATTGAGTTTTGTTGAGGCCGAAGGTAAGCTTGGAACCGAGGTATTACGGGTGATATCTAGCCGTCCGCACCTCCAGCATCCTCGATCATCATCAGCTTGACCGCAAATCGACGCCAAAGCTCGAAATAGCGTTGTCGAACTTGGTGAGACTTCTCTTTCAGATGGGACCAATACCGCGAATAAGCATCCGCTGTGAAAGCAATGTCGCATTGTGCTTGTACGAATCACAAACTCCAAAGGCTATGTAGTATGCTCTAGAAGTTTTGAGACGATGTTAAGGATGCTTCGCTTCACAACCATCTTTCGTCCCACCTCAATAAAGCCACCAAATGCTGCGATTTGTCTCCAGCATTCGTGCATCACTGTCGGGGATACGTACGTCGAGCTGGAGATGATATTAGCAGCGCGTCCTCTAGTCTGCTCTTCTGATCAAGTCATCAAACTCAAACCGAGTTGAGGTATGAAACTTTCAACAGGCGGGACAAAAGCTGCAGCCACTTTGCCAACCTCCTTTACCGACCGCACCGCGACGTAGATCCGTGTCTTCATCTGCTTGCTGATGACAATGACAGGGCACCAGCATTTCCATTGCCATGTGAGATCAAGACGAGTCAACTCTCGCCAAGGTCTTTGGCCAATGCAATGTGGCAGCATAAGTGAGTAGAAGCGTCAGAAGCTTCCCTGGCACAATGCCTTGCTCAGATTTCTGCATTATACTCGCCGAGACGGTCTGAAAGGTGGCCGGTTCGTCCACACCGAAGCTGAAAACGCGGTCATCAACATGAATATCCTTCACGTTGGTCTCTTTCTGCACGACAGTTCCTTGAACCTCATGTTAAAGTATGGTTCGGGTATCCGTGCCCTCTATTGCGAGTACGTCAATCTTGTTGACGGAGGGCAACAAGACTTGTACTTAAAATTCATAGACTTGAACGGTGTGGTCAGCACATTCGTCGGATCAAAATTTGACTTTCCATCCCTTCATCACGCTCACCAATGTATCTAATTGGTGAAACAGCGTAAATCTGTGGGTATAATTTTGCGGCCCGTATGTCCCATCATGCGAGTATATGGCACAAGCCGGCTGATGTACGCCAGCTCATTGGCAACGCAGTATTCCAACTCTTTGTGCTTGGCATGGTGGATCTTCTGGGCTCGGGCGTTGACAATTTCAGTAACAGCACAATCTGTCGTTATGCTGCTCATGTACAAGTTCAGCGTGATGAAATCCAGCGAGTCTATCCCGGACGTCACAGACCGGGCGATACAAGATGTTATGGCCTGCACTGATGTGGCCCCCTCTGTGAGCCGACCCGCGGTAATCCAGATCATGGAGGAGAATTGAGACGACGTTCCGCAGCCCGGCAAGCTCGCTCGGCTCCAGCGTCAGGAGCAGTGGCCCGTCTACGTCGTACGTAACAGTTACGTTCTCCAAGGCGGCAATATTGGCCTTGGCTGATTGAACGAGACGCGTAGGTCCGAGTCTGTTAATTGCCTTTACTGGTTTGCTGGGGACTTCAGTCAGCTTACTGCAATAGATAATGGTTAGGAACCTCTCGTGGACACTATCATTGCTATATATCTTCTAATCTCCCGCAGCAGTACAGATGGCGAGGCTGTTAGATAGGTTCGCGACGGAGAAGTTTTCTCAGAGCAAAGAATATGTAGGCTGGCCGGCCACGACACGGCCATCTGAGTTGAGCAATCAGACAAACTGTAAAGCATCAGTAAGATTGCTTGGAATAATGAGGTCGCATTGGCTTGCTACGAGTTCCTATCTTTCTAGGGCCTGCGAAGGATCAATATAGAGAGCAGTTGCGTGATAAAACCCAGCGATTGTTTCTTTCGGGAGTTCAAATTCAGGTGTCAATGCCGTAATCGCCGTATAGCTCATCAGTTTCGTATCGTGGCATAGAGTAGCCGGTTCCGAAGCACCAAAGTCCAGAAACTTGATGCCAGGCTTCTCCAGATCTGCGACGCCAACAGATTCCATTGGTCTTGCTGACATGAGTGCGTCAATATCTACGTTCCAGTCCATCTTCATGCAGGGCTGCTCCTGAAGGACAGCATCCAAACTGTAGGGAACGGCGGCCTCGTGGGCAATGTACCGTATGCCTTCTACAGAGAGTAACAGCTGGCCACTGCTCCCCACCAAGTGGGTTCCGTTCACGGTCAAGCGAACTCTGCGCTCATTCGTCCAGACGTAAGTCTTTGCCTCGGGATCCTGCAGCTGGACGTCTGTCGGCGACCTAGAATAGACCTTACCAGTATTATGTCCATGTCCTCCGTCTTGCCAGAATAGATCAATACGATGATGAGCTGAAAGAACAAGTCGATAGTGGCGGGGTGCATAACGGGTTGTAGCTCGCCCTTGACTAGCCCCAACGTCTTCTTCACAACTGACGACGCGGCGGCGTAGAAGCGCTTACAGTCAGTGCAGCTGTGCTGCATATCCTGGAATGACGGCCGTAGTCGAAGTCAATGCTCTTGAGCGCCTGGTTCCAGGCCTTTCCCGTAACGCACTGCGTTATGGCCGGCGTCTCATATAGCGACTGCCCAGGAGCGCGCGTTAATGCCAACGTTGCTCATTATGCAACTGTTTCAGTGCCCGTCCTGGCTCCGTGAAGAAACGCTGAACTCTCACGAGTCGGCGTGCACGCTTGGCTACAGGCTGAATAACGTCTCGATGCCGTCGTGGTTATCCGGAATAACTAAGGTAGCCTTGATAGCAAGGTCACAGAGCGTGTAGCCCATGATCTTCATAGGCGGGGAGTTGCTGACAAAACGCATAGGACTTGTAGACCTGCTACCTCTTACCGCCTACTAATGATACAGATTAATAAGACAGAATACACATATTCATCACTTTGAATTATATCTTACTGCTTTTTTCCGGAGCCTTGAGGGGCTCCTTGTTAAACTTGGTATGTTTTCATCGGCGTTTTGGGCGCACGTGAGAATATCTTTTGTTTTTGGAGGAGATGTGTGAGACGTACAGGAGATGGTTTTGCGATGCTTAATGGGGGATGAGATCTTTTCGCATTGGTATAGGGTGCCCACAACGGGCGGAGCGGCGGAACTCATGTAACGAGCACCTTCATGGTAAGGCGTCTCCGGCAGCTCGAGAGCTCGGGAACTTAGGATGCGCCTCGGCATAGTAGGGGTAGGCAGTTTTTAAGAAGTTTTCTGTAACAAATGCGTATGTTGTATTCTGTGAGTGTAGGCGGGCTGCGCGGAGCGTAGGCGGCGTATCGTGTCGTGATGATAGATATTGACGATTCGGGTCGCATTGGCTCGACGTTGGAATGATGAAATGGCTGGACATAGGAGGGCGGGCTTAACTATGTCCAAATACTACCACAGCGTCTGTAGGCTATCGCTCGTCGTATTCCCGGGTATTGCACAGTTACTACCATCTCCCAGGCTGGGTTCTGGCGTTGGTGGAGCTTTTGCTCGTGGTCTTGCAATCGCGATACCACGAACGGGGGATAAACTTGCCAACCGCTGAACAAGGTAGCTTGAGAGGGTAGTAACTATGCCTTGACCCATGCATACAGTTTTCCTACTCTTAAGAGCAGTGCAAAGGGATGTTGAATAGATAAGCCCCTCTTCAAGCTTGAGTTGTGGCGTTGTGAAGTTTTGTTTATGATTTTGGTGTTCCGTTCCAACTCAATGACTGGCCAATTGGGCAAGGTCTATCAGCGCACGAGCTACTTAGCGTATTTCCAGCAGGAATGGTAATGCGACCCGGGACTGGCAATGCGACGCGAGAGTGGCAATGCGACGCGAGAGTGGCAATGTGACGCGAAAATGGTGATGCGACACGAGATTGGTGATGCGACACGCAAGTAGTGAGGCTCATGACGTTACCACTCAAACCCGAGATGCGCACCATTTGTTCTTTTTTTTCTACCTGGGGTTGTTGCATTATGTTCATTTGGTCTACCTTCCACGCTGTCACGTCTCTGAGAAATATTGGAGGTGGAATGAGGTATTCACTCGGCCCCTTGGAGTTTCGTCGAAAAAGTGCAGCTTGCCAGCCAGTGAGGGCTGAGTAGTGAAAGTTCAGAGCAACTTGCAGAACTTGCCCAGGCCATCTGTGTCGTGCAGGCCAGCCCACTTACTTACCCAAAGTATATGGGCAGCGTGGACTGCAGCGGAGATTGATGCGTGCAACCTGGTCAAGAACGGGCGCACGTGCTGACCATGGCGAGTCATTCCATCCACGGAAAGTGCCGCGAAGCCGAGAATCTTGGTTTCGTGGCTCGACACTCTTCACTCAGGCAGCGCGTCATCCGCACCTGCCCTCCTTCACCTTGCAGAAGAAGCAGCCCACCGTCGTCAATCAGACAGCCGGCCATGATCTATGAGTCGAGCGTGTCGTGCGTGTTGTGCGTGTTGTTTGCCCACACACCCCACCCCACCCCAGGTTCGCGTCCCTCAACCAACTGTCGCGTCCAACCTCGCTAACAGCTCACGTCAACAGCACTTTCTCTGCCGCCAGATGCAGCGCAGCCATAGCCCCGCCATGACTTGAGCAGCGAAGCGCGTCGCTTTGATTCACGCGCTGCACCGTCCGTCTCGAGCGCTCCTTCCAAGAGCAGCAGCATCTCACACCACGCACGCATCTCACTTCATGCGCAACGCTCCTGCCGTGCAACGAGGTATTGTCCGTCCTTCTCTTGGCGCCTGCCGATTTCTAACTTTACCACCACCAGCGCCCACCGCATGGCACCATCGCCTCCCCCCGCGCAGCCCTTTGTTGCCCACGCCGTCGACGCCGCCCTCGCCGAGTTCCGAGCTGGCGACGCCACCGCCTTTCCCAGCTTCCTCGCCCTGTGCGAGAGCGCGCGCGACGCCACACACACATTCGACGCGCTCGCCGCGCCAGACCAGGAGCGTGTCGAGAGATTCTGGCTCGAGGCTGCCTGGTTCGGAGTCTACGCCGGTTCCAGCACCGACGCGCTGAGTGTGCAGGCCTTTGAACAGCTCGCCGACCTGCCGCTCGCGTCGCTGCCCATCCTCTTCACCAACCGCTGGAGGTTCGTGCTCCGCATTGCCGAACACTGGGGGCCTCAATTCTGGTGGACACTTGAGCGGGCCAAGATCCCGTTGCTGGAGCGCGAGGCTGCCACGGCGCTCGCTACAGGTCTGCGTCCGCCCATCGCCTTCAACCACATCGACATACTGCGCCTGCCCGTGGTCCCGTCCAGAATCTTCCTGGAGCGACTGGCCAGAATTGCCTCCAGCCCGTCGACCCTCCGGCCATTCCTGAGCCGTTGGCCCACCTTCTTCGCTGACTTCCTGTCCACGGTCGTGCGCAAAGCTCACCGGCTCCGGCAGATTGCTGCGGGAGAATACGAGATCGGATCTGGTGAGCTCGCTGGCTATCTCGACAAGCACGAGTTTGAAGCCCCCGCACAAAGCCTGCACCTTCCCCCTCTTCCCGTCGTCCTCTTCAGAGCGCGCGACAGAAGCGTCCGGCCTGAGACCGAGGTCGCACGGCGTCATTCACTAAATTCTATCAGCTCGCCGACCAGCCCCGCCCCAGACCACGACACCACCCTGCCCGACTCGCCTTTGACGCCGCGCTGCACCAACGACGTGGTCGAGTACGACGAGGATATCACCATATCAGACTTCGGAGACTCGACCATTCACGATACTACCGGTACTGGGGTCGCTGAGCCTGACGAAGAGCAGTTGGACCTTGCCGACGACATGGCCCACCACTCTGCCCCAACAACTCGCCACAACACGCCCGTCCTTGACATGGACGCCCGCCGACACCACTCCCAGCCACCCGCTATGCCCGAACCCGCGCCCTCGCTGCTCGAGACAGCCGAGATTCTCAAGAGCGTCCTGTCGTACGGCCCGCCCACCACGGAGATGCACGGCATCGCCGACCCCGTCATGAACCGGCTCGTTTCGCTGTTCCCCGAGATCATCGCCCTGCACCACGCCCGACAAAGGAAGAGCGATGCGCGAATTCATTGTCTTGCCGTACAAGAGAAGATCGCGCAGGCAGAGAAGGAGGTTTCCGCTGCGGAGCCCGAGCACGGCGCGCTTGAAGGACGGCTCGCGGAGGCCCAAGCCAAGATTGCAACCACGCTTGCTGCCCAGGAGACGCTCAAGCAGCCCGTCAACGAGACACTGCCGGAATCTCTGAAGACCATGCTGCGCGCACAGCAGGATGCATCGATCGCCGCATTCGCCTCCACCCTCACCCAGCTCCAATTCGAACAAGAAGCCCAAGTCACCCAAGTCGCACTCAGCGCGCAGTCCCTCGCACACGCCAAACACGCCCTGTACGCCCTGCGCGACGAGGCCGCTGCCCTCGATGCAGCGCAAACCAAGGCGCTGGACCGGTGCCAGAAGCTAGACGCCCAGGTTCGGAAGGAGATGGCGCTGCTGGTGGCTAAGTTGGAACGCATCGTCGACTGCACGGAGGAGTTTATTCCCCGGAATGCAGGCGAGGAGGGTGCCGGGAAGAGCAAGAAGGCGAGGGTTACGGGCGCGAACAAGGGAGTTGCGAGACAGTCGGGAGGTGGGCCTTTGTAAGGACGGAGGGGAGGGGGAAGATGGGTGATGAGATGGTGTAGATACCCCAATGCGATGCTTTCCTCGTGCATCGCGTCCAGGCTGTGCCGACTGTGTCCCTCATTTCCTCAAGCATGGCAAGCTGCGGTTTAGCTTGATACAGAGCAGACATTTTCACGACGTGCAAAGATGAATAGGAGGCTCTTCCATCCTGTTCAAACTTGCTTGTCAACAGAGTATCAGGCCTTTTTAGTTACTGCAGTGCAAGTCTTTATGCTCCAACGTGTGCGACACCCGAATAACGCACGATTCGTAAGAATAAGTTCATGTATTTATTACCCACCGTGTCTGACATGGACCAAGACATTGGAAACAAAAGCCCGGCGAGGAGAAATACTGCCGCATCAAAATCACCTTCGGAGACGGCAGCATCATTTCGGCCCATCGAACTACCCATCCCATCCCATAGGCATCCAATCCCTCATTCAGTAGCTTCTCCAGTGCAGCTCGTCCGCCTCATCCTCACCAGGGTATTGAGTTGCAGCCCGAGCCATTCACAGCAACTTCGTTTGGTTCCGAACTCGCCTTCACCGTGAGCTTCACAAGCAGCTCCGCACTCGCATCTCGTAGCCGCCACAACCCGCCGACCAAGTTGTCGCCATTGCGCGGAAACCCTCCTTCACCTTTACACTACGCCCACCACTTACGGCATTGCGCCCGCTGAACCACTCACCCCACTTCACTCCAACACCACACCCGCCCCGAAGCTCAGAACGCACAGCCAACCCGCAACACTACTTCAAGCCATTGCGCGCGCAAGAAGACTACGCTCACGCTCACCTCGCAGCTTACCGCCCACAGCCCGCAATTCATAGCCCACACGTAATCATCAACGCCTCTCCGACAACCACGTCGTCGACCAGATTCACCACGTCCGCAAGTCATTGTCAAGACCTCTCCAGCACGATGCTGCACTCGAACAACCAGCTGGAGATCGCAAAGTTCCGCCCTCGCTCTGACAACGCTGGCCCGCAGTACCTCGTTTGGTACTACATCGACAAGCCCACGTACGCGTACCGCCCGTCGCATGTTCCGTACTGGGTGCCCGCTTCAAGAGTGCGCATTGACCTGATCTATCGATGGACCGAACTGCAAAAGGCTCGTCGCGTTGTTAAAGCTTACGACAGGGCTGTGAGGCGCGCGCAGGATGCGGCTCGAGCTCGAGTTCTGCGCGCACCGCTGTGTGCTGTATGTCGCCTGGAGGTTGACCATTGCGTGGATGCAGTGGTGCTGAACTGTTGCGGTATGTATTGTGTTCTTGCAGCGATTGTTTTGGTGTAGGGCTGATGCATATAGATTCGGCGCTTTGCGCAACCTGCTCGGGATTCCACCGCCGGGACAAGGCACGCGGAGTTGAGGCGGAGGGTTGTTCGTGGTGCAATTGAGCTTTGAGGAGGGAGGAGGATGCGGGTGGGGCTGAGAAGGAGATGCGGAGATGGAAGAACGCCGACTGGCTGGATTCGGCGAGCAGGGGTTTTCGCGTGTGATGCACGAGCATGCGGCTCATCGGGACGGGAATAGTTCATGTATCGGGGAGTTTTTCAGCCAATCGGAATGTCTGGCAAATGGGACATGCTTGGGAACTAGGAGTTAGGGTGGGATTCTCACGGCTGATATGATCTGTACGGGAGAATAAACCATGCATGTTTTCTTCGAATCTCCAAGTCGTTGCTATGAATTATTTGAGCATGTGAGTTGGAATGTAACAGCTCTTATGTATTTGTCCTGCAGGGATTGGTACACGAGGAGAAGAAGCAACGAGGCGGGATGAGGACGAGATTTGGGCTGGGGAACGCGAGGAACCACAAAACTTCATGCAGGGAAGCGGTACCAACTATTCATGACCACACCATTGGAATCTTTGAGACTTGTTGAACATTTCTATATGCCGGTCCATCGGGAGAACTATACTGATGAAGTTTATTCAGCGGTATCAGGTTTTATGTGAAGATGGGGTTTACCAGCGAAACTGAACCCCTGCGGGCTAAACAACGCTTACTTTGACAAATTTGACTTCTGCGGTACACTCCGCAAATTGCTCAAGTAAACTGTGTAACCAACGCAAGTTCAATGTTTCCCACGCTTGTGTAAGTTTTGGTAGTTTCATTCTGGTGTCGAACTCAACCAAAAAAGGTTGACTGCTCGAATGAATGTGAAAAAAAGCCTACAAGACTGGAAGAAAAGCCTGCTCAAGTCCTTGAACAAAGATCCATCTCATGCTGCCGAGGCATACAGTAAGCACCACCTTGGAATGTAAATTGCGGCGATGTTGGGTTTCTGTGCAGCACGAGGAAGTTCGCCGCAATGAACCTGGCACGCGCGATAAACTTGTTATAAAGATCCTGCACAGAACGTCAAGCTATTCTTTAGAACCTCTCGGCTTTGGAATGCTTGAAGTGTAGCAGTCTAAGGTCGAGTTCTGAAATATTTGTGTTTGTTATAAGCGATCTCTTTCGCACCTACCTCGTTGAACTGCTGCGCAAGGCAAACATCGTAGAGTGTAGCTGCTGAGGTAGTTTAGTAAAATCCTTAGGTGCTGTGTTTCCTATCAGTGTAAGATTTTATAGTTGGTACCGCCCATAATCATGAAGTTTTGCAATGTAGGTGTTTGTTAGCATATGTACCCTCGGCACCAAGATGCAGCACTATCCGCGCAACCCTACAGAGCAAGATTTCTAACATTGTAAAGTCTTGCGCTACTCTGCAACGTGCGAGGATATTAGGCTTTGCGTTGTTTCAAAGAGTTTCGGCGTTGTTGAGGTTTTACAGCGGATCTCTTTGAGACACCCCAACGGACTGCCTGCCCAGATATTCAGCGTGGTTGTTACTGTTGAAGGCTGTTTCTGGAATCTGTAAATTCTAAAGAATCTTTTTTCAGAGAACCTCGACGTTGGCTGCCTTGTTCAGTGCAGACTTTCGCAGTATGTCAATTCTCATCGTAACGGAGCCAAGCCCGCTCCCAACGACCAGCCGCTCAACGACACAACTGCAGACGGTGCTATGTATAGTACTCGAAGTAATCAGAAGCTGTGTATCTACAAGCAGATTCTGTTGCCTTATTTCAGTGTTACTGTCTATTCCAGGCATGAGTTCTGGTGATGTGAGATGCGCTCCCACCACGCCAAGCCTCCAACTACGAACGGACACAACAAACCTTTAAACGAGCTATTCTTAGATAGTAGTAACTATAGTTATGCTCTTCGCTGTATAGCATAGACCTGAATGTACTTGTCTATAAGTAGTTGAAGAGTAAGCACCTCTTTTCTTCTTAACTTCTGGCCATTTGAACAATTTGCTCGTGGTCAATGAATTGAGTTCACGCTGCATAGTACACCCTTAAACTGCTTCCTCCCACCGCACCTCAATATGGCCGGCTGTCCTTCCGCCTCACATCAACTGTTAAGTGCTTGGCTGTCGCAGACTATTAGTTTAGCACCTCTTCCAACACAACCTAAGCGTTCTACTTAACCAGTCATCGTGGTCGTCGTCGTCCTGCGCCCCTTCCTGATTATTTTGCGCTATGAGAGTAGCCTCCTTATCATCGGTGTCGTCCTCAGAATCGAGAGCTCCGATATTTGTGTTACTTATTTGAATAAAGAGTCTCACGTGGGCATACCCACAGAGGCTTCTTATCTAGTCAGGCAGTGCGTTCCTTATCCAACATCTGTTTGATATTGTTTATAACCGAGTCTTCTTTCTTCACGGCAAGACTGCTCGTTAGTACCATCAGCTTAATGCAGAATAACACGACTGCGTGGACTGGATGCGACATTTTGTCTTGTGCGGCTTCGTACACAGTTATCTCCGGAGACTTGTAATTACTGCCGATGCCCCAAATCCTCTGCTTTTGCACCATAAATTTCAGCTGGGCTGTGGCTCGTTGGCTTTGGTATCATCACGAAATTCACAACATTAAAAATGACCTGCGCGGTATTGGTGAACATGTATGAAGGACCATCTTTCGGCTTCAGTGGGACAAACTGCTTCGTCTGTGTACCCTTGGTTATATGTGCAGAACATGGGCTCACTACGAACAGAACACGCAACTTGTTGTGCTCTTCCTCATCTACATGCTCCTCGTCCTTGCTACCCATCTCATCGACGATTTCGAGTACCTCGATTCTGTCTTCGACTCGGTGTCCTGTGTATTGGGCTAGAAGTTGGAAGATATTCCTTAGACAGTGGGGTAATCAGTTCTCAACAACGCCATTGCGTGGCTCAAACGACTTGGGTAGGTAATTTTGTTTCTCATTGTTTTTCTTCTTTTTCTTTGACTCTGTGCTTGCAGCTTCCTTATCAGCAAGAGGTTTCTGATTGAGAGCCATTTCCATTACTGAAACTTTCTGTTGGATCGGTTCTGATTCCTCTGTCAACTCTTCCGGTGTAAAGATTAGCGTGGACCGCACTACAGCCGCCTTGTCAGCTAGTTCTGCCAGCACGTTCCTGTAAAATGTAGATGATACAGTCTCTTGACACATAATGATCTGAATCTTCCGTCGGATTAGCCTGTTACACTGCAGAGCATCATTTCTGAGAGTAAACCTGACATTGTCGTGATATTTCTGTGCAGCTCTATTGGCGTTTGCAGCTGCATCCTTTTTTCTGTTGCCTGTCTGCGCTCGTGTTAGGACGGACTTGTTTTGGTAGGTAGTTAATAAAATCAATTACCCCGCAGATCACGAGAGTTTAGTGCTCTTTGAAAGTGAGATTGTCGATATGGGTGTGGAGCACAAGCTCCTTTGGCCTGTGCGGTCTGCCCTCTTCTCTCTTGTCCTACTGGTCATTTCCCCCTCCATCTCTATGCCCCGCATATGGTGTCTTTGTGCTACGACGGTACATCGCCCGATCCAACCTTCTCTTCAATCTTTTGGCCCAATATGGCTTTCGAGGCCCTCGATCTTGAAGATGTGGCAAAGTTGACGGCCGCTGTAGACAATGCTTATTTTTGAATGCGCAGCAAGACAGACCCACGCTACTGGAGTGTAGCTGTTGCATAGTTTGTTGACACTGTAAGCAGCATCTTTACTCAGGTCTCATCGATCTTGCTCGCTCATCCTGAAGCGAAACTGCATTTTGACGAGCAGTGCATCCGCAAAATGCAGTGGCTATGGAAAACTGAACCGAAAGATATAAACCAATACTTGCACAAAGTTGCCATAAAGTTGCGCAAGCATGTTGCACGTAGGAGGCTGCTGCAGACAATGATCGAAGATGAGGTGGAATGGAGTCCATAAATCGGTCAGAATTTGGTGATAATGGGGCAGAAGAAGATGAAGGAGAACAATCAAGTGTGGGAAACAACCTCACGGGCGACACAATGTTAGTGTACAAGCTTTTCTGACGAGTCGAAACCTTAAAGAGCCTGCAAGAAGGCCCTTTAAAAGCAAGTTCAGAACCTCCTCAAGCGAGAGGACATCGATTTCAGCGATAATGAGCCGACCTTCTCGGAGATCTATCCTGAAGCTGAGCCTGAGGAACGTAACCAACATGATCCTGAGGATAAACGCAACGACATTCTCCACGAAGACACATTCCCACCGCAAGAATTTTATGCGTCTGGATGTAAATAAGATTATTCTGCGGGTGCATTAGGAGATTTGATTGAGGACGATAAACATGGCTTCGAAAAGTTGAGAATCCGACGGACAATGGGTAGACTCGCAAAGCCAATGAGACGAGCACACGCCTAGATCGAGGCCATCAATTTGGGCAAGGGGTCATATGGGTACGATGGGCATCTTGACTATTTCCATTTGCTTTGAAGTGGTTCCCGCTTCTGAATCATGTCCGTGAACTTTTCTGACTATACTCTCCTCCCACCTGTCGTCTCTGAGAACGCGATCTGCTGTGTTTTTCTGATTCTTGATTTTCTTTTCTTTCATGACATGCACCTTGCTTTCAATTATAGTCTCCTTTATCCCTTTCTTCGGCGTGGAGTTTGCATCCACGTCCAATTCAAGATCCTCGTCTGCGTCCGCCTCTTCATTCTTCTAGATGTTCTGACTTTGGTCCTTCCTTTGCTCCGAGTCTTCGTGGTTGTTGGAATCATCCTTGTTGTGGTTGAGGTCTTCGAGCCCGTCCAAGGCTTGAGAGTCGCTGACTGGATTAACAGAGTTGTCTTCCCAATCTTCTGGGTCGTTGGAGGCGTCGTCACTGCTCTCTGCATCAATTCTGAGCTGGTGCTTGTACCCTTCCTCATCGTCAGCCTATCTACGGTTATTGAAGCCCTCGAATCCCGTATAATCATCGCCGATAACATAGCTCCTTTTGACTTCTGTAGGCTGCCTTTACCAACCCAAGACCCCGAAGCCGATCCTTGCTAATGGTCAAAAGACTACCTGTCGCTTTGCATTTGGTCATTGTAAGCGAAACGGTATGCTAGTGCTGAGATATTGGTGTGGTGCTGCAGAGGTTTAAGTTTATGACACGGAACTCGGAAGTGAGGAAGATGTGGAGGATTTCAGAATGGTTCAAGATAATATATGAAATTCAAAAAGAGGTTCAGTTCAAAGTAAATATCAGGAAATGCTGAAGTGGACAATTCGGCGGCCATGACATTTGCTTGTTTCGTAAATATCAGCCTTGTCTCTCACCCATCGCCCCCATCACCACCCCCACCACCATCTACCCAAGCGATATATCCTTCACGAACACTATGAATCTCCCCAAAAGACCGTATAAACGGATCGTCGCAGAGGAGCAACGTCGAAGAAGACATAGCAAGAACAAACAATGTAGCTTTGCGCCAACGGATCATCGAGCGCCATTACTGGTTCGAGGTCTAATAAAGCCTGGATCATGTCTTCTGGGCACCGAGGAAGAGGAGAGGGTAAGAGTTGCTAAGCCCGGGTCCTTGAATCAGACCAGTCTAACAACAACGACAACGAAGATAGGAAAGCAAAAGACCCACAGGAAACGGATGGGGAAAGATCTGGAAAACAAGACGGCGGAACCATCCAAGAGCCAGACCTACATTATCGATAACTCATTTTCTATACACGTCGAACAATATCACAAAGAGATATAGGAATATGGTATTGTAAGTCGCCTATTATCTTCTGTCATCTTGTTATTCACAATTCTGGCTAATCTGCTCAGTGAGATTTGTACAACACACAATCCGTAGCGGTTAAGGATCTTCGACTCAAGGTACATACTTGGCAAGCAAAAAGAACCTCACGAGGACATTGCAGCTGTAAAAATACCCCGTTTAAGCTTTGTCATTGCAGCAACGAAATGGGGGTAGGAAAGGCATCATTGGCGCTTTCTTATAATGGAATTGGCCCAGCCAATTCCTGGATCCTGCGTAGTTGTAGCACCCAAGACAATATGTTGACAACGGCCCAAGAAATTGAGGCGGGCTTTCACCAAGGTTTGTAATTCTCATCAAGCACTTTGGTTTTATGCTGACACTGAACTAGCAAGAGAGCTTACGAGTAACGATACTCTCTGACAGCAGGATAGCAGCACACCAGTTGTTTGGGATGGGATAAGGTATCGTAATAGTATCATGTAAGTGCGTGGAAAACACGTACTGCGGTACAAGAGATTTCGAGAATGGAAAGACGGGATAAAAACGCCCAAACTCAGCCCTAAACTCAGACTTGTAGCGTCAGCAACGCTAACCTATGGAACGACTGATACTCGACGAAGCCCATTGGATTAGAAACATGAACTCAGCACGCTACAAAGCGGTCGAAGCGATTCCGGCCAAAACTACGGCTCTATTCTCCGGAACCTTCCCACACAACGGGTGGTATAATGTGCAGCAGCTATATCCTTTATTAAGTTGCAATCACTTGAATCTATGGCAGCGTTCAATTGACTGATTGCCTTGTATAGTTATGAAGAGTTTTGTTCTTCAGAAGCCGGAGCGAGTGAGACTACAAATTTCACAGCGATTTCTCCTCCGATTTACAACAGCCCGACCCGCAACTGTACTACAGTTGTAAAAGGCTAACTACTACAAAGCAACCTTTGAGCTTTCAGAGGAAGGAGTGGATGTGTTCAAACATTACGAAAAGTATACCAGGGCACAACTAGTGATCAGCAACGAGGAGAGAAAGAAGAAGAAGGAAAGTGAGGCAAAGAAACAAGGGCTCTGAAATGGAGAAGAAGGGGGATTTGCTTTCTGTTTTTCAGCATAGGATCCGCGTTCAGCTGCGTCTGGTCTTGTTGCACCCAAGGTATCGCCCGCAAGCTGCTATCAATGAAGACAACGAATTCATCGATGAAAACGGCAAGTTGAACGATTCGGACGATGAAGGTCTGAGGTTAAACATCCTGGAGGCCTCAGAAATTGAATCTGAGAGCGCAACGACGGAAACGACGCCACATACATTCTGAGCCGCAACGACGTCGATGTTCTATAACGGGCTGTCGCCGCACTTGACCAAGAATTTCCCGGAAGCAAGCGTAAAAACCGGCTTGAACATCCGGAAGCACATCCGGATCTCCTTCTTGAATCAGCCCAAGATCACTCGGATCTACCAATGCTTGCGACAACAGTTTCCAGACGGTAGGATTCGTACCTCATCACAATATCTGAAGTTTCACGATTTGATTGGGCCTACATCGCACTATTACTTTCTAGTCGAGGGGCCTAATTACAATGGCAGACCGCCTGACAAACTAAGGCAGTGGAATCTCGAGATGTCCAAGATTATAAAGAACCACTCTGTTTTACTGTTCCTCTTCAGTAGTCCAGGAGGTGAGGGGCTCAACATTGCCGAAGCTTCTTTGGTGATCCAGTGTGAGATTTGGTGATACCGCAATGCAGAAACGCAGCTGTACTATCGTCTCCGTCGACCTGACCAGACGGGGTAGATGATAATCGTCAGGGTAGATGCAGGTGCAAGCTTCAATGATGAATGTATTCGATCAGGGTAGGTCTCCAAGAAGGTGGTCAACACGGTATTGATGAATCCGTTGATTCACCGCCATGGCCAAGATCCTCAGATTCCAAGTATAGACTACCACGAACCTTTTGGCCTCTGGAGCTCGATCCAAATGAAGACGATGAATAGGATATCAGAGACTACTGATTCCCACGTAGGAACTTCCGATAGTGCGGTAGAATGGCCTGCCATAGGAGCACAAGGGCGGATTTGGCCTGGTCGTGAGGACAATCTAGTTGAAGAAGTCAGAGTAGGTTTGCGCCTTCTTCAACCCTAAATTCATACCACCACTTCGGGAACCACATTCTTGGCGGGTGAGTTCGCTACTTCCACTTCTTGTGAAGTCTCGCACTACGACTTTGCTGATCAGTTTTTTTATTCAATCCACTGCTACATCTCACAATTTCTTGCACGCGCCGTTATTCGTGTGTCGCTTTGGTCTATAATTCGACGTTCCCAATTTGTGTCTACATGGATGTCTTAGGCAGCGAATGCTCTCTCGGTCTCACTATGGCGGACGTTGGGGTTGAGAATGAGAGTTATTTCAACTCCTCAGAGATCGAAGTTGAGCAGCCTGCGAGTAAGTGAATTGCATTTCTCTGGCTGAATACTTCAACTAACGCAACTGCCTCAAAGATCGCTTCTCGCATTATGGCACCCAAACGCTTAAACGTATGCTTACCAACACTGAAATTGATCAACAAACGAGCAGAGTGAACTTTAAGTATACATCATTATATACAGAAGCATCGGGAGCTATAGCTCTTCCAGTAAGTTGGGAAGACTTTTTCACAGCATTCATAATGAACACATTACGTCTAGGGAATGCTGTCTGATGTTCAAGATCCACGATCGCTTAGATTTGCAGCAGTAACGTCTGCCCAACTTTTGAGCGTATCATTCGATTCCGTTGTACCGTTCCTCGCCACATCTGTGGCAGTTTACCATTAAGTGCACTTTACTACACCACAGTGGTGTATTGCCTCAATGTCCTAACACCGGCACTTCAATTTTGCTTCACCGACTTCACTCTGACAAGGAATCTCCACTATCCCGATTTGTACCGAAGTTCAGCCGGCGTTTCTCCGAGTCACATAAGCGCTCACCCATTTCCATTCCATGCACGACGCTCGACGCTCGACGCTCCACACACGGACGCAAATCCTGTTAACCTCCTTGCGTCGCAACCTATCAGAATCCTCCGCTTTCTGCCCGGCTTCATCCAGCACCTCAGCTCGCTGCACCTCCACAATGCCGCCATTGTAGCGCACCCGCATTTCCTTATTCGTTTCACCCAACGCCGCCGAACTACACGTGCCCAAGACGCTACACTCCCAACACGAATCCTGCCTGCACGCAGAATACACGCCCTTATCTCCTGCCTTGAATCCAGCATGTGGAATATACGGCGAGCCGCAAAACGCGCGAGCTACCGCTTGAATTTGCCATACAACTAGAATGATGCATGTAGGTAGTATGCTTACAGCCCCTGCGCCGTTGCGCCTTGTCTCGATCCCAGCCGCTGTCAAGATAAAGACGCCTACATTCTGCAGTGCTGCATCAAGGCTTTGCTTCCGCGCGTATCGATATCCTAGGTGTCCTGCATCTTGTTGACGTTCCTGAACGACCTCGATGCCTTATTCTTGCCCTTGAAGCCCCTGCGCTTTCCCCAGACGCTTGGAAGTGAGAACTCGGCCATGACAAGAGACACGCGTTGCTGCACTCCTTTATATGGAAATATAAATCGTGTACCAGCGACTACAGATGCGTCGCGCCACTTCTGCCGTCTCTGGTCGGTTTTGTTTGCTACTTGTGAAGCCTTTGGATTCCGTCGACACTGCTCTCTTTTGAAGTTGTGGAATTGGGAAACACGGCTACAACGTGTAACGCGTGCTCATCGTCCTTCTCACGATCGCGCGCACAACAATAACTGCATGCGTAAACCTCTAGGCTTCCCGCGTCCCACATCTCGTTCACGTGGCGCACCAGCACAACGCCTTGTTGCTACTACCAAAACTGCTACGTATTCCTGGAATACGTGAAGTTTTGAAACATGTATATAGCATGACCTCGCAGATCTGCCAACGCTTCATGATACTTCTGTCATGTCTGGCGCAGCTTGCTCGTTGCCTTGGCATCTTACACACTGTGGCTGCCCGCGCGTCCGCTTCACGCGCTCGTCTGGGTTCTAGCCTGCCGTTCTAAGGGGACTATACACGTCACATATCTCGCGGCACATCGGTCGAGGAATCATTGCCGGCGAGAACATCTCTTCAAGGCCTGGTGTAGTAGTCGGCAGTTGAGTGGGCACATCCCAGCTCGTTCTGCACACTGCACGTCGCAGGCAAAGTTCTTCAAAGGCAAGTGACGCCGCACATCCAAGTGCTGTGCTGCCTGAACATGCTTTTCTCACAACGCAAAGACTCCACTACCACGAATATGGACACCGACACGATCCATCCGCGAGCGCTGAGCCCACGGCTAGAAGCATGACTGCATCCATACAACAAGGCACAACTCGTTAACAAAGAGACGGGAGATACACAAGCAAGAAAGTGCAGGAATCTTGATGTGCGTGATGTGTAATCTCTTGTCGAGTCGTGTGTAATCGAATGTGGTGTTTACAATCCGAACTAGACTCTCATCACAATTAAGGTCCACCAATCTAGCTGAACAGCACGAAGCCTTTGCCGCCCCGTGAATTTAATCACTCGTATATCTACTCGCTTTCTCCAAAGCAGATTCAGGATGATGCAAATAATCTGTAGAACACATATGGAACGATTATAATGGTAGAGTCGTATGGGGTTGAGTGTGCTGGTCGGAACACAAGTGTGCCGACCCTGGTCCACATCATCCAAGACGCCGCAGGCAAACGAAAAAAGGCCGCACACTCGGAGACTGCGCTACACAGTGGTTGCGGGATAATCGCGCAGCAGAACAACCGATCTAAAATCAGACGCGCGCAGATAGAATGTGTCCTGCCCTATCTCCGCTCTACTCACTTGTCAAGAATACGATCAACATCCCATGATGGATACGCTTGGTGTCGCTTCGCACAACAAGTGCAAGACAATCGCACGGCGGAAATGTTGCTTTGAAGCCGCATGTTTGCTTAGACAACTTGTGAGCAGTACACACAAGATTTCAACGCATGGCGCTCGGCAGAGCTGTGAAACATGCATGGAAAGGGAAACTGGAGCCTGGGGGTGTTTGAGATGATAGACATGTTCAATGCAACTGTTACGCATAGCAGCCTGTAGACAAGAATCACTGCTAACGCTCGCGTTCAGAACCTCATCGTGACATAGTCAGATATGTAGTCCATGATGAGAAGCTGGCGAACATAGTGCTGAAATAGACCTCTCGCCAGCGCAGCAGCCCGCGGACGAATATTGCTGCGTTTCTGCACTGTCGCCACGACACACGACCCATCGCAACCCGTCCAATCGCTAATTCCTGTATAAGATGGCGAAAACATTGCGGAGCAGAGCTTGAGGTGGCCGCACAAAGAAGGAAGATGGGGATGTGCAAACAAGGAGGAGAACCTACGCAAACCGCCACGATCCGCGCAAACTGTAACATCGAGGTCAGGAAGCGCAAAGACGGCATGAGAGCATTACTTGTAACATGGAGTGGAATATCGGCACGACCTCGTTATGTACCAACAAGGAGTGTTAGGAGAAAGTTCATCCTGGGAAAACATGACCAAACTGTGATGAACTTCTATAGTTGTCACAACTTCTTAGGCGAAGGTCTCTGTTTACCCGCCAAACTGGGAACCGGGCTATGACGCGCTCAATTTGCCTGTCCACACAAAGAATCACCGAGACATCGCTACATCGCGAATAGGGCGTCGAAGTAGTGCGTGGAATCCAGGAAAGCGTAAAATGATTGGCGTAGACACAGTCTCATAATCATTTTGTAGTTAGGTAAAAAAGATTAGATCACAATCGTGACGCAAAACCCTTTCTCGGACTGGGAATCTGCGACAATAGGCGCAAAGGTAACGCAAAAGCAGGATGCACGAGGATTAAGCAATAAAGGCATACAGCAGTGCAACAAGGGACAAGATGTGGTTTTGTATACATAACTTAACTATATTTACATGCATCACTTTCATACAAAGATATCCGCACATGCTTACATTACCAGGTCTCCTGCAACGCGCCCGACCCGAGAATCTAGCTGGGAAGCGCGGAAGAAGCTTTTGAGCAGAGTTTATAAATCAAGAAGAGAACATGGGCCGATAGTTTACCGACCCAGAGACGTACCAGACCGCGGATGCTTACACGTACATAAGCTTGCTTGACAGGACAGCAACAGCCGAGGAAATGATAGTACGCGGGTACCTGATTGTGTCTCTGATGGAAGAGGTGGACAACGTTGTGCTCACAGCGAAAAGAGAGTATCTGAGTTGCATTCCAGGACGCTTTTCTAAGGATAAAAACCAGTAAGAACCTAAACAAAAACACGACCGATGTCATAGCCAAGCTCGAGATTGACTGATACACCTCCGCCGTGTGTGTAGATGGGAGGTAGATCAAGAATATGCTGAGGATGTCGATGGCGGACTAGATTATCAGTGTGTCCACGGATGCGAGCTCAGTTCTGGGCTGTATCTTCATCGGGAACTTGAATCTGATGACTAGGGGAAGCATGATCCTGATTACGGCTGAGAGCGTGGTAGCTGGCAAGAACTCGAATATTTACTCAACTTGGAACGAAGGAAGAACTAGGCTCGGGTCTGAATGTCATATCACGAGATAGTAGATTATGAGCTTTATGAACTGCTCGAACGCTAAGCTGTGTTACAAAAACACGTGAACAAGACGTAGCCCATAAGTATACAAGCCTAATTATGAGACAATGTCTTACTTTACATTCCCGTGTATAGAATGTTAGACTATGTACTAGACTTGAAGCTTGTATAATTTACTTTCTAGCTCATTCTTTCAACTACTAGTTAACAGGACCAATTCAATTTAGCAATAGATTCGGTGAAATCACCAATCTCTGGGTCGTCGCACGTTTAATTACAGGCCCTTGAGACTGCGATACAGTAAAATTCCCGAGATTTATGGCTGGAACTGCTCAAGGTCAGAGCCATAATATAGGGACACCGCGCGCTTGAAATGCTAAACTGCTGTCCGCTTCTGAGATAGTCTCGGTTTACGTCTATTCGTAACAGAATGTGTCATTCTAGTCAGTGATACAAACGAAAAATCTTTGCTTAGCATCGTGGAGTCATCCCACTTCACTCACCTCGCTGCCATGACGGTGCTAATTGGATCACCGCGACGAGGGGAGAACGGATGGATGACGTACCGGAGAAAAGCGAGCTGGTCACAGTACGTTAGGGTGGTTCAACGCATGCTCTCATGCCTACACGCCAGCACGTTTCTGCTTTCAACTCGGCCAGAACACCCGTCAGCAAGCTACACCTTTCCGCTGCACACCACCCACTACATACGCTTGACCATCACGCTCGTCACTCAAGATCCTGTTCGTCCTATGATGCTAATTCGACATAGCGCAAGACATGCCCAACTGAAAAACAGACCTGTCACGCCCACGATGGCTTAGCCAATCCTCCTTCACCTTCACCACAGCACTGCTCACCCCGCTTTACGCACGGATGGCCGCTCACGACGGATCGCGGATGCGATTCCAGCGTGACGTTGACGTTGACCGCCGCTACACGCGTCGCCCTGCGTCCTCAATCTACGACCTCGTCACCAACACCGCCAGCTGCAAAGCGCGTGACGTACGACATCCAGCATGCAGGCACCTCAATTAAGCACCCGCCCCAACACGGGCCGTTCACGTTCTCATACCACAGTTGCGCTTGGTGGTGCGCACGCCATTGCCCACCCGCTCCAAGACACTCAACAGTCCACCATCACGCACTCACCTCCTCCTGCGTTCGAAATGACGACAGAAAGCAGCCCCCTTGAGCTCTTCCGCTTTGAAGCCCAGCTTCTCATGCTGGCCAACGGTGAGCAGTTGCCTGCTTCGCCGCCTTCGCCGTTATCTCCAACCGGCGCACTGCAAATCCTCCGCCAGGAAGCCCTGACCGTTCTGTCGGCCGAGAGCGGACGCATGACCACCGTCACAATTCCCTTCGTCGGCATCAAGTCATCGAAACAAAGCCTGCTAATGAGTATCATTGATTACTCGCACGATCTCATCCTGGACCTGAAATTGTTGGAGCTCAGCAAGGCGCGACTTTCTGAGGAGAAGAAGGCACTTCAGGAAGACCGCGTCAAGTTCGCGGAAGAGAGAAGCCAATTTGTTATGGACAGAGCACGCCTCATTGAAGACAACGAGAACATGGCGAAGCGCATCAGTCTGCTCACCCTCCGGGCTGAAGTGATGAAAGGGATGAGGTTGTGTGTTCATCTAGAGAAGATGGAGGAAGAGGAGAGGACGTTGGTTGGGGATATGAATGTGGACGAGTAGAGGAGGGGTTGGAGACCAACACAAAATGGGTCATAGTCCGACACGAGGCATATGACGCGCAGGCATTCTCATGCATCATAACCAAAACGTTTACATCACCGACAAACACGCTCGGGAAAATATGTGGTCTTGGTGCACGTGTATCAAAGCAACCACAGCGCAGATCAAACAAAGCAGAGGGTTGCCTTAACCAAGCACCTTGCCGCATGCTTCTCGCTATGTGACATGCTGTGACTATATTCTCCAATTGTCCAGTTTCCAGAATCGAGAAGCGGAGCTCACCTTTGAAGTTGGCCGGGAGCTCGATGTTGCCCGTGAAACCCAAATTCAAAGATCCCAACCGCTTTTATCAACTTCCTAGACACCCCCGTCTTCACTTACACGTTTCTCAATGACCTCCTTGACAATATTTACTGTGAATTTCTTGACAACTCAGTTGAGCGGGCATTGAAGTTTCCAACAAGGTACGTCGCTATAGGTTACACTCAAGCACGCGAATCACGTCACACTCTCGCTCGCGATGAAGTTCCCATTCAAACTTGCCTCAAACATGCGATGAGGTTCGTCTAGAATGATTCCGAAGTAGTATCGCAATGATATATATCTTAGCTGCAGCTCACGGTAGAGCGTACCTGCAACGAGCTCGTGATGGGGCAAACACTCGAATTCGAACGAGAATTTATGATTGAGTTTTCTCTTCTGATTTCGTTCGAACTCGCAATGAGCTCGTGATAGACTTCGCGCCTGAGCCAAAACTTGGACTCACAACGATCATCTTACGATCTCACCGAAAGCGGCCACCGGCTGCGGACCTGCTGTCACTGAGAAGCTTCCTCAGTCTTCATATTGTCTCTGAGTATCGATTGCGAAAGCCCGTTGGGGCTATTGTAACGACAGGAAAAGCGGTCAAAGATGAGCTAGGCGGCGTATTTGACTAAGACTTTGTCATCTTGCGGGCGTTCTCGCTTCTAACTGCAACGGCTGAGAGAGATAGATCCACTATACGATCTTTTACGCAACTTCGCACTCCATCCTAGCTGATATATCAAGCCAGACAGAGCAGTGTAAGGTGACTTACATCTAGCTGAAGGCACGGGAGTTCCCCACAGGCTAGCTCGGGAACTGGGCAAAGTGCCCGAGTCTGTTTCCACACGTTGAACTGCTCTGTTACACACACCCGATTTCAGTCATTGAAAGCATGGGCACGATCATTCACGGATGCCGCATGGTATCTTTGGAAGACCGGAAGAGATAACAAGGCCTAAGATATCCTCATTGCTGCGCTTGCGGTCATGGACCTGGCGTTAGGAATCTTGGCAGGGGTGTTGTTATCCTGGGGGAGATACAGCCAAGCGGAAGGACCCCATCAGCAGGCGCAGAGGATGATCTCAAGGGAGGTGCACAATAACAAGCATGAGTAATTCACCCTTGGTATTGCAGTTGCAGGGCAACTACTTAGACTCGAAAGTACTCATGTGACCAGTCATTGGAGGAAAATCGAAAGAGATCGGGATGTACCACCATTCTATGCAGACCTCCGTAAGAAATCTAGCGTGGGTGCTACAGGCTCAAGGCAAAGACACAGTTGCAAGATTCCTCGAGCAGCAAGCGCTCGACGGAGATGAGAGATCGCGAGTGCATTGCCCAAATCATGCTACTGCGTGTAGTCGACTTTGTCACCGATTATTGGGGCTGAGAGGGTACATCGAGTCGAAAGCGGATGAATCTTGCCGGAACATTCGCAACGGCATTTGTAACCGTATAACATTGATCGTCACATGCGTCTAGCAGCTCTCAATGTGCAGCAAGCTGGCCTGGACTAGCACGAAAGCTCGACTTCAGCAAGATGAAATGGGTCCTTATGTCTGGCGATGTTTTAAGAAGATAGGAAAAACTCGATATTTGCGCGACTTTGGGGTCGGATCACGAGAAAGCTGGTTAAGCAACTGTACACGGCATCTATTCACAGCTAAGGATTGGAAGCTTGGAAAAATTGATAGCCGGTCGCTCGAAGCTATCCAGATGCTGATAAGTCAAGGCACCTACAGAAACCATGATTGACAGTGTTTCTCTGTTCCGTTCCGACAAATAGATATCGCTTGCGAGCAATATTGTTCAAGTATATTCAATTCTCGGCAATTGAACTGTGCAATGAGCAGTTGACTATGATCTAGAACTCACTCCGCGACGCAAGTTACACGTGTGTGTTGGTTGCCAGATCTGGCGGCGCAGTGCCACAGATCGACCGATAATCTCATGACGCCTCACCGCGAAGGTGCTAGGCCCTTCCCCTCGCCTGACAGGGAGTTGTTTGTTATCGTTCTCGAAGCTCCGCTTACTGCAGCAAGCATAGCGTGGTTGATTGCGTATGGGCGCGCAGACTTCGATCCATCCGAAGATATTGGGTATTCGAAGCCTCGACCCAAGCGGACACCAAGCAACCATTTATTGTCTCACAGCGCGCTCTTTGTCACCTCACTGGCTGGACAAGTCTGATGGAACTTGACAAGTCGCGCTGGGCGCCGATCTGAGGTGAAGACGACTAGTGTAAGTATCGAGCTCGGAAGTGCGACGCATTACTGCAATGGGAGCAAGATTCAACCACAGCAAGCACGCAAGAAGCTCGCCTTATTACTCTCCAAGTCTTGCGAAGATTGGGTTGAGTTGTCATTAATCAGATCACTAGGTTTATTCTTCACAGAAGCTACTCCATTTGGCTGGCCTTGATTACGAGTACGGATTTTTATCAGAGAACTATCTCGATGGGTCACTCTATGCGCTTCAATATTCATCTCTCTCAAGCTTCTACGCACTGCCTCGTTTTTACAGTTACTATGAATATTTCACACTGCTTCATCTTAACACCATCTGTTGATATGAGTATGCTCTGAGGTCCAATTATGCTCAATACGCAGAGCTAGAGGGTAGGAGTCAATGACCCAATTAATCAGACGGGAAACTCATACTCACCAAGTGCAATTCATGGTACTTGGATAAGACCTCTCAACGGCGCTGCAGAAAACCTCGGAGCCTCGTTACAATCAACCAACCCAGCCGAAGTCTATCAATGTCCTATATCTACCATGAGACTCTAGGAGGTTGTGGCGATATTACCAGCTACATCGCGTGACCTGCGGAAACCCTAGACGATGCAGGCGAAGGTTTTGAAAGCCTCGTACTCGTTTCTGGGGCTGAGGTCGGTTGGCAACGAAACGAGTTAAACGACGTGCAAGAAGAGCTGAAGAGCGACAATCATGTTCGCTCATCCTCTCAGACACCTATACAGCCTCAAGATCGAATGGGAGAGGTTGACCAGATGGGATCACGATGTCATCGTGGTGCTAATACGAACAAAAGCTTGCGTGATGACTGCCGGAAAAGATTGCGTCCAACGAGGCTAATGACCAAGAATCTGATGCAATGCTGCACAGCCAATGAACATGAGCGAGTTTCTTTCAAAGTCGCACACCGTCTTTGATGGCAGCTGGACTCTTTTGAAGTACAACTCTGACTCTTCTCGCCCCGGCGACTAAACCTTCTCTAACAAGGCGTTCATCAATGCTGAAACTTGTTTCAATTATATCAGTGATAGACTTGGCACGAGCTGCAACTTCCAGATGTTCTCTCCACCAGAAGACATGTCGCTTGAAGGCAGGATTTGCATTGATCGACGTACTGGTGCTCTAGATCCCTTCGCTGTTGGGTTATCAAAAAAGCTCAGCACTACGACTGGGTGGCAAGGAGTTAGCAGTGCTGCAAAACGCTTGGTATGGATACCTTTCAGAATCCCGTAGGGAAAGATGCCGGTGGACTACTCAGTTGGTTGCTGTTGTGAATTGCAGAGAGATGACTTCTTCGCCTCTGAGAATTCCCTATACACAGTTACTCTGGAGCACGTCATGGCGTGGTCTCGCAGCCAAGACCGTGTGAAGAAGGGCGTAAGATCAGTTTTATTACAAAGCACTACGTCCTTCGGGCTAATTTGCCGGCTAGGCACGCGTTTGACATGGATGGGTTGATCGAATAAGTAGAAATCTTCAATGGGGACGACCGGACAGCGATCAAATCCTGTCAATGCTCTGATTGACAACCACGGCCTCAAGTCAGACACGGTTCGAGTGAGAGAGGGGGAACATCAATCATAATCAACTCCTTGAGGACCAGGGCTCAGGGGTTGGAGCAAACGTCATCATTTACTGTTAGCTTCCGGTCATACTTGCTCGTGATCCTCTAGTTCGCCATCTCGTTGATAGGAATTTCCCTACGCTACTCGCTTTGGATGATACAGGTGCATTATCATCAGTCTGTTCAACCATTAATGTAGAAGCCTCTTGTTGCTCAAACCTTAGATTGACATGTTTTGGAAGTTCTATCTGACCAGAATCACCCCCAAACGCAGTCGCCATCTTGAAGCCATGCCGTATTCTGAATGTTCGGACGATGCATACCCGTCTCTAGACCAGGTGCGTCCAGCGCGAAAGCGTGCACACGGCGCCAATATTCACTGCACCCTCGGGAAGCCACTTCTGGGGATCGAACATGACAGGGGTAGAAAGTGTCTCAGAGTTTGCAACTTGTTCTGACAGATCATAGCCAGCCCTAAACCGGACTTACTGTCCTGAACCAAAGGCCATGCTAGCTCACTACCGACGAGGTATGGCCTAAGCCAAGGCCGACGTTTCACATCTTGAATGCAGACACTTAGCATAACTGGAGGCGCAAGATTGAAGCTCGTTAGCTTCGAATGCGCGACGATGAGCTTGGAGGCGAATATGGATGGAATAGCGGATATGACGTTCGAGCTCTTCAATCTACTAGTTCGGATACAGAATTCTGTCAAGAAATTGCAGAATGATCTTGAACATACACAGTAAAAGTCTTGGAAAGATCGAAAGGATCAAGCAGTTTCAGATCGGGGAGCCTGAGTGGTAGTGTGTGGAACGGTATCCAGGAAGATATTGTGGACCAATATGGGTGCTTTACGAAATACCTTGATCACACGTGACTTGCGTATCAGCCTATCGGTTAGATGTCCGGAGCTCTAGATTCGCGACGCTACACAAGGTGGTTATAGTATCTAATGTAGTAAAAGATGCTGTGTTTATTAAATAACTCCTAGCTGAAAATCTGCTAATAAAGCTGTAATATAAGCTATTGCTTTGAGCTGGTGAAGGTTCTGTTTCGGAGTCAAATTAATCCAGCCCCGAGATCACGTGCGTAGGCTTAATAATCCATTGATCTCTCAATTATACTACTAATTTACTAGCCACGTCATGACCAGTCAATCATCCAATCGGCTTATACGCAAGTCACGTGTGATCAAGGTATTTCGTAAAGCACTATAGAACAAGCAGACATTATATTAACGCGACTTTAAGTACCCCAAGGAAGAAGAAGTTACCTCCTAGCTACTCTATCAGGTGTGTACTATGATAGTATTCGAGTAAGTGAAAACGGTTGCTAATTTGCTGTGTTGACTGATCTGATGGCTGCTTTAAAGATTCGAGTAAGTGCACATATAACATTGTAAAGACGAACTTATAGAGCTGTTATATTGATTATTGGAAATGTAAAGCACAATTTGGCCGTGAACCTCTAGAAGCGCAGAACTCGCAAGCGACGATATATTTTACCGTGCACAGAACACTCGATGAGTTCTTGAAGTAATTAACAACAGATCATATCGAGCTTACAAAGCTCACTTTTACAGAGATCTTGAGATACTATCGAGACTCTCTAGTCAGCCGCGCTTGTATGACACAGCGTACTGAGATTCCAATAAGGGAACTAGCACTCCGTTGAACGGTTACCGTGAATTGCGCAATGAAAATGCCAAGCCATTGGATCGGACGATCGAAAACAATGCAATGCGTCCAGTGCTTTGATGAGATCGACGTCCTAGACTAATATAATTATCTACGTCTACCGTCTTCTGTGCTCCTATACAAGCAACGTAAGCTTAACTCTACTACTGGTTCCGACTGCGAAGCCGATGGAGGTCTGATCACTATCTCCCAAGGTATCGGCATAGTGAACGTTCCAGAACCCATCACACAGAGAAGAATTTGATCCAGTCCCTCTAGTCCTTTCTTGGGTAACAGCTCTATGCCCTCCATCTCAGTCTTCGTCACGAAAGCCTCACGCAACAGGTCGTCTTCGGAAAATCTTCCCCAATCGTTACCAAATCTGATTGCCTTCTAATTTGGTTATAAGATACCGAGGTCCTGAATAGCCAACATTCGGTTGGCTACTTCTACTGCCTGTACACTGGATCGGTTCTCAACACTTTACCAGAGGTTACTCATCCTTCGCCGATTATCGCCCCACGGGAAAAGAACCTGCCGGTATAGGAGGAAACTTGGCACCCATTATTGCCGGAGCTCGTTATTACGCTCATCTCGGACCCTTTCAAGGCTGCACAGCTGGGTAAAATCTTCGAGCACAAAGCCATTCGGAGGGAAAGGATACCTTAGCATGTGCCATAGCAGCTCGCATTTTAAGAGAGTAATTCTGCCATGCCGCGGAACGCCAACGTCGGACGTGACTAGGTCATGTTGTCGATCGGCGTTGGAATTGCTAGAGTGGATAAGATCATACCAGAAGTTGCAGAATCTATTACAGTCCTCGTTTCTATACATGCGGCCTTCGTGCTACTTCTGGTAGTATCGGGTGGGGCAGATCACCATAACGGCTGCGCGGTGAGAGGATCTCGGTGGAAATATTGCTCAGCATTGTGATACCTGTATTACTGGTCGCTCCAGGGCTCGAAGTAGGAAAAAATCGGCAAACGTTATCCGAACCATGTGTATGCGCCATATGTTTTGTGTTGAAGTTAGATAGCATCTTTTTGGGTCACAGTAGCGACGATGAAGTTATGCAATTGGGCTTGCTTCGAGTGTATCTGCAACTGGATGAGAGCTTTGTTCTGCAGCTTACCACTTCTTGGACCTATACTGTTATGCAATAGTGATTGTGGGTGTAGCCTAAACGCGAAGAGTGGGTTGCCCTTACAGATTTCTCTAGCTAGTGAATACAAACAATGTGGAAAAGCTTCTGGGAGGTTATTTCCGTGTAAGAGCTTAATCTCCTACTAAATTTAGTAAACTGTTTTTCCAACATTCACAGTCGCAATCGGACTGTACATTTCATCGCCAACAGTCGTCTATATTGCTGAATAATTGCGTGTTGGTACGCCATCCCACAGATCCAATCTCGGAGACGTACTTTCGGTCTATGGTGAATTGATTAGATCTACTGAACGCAGCGCTAGCAGAAGATTTACATCTCTAGGCCTTCAGAGACTTCATAAGACGGATCTCAATTCTAGATGCTTATTGGCTTCTGCGGACGCCTCCTCGGTGATGCGGTTGTCTATCTTCAAGCGGTCGGAGATGAACGTCTGCCTCTTCACAATCTCAATCATGTCCGCCCCCATCTGCTTTATCGTCATCATGAGTTCATTGCACCTCTGGTTGATGTTGTCGACGACGATTACCTGCTGGGACACGCCCTTGCCCGTGAGGTCGAGCAACTGCCCGAGCTGACTCCTCTGCGGAAACATGTAGGGGCTGTTGTTCTTGGGCTACAACCTGGGTACGTTCGAGTTGTTATTGGAGTCCTGCGCTCGAGGTCCTGAGTTCTACCTGTTCCTATTTGGGTTGTTGTTGGAGCTTGTCTGTGTGCTCTCGATTGCCTGTATGAACGGATTTACGGGCACGCTTCGCTGCGCACTGGTGGACTCAGGCATGGTCTCGGAGTAGAACTTGTTCGTGCTGCTGCTAATGGGCGTGCGGTTGGTCACGCTCTCGTTCACGTCCATACCCTCCATCATATACTGGAGATCGTAGTCACTCATCTTGTTGTACAGGCTCCCGGTCGAGACCACGAACCGATTGAGAAGCTGGTCAGGTGCCTGATCAACGAGTGCTTCGACTGCGGATCCGACCGCCCCCAGGCCGATAAACTGGTCCAAGACCGAGTTGGGGTACGTGACCCAGTTGAAGCCAGTGACCGCAGTTATGTACCTACTCCTATTCACTATCGTGTCGAGGTGCGACTCTCTGATCGTGATCTTGTCGTCGATCGGGCTGTGGGACTCGCTCTTGCTCACGTTCATGCGCGACATTGTGGCGGGGTTTATGGTTTTGGTCAGCCTCATGTGCTTGTTCATATCCGGGTACAAGCTGGTGGCGTCGTCTATCGACTTGTCGGCGTTGGCGCCCATAGAGATAACGGTGATCCGAAACCCATGCGCACTGTGTATCATAACGATGTCCGTGACCACTCCGAGAAGAGGGACAAGCTCAAGCGCTTCTTCGACACTGCGTTGGTAATCACGGGGAAGGAGTTGACGAAGGCCACGCCCGCCTCCAAGCACATATACAAACCTCTAAGCATCATCGCAAACTTAGACGTGTACTCATGGCTAGTCCTAAGTCCTGTCGTATTCGTGCTCTTCATCAAGTTCATCTGCCTGACCTTGACCTTGATTGCGCTCATGGATATGATCTGGCTCATGACCTGCACCGAGGGCGTGCATCCGATGCAAAGCCTTGGCGAGTATGCGAGCGCAGTGGCGAACGCCGGCAAGATCCTGTTCTCATGTGGGCTGATTCTGACGCACACGTGTCTGAGTAGAGCCAAGTTCGCGACCATCATCGTGGCCCTGTACACATCTGGGTACGAGTCTGAGTCTGAGATCGTGTTAAGATTCGACATCATCTTCAAGGTCGCGTCCATGCACTGGTTCCCAATGGTGGCCTGGACAGTGTTCACCTTCGAGATGTTAATGATGTCTTTCTTCCTCTCTGGTATCGCCTTCACCTTCTCAACTGCGGACAAGTACATGCCGGCGTACGTGATCGGGTACGGCTCGGAGCCCAGTTCTGATCTCGATGACGAACACGTCCAGATTCCGATTATAATCCAGTCGATGATTAGGTTCTGCTTCACGATCTGGTTGGAGAGGAGGAACACGAAGATGATAAACAAACCGAGCACGGTTGTGTACCTGTACTTGCCTAGGTCAGGAGCTTGCCGACGTCTGAGTTCATGTCGAGGGCCGCGTTGAAGCTCGAGAACGGGTCGGTGCTTCTGCCTGCAAATGCGCTCGAAGTTGCGCCCAACATTGAGGTGACGTTTGAGATTGGGTGCAGGGCCTCAGCTTCGGTGAAGATGTTGTCTGGGACCTCGAACCCAGTTGAGGACGACTGCTTTGGGTTGTGGTAGCTCACGCGCCTGATGTGGAACACGTTATGGATCTTGACGCTGAGCTCGTACTTGCCCTGGGTCGGCACTACTTTCCCGTTCTCCATCTCAGACTCGCTGGCAACCGAGATCACGACTACAGCCATCGCCAACGAGCTCATGCCCGAGATGATCTTCATCGCCTCGTACAGCTTGTGGGTGTACCCGTTGGTGATGGAGATTTCTTCTAGGACCGCGGGCATAGATTCCCTCAGGATCTCGAAGATGGGCGCGATCGAGAGCTTGGGTAAGCCAATGCGTGCGAAGTCGTGACTGATTCTGCGCTTAGGCCAGCTGTTGTTCATCTGGCCTCGTTCATGACTACGAGCTTGATCCTTATTCTGGTAAGATGCTGAATGGTCTGCAGCGGCTCAGTCGTCCATTCGGGCTTGTTGGCGCTCGAGCCGATGTTCGTATCCTGGACCTCGAAGGCCGTCCCGCTCGCGTTGCTGGGCATGACTCCGCCCATGTGCTGGGACGTAATTGGAGGATGAATCAGAGCTGGACTGGGGACGCGGTTCGGGATCGCGCTGGTGATTGTAGCCAGGTAGTTGGTTGTGAAGCCGGGCTTGCTGGGGGTGACGGTTGGGTTATCGGTCCTGTTGGTGAAGGGAGTGGCGACGGGGTTTGTGATCGGCTGCTTGTTCCTCGGCTTGTCGAACCTGCTCTCATTGGGCACGGTCTGCTTCACGGGGGTGATGGTGGGGCTGGCTCTGAACAGATTGGACTGATCATCTTGTACAAGACCCTCTTAGCCTTGTCGTCGACCGCGTTGGTGTTGCTGCTGGTGGTCATATTATCCAACGTGTGCTTGTGCTTGGATCCGATTGTGGTGTCGATGTACGTGCCTGAACCACAGCGTGATTTAAGCCTGACTGAGTGTCTCGAGCTTGGACCCGTTGACGTTGAGGATCTGATAGCGAACGCCTCGCCTACACCAGCCTGAGGTTGAGCAAGCACCTGGCCCGGAGCTTCAGGTCGGTGACCTACGTGTGCTCATCCGCGGACTTGATGTCGTACAAGAACCCGGTCGAGATAAAGGGCGAGTTGTTGACCATGTACCCGAATCGAATAGTGAGCTCGTCTTCGGGGTATTGAGGCATGATCCAGTCGTCGTTCGAGTGGTGGAAGGTGTAGGTGACCAAGGTCTTGACCTCGTACGGGTCCGTGTTCACGTCCACGATGGCGGTGATGACCTCTTCCACGTCTTCAACCTTGATCCCCTTTATCAGACTGTTCGAGGGCGACTTCTTGAGCTGGCCGCGCTTCGCATTCGCGTTGAGGTTCATGGTGTAGTGCGAGGTCGCCTTCACGTATGCGCTTCTGATCGAGCCCAAGGGCGTAGACCCCATCCGTATATAGCGCGTGTAGAACATGGCGTTGACCTTCAGGCTGCTATAGACGATCTCGTTGGGGTGTGGCTCAGGCCGTACCACCCGTCTACGTCGTGGGACTCGATCTTGCGCACCTTGTCGTCCATAACGTAGCTCAGGATGATAAGCGCAGTCGAGTTCCTGGTGTAATTTGAGAGCATGGATATGAACGTGGTCTTGTCGAGGTCCTCGCAGTAGGCCGCGTTGCCGAGTCTGCAGTCGTCCAGCATCATGATCGCCTTTCCCTCACAAAGCGGGCTCCCCGTCCTCAACGAGTCCCTGATCTTGTACAGGGTGTCGAGCCTGTCCAACACGGTGTTGTAGTCCGGGATCTGATCCTATCTGCAATCTCGAGCAAGCCCACGCCCATCAGCACGACCCTGTTCCCAACCTCCAACATCTTGTCGATCCAGTCCCGGTGCTCGATTACGTCCCTATACGGCTTCCGGTACCTTTCTTCTCCGAGGTCTCTAAGGACACGTCCGAGGCCAACATCTGGCTCAGAAGCGAGCATCTGGTCGGGTACTGGGAGATGATGTCATACAAGAGCGACTTCATGTTGACGCTCATGTTGAGGCTGGTGGTCGGACCTGTCTGCGGAATCCGAATTGCCACCTTCTTGTTCACGTGGTCAATGCCGCGTAAAGGTCAGCTCCCTCCTCGCGACCCTGATTGAGTTTACGTACGGCTGCCCGGGTTCTGGGTAGGTTACCAGCCTGGACGACTTGGCGCTGAACGCCGAGCACAACTTCTTGGGCGTGACCCCGCATCTGATTGCCATAGCGGCTGTGGCAGGGACACACTCCAACCTGCTCGCCCCGACGTCGTACACGAGACCAGCCATAATCTTGTTGACGTTCGTGCGGAAGAGCGTGTACAGGACTGTCGCCAGCGAGGTGGGGGCCTCATCGTAGGCGTTGGCTACAGACACGCACAGGGACACGAACTTGAGAATGACCGAGGTGGTGATCTCCGGCGGGTCCACGGGCTTGAACTTGGTCAGCTGCTTCTTCACGTGGTAGATCGTCAACCTCCTCCTGATGCTGTTGCTGATGGCGGCCTTCCCGTTATGCGGGACGCGATTCGAGATTTTAAACGCGGTCTGGGACAAGTAGCCGGTCCTGCCCAGCGTCGAGACCGGAGCCTCCGATGTCCACCTCTTGACGTTGTCGTAGTTGAACCCGTCGTTGATCTTGCACTCGTCGTAGATCAAGATCCTCTTCTGGCACAGGTACATAACCGTGTCCGCGTCTGGCCACGAGCTTCCGGCTCCGAAACTTTCATTGCACATGGGAGATATGACATTAGCTGCTCGCGGGAAAAGGTAGATACAGGATACACAAGGAGATGTGGTATCAGACCACTACGTCATCCAAGTATTGCTCTTTGTCCTACCTCTTGGGAAAGTCGTGACATCTCTTCGCCAGTACCGGATAGTGATTGGTAACGGATGAAAGATGGGAACAAATGTTGATCTATCAATTGTAGTGTCAGTGTCGAGATTGAATAGAGTAATCAATCCTATTGATCTGGCAGCCACAGCCCGTCTTGATGCACGCATTGCCTCGCATCCATCGAGGACCGGCCTTGAGATAAGTCGTCGCCGTTACAGGCTTCCTGGTTTTGCAGTTCGTGCGAATTGTGATTGTTTCCATCTCCTCAGGCACTGACGCTTGTTTGTGAGCTTGCTAACTCGGCACCGCTGACCAGAATACAAATAAAAAGTATATATCGGATGTGTAAGTTCAAGCTCGCGTGATGCTCCGATTATGATATCCCATGATTCGGCTTCTTGAACCTGCAAATTTCAGCTAACAGATCAACGGAGTGTAATTCTCAGAAACTTCAAAAACAGGACGGCACACCAAAGTCACCGCTGCAATCCAAACGAGGGGCTGAATGCCGACACGCCAACACGTTTCGATTAGCCAACAGTCGGCCCGAGACTCACAGGTTCAAGAAGCTGCATGCTGTGATGGATGTATGGTTTTCCGAGGGTGTTTGCAGTATAGATAAATTGAAGTAGACACCGTTGTGTAGTTCAGAGGCAGGTTATCAGAGCTGTCAACATGTCTACCACAGCACCAATCAAATGGTATTTACCAGCTCTTTCTAGTCTATGGGGTCGAGTAGACGCACATGTGTATCCCCTTGTTAATTTATTAAACATTAGGATGTGATCTGCAATAGTTATTCTATAGCTTTGTAAATGAACTGCTTTCTCGTAACCAATAGATTAGTCAATCTTTGGAAGAAGACATAGGTCAATACGTCTGGCTGGTGACTTTTGAATAACTTCTCAACATTGGGTGACTTTGCTCGGGTCATAAGTTCTTCAAGAACAAGAGCATAATAGACTTCTATAATTTCGAGAATATCTACGCGAGCATTGCTGCACTGAGCTTAACATAGATATAGTAGAAAGGACCCTCAGCAATAGTTACAGAGTGTATAAACGTAGGCAAAGAATAGATGTACTTTATCTCTACATCTGCTCGTTGACTAGAGCGGGATGTTAGAAGCTTCTTAATCACATAGAACGAATTGCTTAAAACGCGAACAGCAGAATATAATATCTGATCTCAATGTCAAAATACATTACAAGGAAGAAACTCCTGTCGATTCCAAGTAATCAACGACATGATCTGATTAGCAAGAGAAGGCGAAACTTTATCAAGTTCGTGTACATAACTTTGTTGTCGTGCACGCACAAAACATTTCTAGCTTATTAAAGTCACTTATAACTGGGCATGCAGTATTAACTTGAGAATTATAACTGTGCTTATAAATAAATTCCTGGCCGGACTTTAATAAGTCTATAATTGAGAACTAATCGTGAAATTCTAAGACAGATATTAGACTCTACATCACGTATGCTGCTGTTGTACCTTTACCCAGGATTAGATCCTTTTTTCCACACACCAAAGAGAAGTCGTATAGTAAATCATGATAGTACAAGACCCAAGACGGCGAACACGGTATTGGAAGGGGAACAGGAGGTTGATACCAGGCTGCAACTTTGGGCCGGCCCATCAAAAGTCGGGCACAGGGCATCAGTATCAAGAGTCTTTTCAGATATTCACATATTACCAGAAAGACCTGCGCATTATTCCCTCTCCTCTTCCCAAACAGTCTGTGGTTGACGATATTCACCAACTTCGTTATACTTCCTCTCTCTAGCACACACAATATAAATAGCTACTAGACGGTATCTTCAATATCGAAGAACTCCCCTTACTGAAAGTGATAGCCATTAGGCTGCATACAGAACAAAGCCGTATGGCGTGCTTATGGGCCCGCTTGGGTACGGTTTGGCAATGCGGACTGGTAGATCCATATCAGCACCAGAATTGGGGTACACCACCAGGAACGAGATTCTGCGTGCCGTTCAATTTCCGGGTTCAGATATAGCGCCGTTTTGTGGCTTCCTGCCTGGTGACCGCATCGCGAACATGATGACCGCTCTTCAAGGTCGCGATACCGAGTGTGGAAGTCCATCCTTCTATATACACCTGTGTCAGTTCAAGTCTAGTTGGTATCACGGCGAACTCTCCGCTTCACAAAGACGACGGTATTTCCATAACTTGCCGTTCTTTCGCACCGTTCAGCATTATGGGACTCTCCGCCGACGACAGCAGCTCTATCAAGGAACCACGCAGGCGTGAAAACGTCTACATAGCGCACCTAGTCGAGGGGAAGCTACCGATGATCTGCTGTCCGGTGGAAAACCTGGCCGAGTAAGTTATTATGAGCAAGGTCTTCATGAATTGTACAGCCGCGACCATGTCGACCTCAAGGTTGGTACCGCCCACTTCAACCTGCCACTACTGCGCCACCTGATGAAGAAGACTCTCGGCCCAGGCCTCATTGACAGCCTCGAAACTATTGTCCGCCGCGACTTCGGCGCCATTGCCAGCATTCTCGCCTTCCGCATCACTACACCTGAAACAACCAAGGATCCAGCACGTATCGGCGCCTTCCTCAAGGCTACGCTCGCGCAGGTCATTCCTTGCTAGTCTAAGAACCGCAGTAGCGACCACATTTGCCTGGTCGGACTAGATTCTTACTGCCGCATCTTATCAGCCGAACTCGGGGCTTGTCCTCACACTGTGTTCATTATCTGAACCGTAGTATCCAGCACCTCATTTATTGGGCACAACCCTGCCCACCCGCCAAACCCGTCAAATCACGCAAGGGCTTCTCGCGAATACAGTATTTACACTCGGCATTCATCTCTGAAAGCAAGTTCTCCATGGCGTGTCTCGTTGGCCAAACCCAGGGGTTCTTTTCGCGTACTGGCCGGTGTCTGGTTTGGAGAGTGGAGCCTGGCAATGAACAAGTGCCAGTCCGGACATGCGTTGCATGAATTTGGCTGCAAAGGAGCATTCAATATAGACAATCGAAACGCAACGCTGTGTATTGTTCGGAACAAGCTTGTTCCCCTGCAATCTAGATCCATGGCACTTGTTATAACTTGAGGGTATCAGCCTACCAAGAAATGTGTGCGTATAGGGGAAAGATTTCGATGCGCTGAATTAGAAGGAGCAAAGTGTTGCCAAGTTGTACAAATACTGCTGCGAGGACTCCTTACTCAGAAGATAGGAAATCTTATGCGAGCCTGGTTATCCCGGATAGGCTCCGTCGATAGAAGGAGCGCCCACTTCCGTGACTAAACTAGTCATTCGGTACACGTTGCCAAGTAAAGAAAGATAATTGCCTTCAAACTCTGAACGGCTTCTGGCTACTGTCTGCGTCTTTGAACGGGCGAAATCCAACTCTTTCCTTGGCCCATTGGCAATATTTAATGTGCGCCAGCTTCTCATGATTTATTTGCGTCAGATTACGAATTCTACATATGTGCGGATAGATCGCGCAACAGTGCGGAGTTTGGCTATGTTCCTCTAATGCTGTGGAGCGGAGGCTCTTACGAATACCTCGTCGAAATCATGAACTGCGTGAAAGGTTTTCGGTTGAAGTTGCGTCAGGGTGCTCTGGAAAGTCGAGGGTTTGTTCTACATAAGCTCATCGGGAACTGGCATCGAAGCAAATGCATTGACAGCGTAACAATGGTACACTGAGATATGTAGATTGTTGACAATGCTTGGGTACAACAATAATGGAGTTGAATGATTTGCTGGCGTCGTTCTGTAGAGCTGTCTGAATTAATTCATCGGAGTATAGTGTTGTGATCTTACAAGTGTCCAACGCAGGCTGACATGTATGTATAGGACCCTGACAAGTTGCTTTGGGACCACTATCATATATCTAGCCAAGATAGACTCAGTTAATGGGTATTTGAAGTGACGGACATAGTAGGGGCACGGTTCTCACAATATCTTGAATGAACTGCACTACACTATCTACGATCGTGTAAGAATATGGCCAGGTAAGCTAAATTTTCTGCAGGTTTCATTTTGTGCACCTCGATAGCGAGGAAAGAGAGATATATACCGATGTTGCGTAATGGCAAAGCTTTTATGGCTCACGCCTTGAGTGAGCCAGCAAACAAACGGCCGTCTCCAGGCTGGTTCTCAAAGGAACTCCGAGGTTGACGTCTCACTTGGTTAATTAGTTCCAGTACGTACGGCATACAAATCCAAGATATCAGCGTGATGAATATGCTGTGATACCAAGCAGAATAACCAAAAGTAAGCGAGTTTTTCTAGAGAAAGTGCCTACAGAGTGGGGGTCAGGTCTCCCGCTGATGAACGTACGCTGATCCAAGTAAGTAGACACTAGCTAAACTCAGAATCGGTTGAACGTACGACAACGATCAAACGGGTATAATGTACAAAGAAGGGAGTAAGCTAGAGAATCGTTAGTATATAGTATAAACAGTAGTCGAAAACATGCCGACCTGCAAGGACAATGTGTCTACCAAGATGAAACGATATAGTTCGTCGACCATGAACGACAAAAGATCGACCTGCACTGGTTACATCAGCTTCTACTTTTATCACTTAATTCCTACAAAGTGAGCTTCCAGCCCCAGTCCTACAGCTACACTCTTTAGTCGCTCTTCTACAGATCTTCATCCCTTCTGTTTCGTCTCTCCCAATACCAAGTTGCATTTCTGCGGCGGCGGAGCCCTATTCGTTTGTTAGGTGAATATGTCGATAAACTATAAGTCCCAAAGGAGAAGAGTGGAAGAAATTGGAGCAACGCCAATTAATGAGGAAAATGGTTGTCTCCGTACACTAGTAAACCTGGTATTATGGAATGATGTCGGATATTGATAGCCCATCCAGCGGACGCCAAGCTGAGAGTTTTACGTGTAAGCCTGAAAAGGTTGAGCTTGAGCGGTTAAGCAATACGATATCGCAACGTCGTAGGTATTGGTCCCAGTGTACTAGTACCCAAGCGTGATGATTGCAAAAGCTCTCTTAGGGACGCACAAACACTTGTTGTCTTCTTATAACAGTAGCACAAAAACAGAAAGTGAGATATTACAGAAACGCGACAACGGATATTGGTGAGGACCACTTCTATTTAGCGGCTGGATGTTGAAATCTCATTCAATGGATCTTCTTACGCGGCTCAATCTAGAATCTATCTTAGAGAGTTAATAGATAGCACATATCTCAGGAGATAGCCACCCATTATGGTTCAAAGTTTACGGATTGAAATCGAGGGTATAAGAGAACAGGTGGCATATATTATGGTGTTTGAACTTTAAGAACCTGCTGACCAGACAAATATGCACCCCAAATTGCCACACTCGGACACACTATACCCAATTTCCATCATGCGGAATTAGGTGTCGTTGTAGACTCTAGTACTTGTGAATTGTCTGCGCTACATATTTACCACGTTTGGAAGCGGACACTATGCACCACAGTGAACCGGGAAAGGCATGCATGATGATTGTTAGTTGCTAGCAAGGGGTAATCGTGTATATTCAAATCTGGTACTATGTTACTCAACCAGTACCTGCGGTGGTCATCAAGGAGAAAACTTAAAGAAAACATGTTTCTTAACTGCAACCAAGCGCACAACCAGAAAGCAAGCCAAATCCTAGATACTACTGTGTCATCCGGCCCATTAACTCTAATCAACGAGATTGAGAACACATTCAACCAAAAGCCAGGCACTTTCAAACTCGCCAATGATCCCAGTGAGCAGTTTATTATGGGTCCTGGACGATACCACAACTTGAAATATCTCTGTTACATTCGTGTCCCGCGGATACAGCTGCTTCTAGGATAGTACCTGCACCGTCGTCTAGTGCCCGGATACCCTAGCAGCTCCAATCTCTTTTTCCAAGTGATACTCATCATCTTTTCACTCGTTGTTATTTCCCGACATTATCTCGCTTTCCTGGACATCAAGGCCGTCCTCAATTTTGAACCAGACTTGTTCATCCGACACAGCCATGTTGTCAGCACCTTCAGCTCAGAGATCCTCCTACAAATCAAACAGCACCCAATCGCGCATCTCTTCTTCCTCACTGCGCTCGTCAGAAGAAAGCGCTCGCTGCTCGGCATCAGCGGTATCGTTATCCTCGTCCATGATCTTGGCCTCGTCCCGTGCAGCGATCAGCGCAAGCCAAAACACTGTGACAACGTGGTGGAGCCAGTCCTCATAAGCCAGACTTGCCTCTGCACAGCAATCAGTCGCCATCCTGTAGGCCGTAAGAGAAACTTGGACTTACTGTGCCGCAAGAGAATTAAACGCAGACTCTCCTCCTTCTTAGTGCGACGTTGCTTGAACGCAGGCCTGGGCGGTTGTGTAGGCTTCGAGACAGTTGACTTCGAGGAGACAGGCCTTGGCGGGAGGGCAGGTTTTGCAACACTGGAAATCGAGACGGCGGATTTATTAGCGTCCATAATAAACTTCTGTCGGCGTGATCGGTGGATTTGTTTGTTATGGGTCGATTTGCACAGCTTGCGGCGGAGGTTGACTGGGGAGGATACTACTTGAACGGTCAGTGTGGATGGTGTGGCGACGATGCGATTTGCTGGCTACATACGTTGTAGCTGTATGATTATGCAGCCGATGAATACCCCGACAACTTCCAAGACTGGGCTGGTTGGGCAGTGTGTTAGACCTGGGTTGCGGTTGGAATCGAGGCACTGTGGCGTCGCAGTTGACAGATAAAGTGAGGTGCGGGATTGCGTGTAGGCCGGTTATCGTGTGCTCGATGGAGATTTGAGCTCGATGCCGGTCGGACGTGAGTCAAGACGATGGGATTTACTGGCCGCAAAGGATGGCGACCTCTCAAATCGTCAGTCCGAATAGTCGGTCAAAAATGCGACTTGCCGCATACACAGAATCAGCTTCTTTTGATCGGTCGGCGGCGCGCTGGGCGTTGTCGGGCTCGAGGGATACTCTTCGTCACAGCGAGTCGGGTCGGAGCCACAGTAGGATTGGTGATAGCTCAGAGTGGATCGGGTGGTACAGTGATGTGAGTGGTTGTAGAGGATTCTGCGTGCCAGGTCAGTGTCAATATTGAGTTGAAATCGCGCGTTGTTACCTGGACAAGCCAGCCGGTATGTCGCTCGATGACTTATGCCCTAATGCCTGGTAGTCGCGCGAGAGACACCTTTTGTAAAGGTCGAGGTCAGCTCAACAGCGCAGTGTTGCGGTGGTGCGGTGACGATGTGATGTGGTGAGTGGGGAGATAGCAGCAATAAGGCTGGGCTCGTTAGCAAACGAGCGGTGGCCGTGGCTTTTCGCGTGGTGATATGAGATTCCGGAGTGAAAGCCAGATCGTGAGATCGACCGATCGAGCATGCGCATCGCCTATGAGGTCAATGAGGAAGTGAAAGTAAGTAAGATTTGAAAGACGAACCTTTGAATCGCGAACACCAGAGAAGAAGTTAGATATAAGAATACACTGCATTGCTTCCGCGGCAGACTTGCATGGCAGACACGAACAACTATACATGTGTTATTATCAGCGGACGTCTCACTTTAGGCCTCGCCCTCTAAAGCAACTCCACAACGCTCAACCAGTATGTCGATTATCCGTCTGGTCTTGCAGGCACTTCTGGCAGATCGTCACCCCCTCCATCGCCTCTTCCCTCTCATTCCCGCGATTCGCTATCCTTTACTCAGCCAGCTCATACTGCGTTTGCGACGCAATGGCCTTCTCCGAACTCTGACAATCCGACAGGATCCAGGATCTGATGAGAGTACGAAGACACCCCTTCCTTTGAAGTGCATCTTCCATGCACGCTGCACGTCAGCGATGGACTTGGCGTCTTCGGCGATGTATGCTAGTCGGCGCTGGAGGTTCGTTCTTATGCTCACTCGAAGATTTGCCGACATGGTAAACGAAAACGCGGGTGTGGAGTTACGAGTTGTTGCGCTCAAACATATCAACGGCGTATTTGCCGGTTATGTTGTCAAGCACCCTTTCCCAAACCTCCAAACCGCGGGGTGTTGCTCTGGGAATTCGTCTCACGTGTTTCTAAGCCGCCTCCAGCCCATTTACTCCGTGGTTGTTGGGCTGTCGAGGGTGCGCCATTTAGACCATGTGTAAATGCTTTCGCAGATTCGGGGTATAGCGGCTTGTTGGAGTCATTGATTTACGTATATCTTGGGACTGCAAACTGCACATACAGCAAAACTCAAGCGACGCTCCGATGGGCTTTGTCCTGCCGTGTCAAACATGTGAACTCTGAACTGTAATGCGCGTATTGCAGTAGCTATGGTGACAGAGCCTTCCACAGGGTTGTTGGCGGACTTCATTACACTCCAGGCCGCAGCGCTTCACGTCGTCAAACCGTGACGTCATGATCGGTACCGCGGGTGAAGAAATCGCTGTGATGCCACCAGTGTTATATTTATCGCACAAATGGGTAGTGGGAGTCGCCATGGCTTTCTAGCGGAATTGTACCGGCGTCTCAGGTCGTGGAAGTGCAGAGCAGGATCATCGCGGAACCTTGTGAAAGCCTCGATGTCGGCGGGGCGCGTCGACCGATTGGCTGGATTGTTAACATGCCTTCAACTCCACTACACGCTCCATGAACATTGATATCCAAACTGTTCCTACTGTTATATTCGCCGTATAGTTTTGTACCGCTATCATCCCGTTTACCGCATTGCCGTTTATACTTTTGGCTTTCAACAGGGCGCCCATTAGCGTCGCACGTGTATGACAATTCGCTCGGTCGCTGATGTAAGTGATTTCCTCACTTTACAAGTTGTATATTCACAAGAAACAACTTCTGTAGGTTGCGGGTAATCCAATTGACCTTTCGTTTGACATAGCAGGTGTTTTAACGTATCTATAGACAATCAGGCTCAACGCGCCATGGAGTATCGACGCCCAATGCTAGGAGCGCAATGTTTACTTTGCGAATGCGCTCTACCTCTAGGCATTCATGTATCGTTTCGTGCTTTGCAATACGCCAACGTGCCAAGTTACCTTCGCCGAGGACCGCGCGCTTCAAGAAATATGCATTATGCCCATCGTGCATGATTCTTACTAAGGCGGACAAAAAGCAGGATGTCTACCTTCCGAAACTGGGTGAGAAGAGTGTAGATGGCAGTGCCTTTGGCGAGTTTCCGGACATGCGAGACAACTCTCTGGCCAAGGACATGGGCTACAACAGTGCGTGGGAGTGTCGCGACGGCGTAAAGAGGAATCGGCTACGTATGTTGTGCTTGGCTGCGAGCTATGCTGCTGATTTGCTTCATAGGATGACAAGTAGCGCCGCTGCAAGGGGAGACTCGAAAGACATCTCAATAACAATACAAGCGAGAAGGCAAGGCAGCAAGGATTCAATACTATCTTCAACTTTACTTCTAGCATGACGTGTGTTCCTGAGAAATCCTGTATTCAGGGTGAATTAAGGTCTTACATGATGTGCACCCCTCCCTGGCATCACCACCTCCGCACACCCTCCAAGATCTCCAACTGCCCCACCACCCACTTCAACTCGTCTTGCCTCCGCATAAGCTCTCCATGCCTCGCTTTACGCTCTTCAAGCAACTCTCCTAAATCGTTCAGCGTCTCCTGATCCACCATCTCGCCCGGAAGACATATTATCTCCCACCGACTCCATGCGCATCCCGGCCATCAGCGACCATAAGTCTCTGGCGCAGGGCATTATACCGCGCTGCCTCCTCCACGTGAAATGTCTTGACCAAATCAAGACGCGCCTGCTTTCTCGCAATGGCGGCCTTGGGTTGCTGGAGCTGGGAAGGTGCGGCGTCGAGGTTGAGCGCGTCGAGGTCGCTGCGCAACGCGGTAATGATGCGAGTCTCGATATCTTGGAAGGCTTGCTGCGCATGTTGCACGGCCTGCTGTGCCAAGGAAAACTTCAGTCGGAGGTCGTCGATCAGCTTGTCGAGTTCGGCGGCGCGCTGCATAAAGTCATCGGCTAGACGCTGTGTGTCTTTGTCGAGCTGTGTTATGTCCGGCACCGTCGTGTTGACGGGGTGGCTCACGGGGATGTCTCTGGGTGTGCGGTATTGGCCGAGTCGATCGACAGGGCTGACGGATTGTTCGGCGAGCGCGACGAATGGCGCCGAGCTGGGGGTGTCGAACCGTGGGAACGTGGTGGGTTCTGAACGGGGCATGGGCGTGGGCGTGGTGGGGAAGACGGCCGGGGTAGAGGGCAGTTCTTGCAACAGCCCACCTCGACGAAGCTCCACACAATCGAATGGGCGGTTGCTGGGCGACTGGCGTCATACTCGCTTGGCAGGCCGGCGACTGGGAGTGAGAAAGTCGTCGTCGATGTCATCGTCGGGCAGCTGCACGCCTTGGTCGCCGCGTGCAGTTTCCACGTCAGGCGGCTCGTTTTGGATGTGCTCGTCGATTCTCCAAACACCTCGCTGAAGGTCGTCATTCTGTGGCTCTTCGTCCAACTCCTCGTCAGACTCGCCCTCCAACAACTCGAGGTTGAGATGGCCGCTCTGGCGCAGCTCCTCGATGGCAGCAATGTCGACGGGCTAAAGCACACGTGACCGACCCGGGCTAGCAACCTCGCGCAGTCTCTAGCCGTGGCGGTTCTTGGGGAAGTCACGCAGTCGCTGTGCGGCGGCGTGACAGAAGACGGCGAAGGAAATCTCCTTTGATATATTGGCAAGGGTTTCGACAAAGCGCACCGACGGTTCACACGGCAGGTAGACGTGCTTGCGGTAGAGCTCCTGCCAGAACTGGGGCTTCTACTCGTGCAGGACGTGGATGCTGTATGCGACTCTGCTCGACGTGCTGCCTTTGACCTTTTTTGGCGGGGGCAGACACTCGGTGGGTGCGTGTTGGCCGAGGATAGAGAGCTTGTCGAGGCTGACGCCGCGGTCGTAGTGAGTGCCAAGAAAGTGGGCGGCACGCCACGCGAGGGCGAGCTGGCCGTGGTCGAGGGTGTCTGCAAGGGTCTTCTCGAAACAGTCTAGCCTCGTCTCGTGTTCGGTCGACGGCGCGTCGCCAAGCTGCCGCAGCTGCTGGGTGAGGTTGTTCGAGTCGTCATGCATGCTGCGCGCGGCGGTGGTGGCAGCAAGCCGGGCTGTGACGGTGCGGCGAGGGCGAGTTTGAGATTGGTGTTGACGTCAGCACAATGAGAGGGAAGGCGCGATTGACACGATGCTTTGGCAATCTCCACGAGGTAGAAGGAACTCGAGTCCATCCGCGTGGTACTTCAGCCAGGAGACGCGCTGGAGTTGGTCATGCGCATTGCGATGTTATGTCACGAGGCACCAATCGTGCAGCACGATTCTCTCAGCGCAAGCCGTCGCTCAGATTGCGTTCGTGAAGTTGGGTCGACGTGGTGTGTAGGAGAACGCGGTATTTCGAGAAATAGCGTCGGTCCCGGGAGGAAGGAGGCTGCGCAACTGTCTCATGTGCAGGCTGGAGCGGGCGGTGGCGGGGTGTGGATCAGACGTGTAAGGAAAGTCATAATAGCGTGCAGACACGATGGTGGCAGCTCGTGAGTTTGGTGTGGAATTGCTCGGGCCGGCTGCATGCGGACAGTGCATCGCTAGCGCGAACGAATCTTGGCACCGAGATGAAAACCATTAGTTCATTTGCATCAACTCTACCTCCATGTTCAGGAAAACCTAGCAAGGTCGTGGCGTGGTCACCAGCACTTTCTGGATAATTTTTACTATTGTGATTGACCGAGGCATCACCTCAGCAGCTTCTGCATTCGTTATAACAGTAGATGGGGGTTTCTACGATACCTACTTTATCTCCAATTCGCCCCCAACAAGATCGGATGAGGTGTTGACATGCGAATAAAAGTGTTTAGACTCACTTCCGATATTGTGATTGACCGAGGCGTACCTTCTGTACTCAGGCTTTATCTATACTCTGCTTCTTCTACCAATGCCACATTCCAGGAAAGCAATTCATTGGCGGCAATGCCAACTCAACGAATACAGATAAAAACGCTGTGGCGTATCAAGGAGTGTTTCTGAATCACTTATGTTATACTAGTTAGTAACGCTATAACCTTACTATGCGTTCTATCTTTTTTAGTTCGCTTCTTCACGGCTTACGTCGTCTTGAGATGAAGGGTTGACCACGCCTCCGCCAGCTTAGAAGCGAGACATGAGGAGATCGTGGCGGATTTATAAGCAAAACGCCGTTGGATTTACATCCAGTGTAGTGATTGGTCGAGCTATAACTCCAATGTTTGCGCCGTCTCAGTGGCTCGCGCGATGTATTGAATGTTAAGTTCACACCACCAACTCCATCCACTTTCATTACTATGACGGCACGAAAATGACATGGCGTGATGATAGATACCTCTGAGCCTACTTCAACAATCTGAGCCTTCGATATTACAACCTCATTATGTGCACCGTCTCGTAGATGACCTTCTCCGCCATCACAGTAGGGGATGAGAGTCCGATGTCGCCTTGACAGCGATACATGACGAGGTAGTATTATAGATATGCCTACCCTCAGAAGTATATTCAGTGCGCGTGGTAAAGAGGCCACAATGTTTATAGCTTTTTGTTGTTTACCCTGTGTCTCCTGTGCTCGCAGTGTCTTAAAGCTTAAGGTCTATAGTACTAACTCTGCCTTAAGCCCAATCAACCGCAACTTTGAAAGGAGAAAGGACTAATACATGAGCGTTCTGTGCGCTTCTATCTAGTATCTATTAGAAATAATTATAATATCTGTATATCTACTAGCTCCCAACGACGTGCCTTCCGTATCTTGTATAGGGACCCCCCCAGTTGGCTGCGTCTCTAATTATGTCTATTGACTCATGATAATGCAGTGGCGTATGAATGCACTCGTTTATGGCAGAATTCCTGATGCCTCGCAAGTTAAGCTACTATGTTATATGCTGATTCGCCGTGCCTTTTTGATTACTACAGGTTGAGACATGACGATTTAAGAACAACAACTCTCCTCTATCTTTAACTACGCACGATAAGTTCAAGGCTGGAGAATACACTACTGAAAGGAATGTGTTCAAAGTGTAGTAAGTAAAACCACAGCTTCTGTATCTTATTCTACCGCGCTTTTACGATATGCCGAGACTCGAAGGTTTAGCCACCCTACCTATATTTCTATCCGCGACGAACAGCAGCAAAACGTTATCTGGTTTATGAAGTATTGGAATGTATAAAAACGAACTATGCAAGGTTTACTATAACTAAACGTTCTTGCGCCGAATTGAAAATGAATAGCTTTTCTTCACGACTAATCTTCGAGTAGATAGTATGCCTGATGTTGTTCTTACATGTCTAACTATCACGAATAGTCTGACGCAACTTAGGAAGGCTGAGGAACAAGGGTATAAGACTATGCTTACGTCTTACTTAAGATTACGTGTTTACAAAGACTAGAAGAGAGCAGCCTTTTTGTAAAGCTTTATTCGTAGACGCTGCATTGAGGGAGAGTATTGGGGAATCTAATGGAGACAGTGTGTTATGGGGTTTCTGAGTGCGATTATGATATTTCATGAATCCAGCAATGGAAGGAGCAGGGGTCAGACTCGACAAAGCCAAAAAATCCGGAGTTGGAGATGTGTCGCCCAATAACACACCTTTAATTAATTCGTGGGAGTTCTCTCTACATATAGGCACACACGCTATAGTCTTAAGAGATGTACTTGATAAAGCGGAGAGCTAATAGAATCTCCATCTTGCAATCTGGCGGTAATTTATGTTATTATCATGATACCCTCTTTTGGAGACCAAACGATTTATATACAACTGAACAATTCAATTTATACAACCTCATGGATTCTACTTGGGCGAGTAGTTACAGTGAAATGAGGCTTGTTGATATTCTTAACTTTAGCACCAAGATTAAGGGGGAAGGGAAGTACTCGAAAGATTTTCTATACAACAACGAACAAAAGGTGATATACAATACTGAAATTAATTATCGCAACCTTGTCTTCCCTAGGTAATGGCGTTTACCTATATCTTATTCTATTTTGCAGTGTGTACTGTTTAGGTAGATTTCTATATCCTATGCCGTGATCCACGCACTTTTATGCTGAGATAAGGAGTCTGCAACGTAAACATTATACGCTACAACCGTAAGTTTTTCTTCGTAGTTTGAGTTGGTTTGGGTTGCACTGCTTTACGTTCTATATTCTCGATACTTCTCGCACTGCGGAGACCCAAGTTGCTACATTGAGGACTTAGCGTTACTTAATTAGGTAACTAATATTGATAGGAATTAAAAACACATTACGGTTATGACCTTGTGCCTGATTGAGGCATCACATTGTAGCACACTGCACTGTGCTTTCCTCTTGTAAGTCCTGTCTAATGTGTATGTTAAAGGTAATTCACTAAGGCTATGCTCCCAACTAAACAAATTCTTGAATTAGACTTACAACTGGATGATACAGAAGCCACGGTTTTGTAATTAGATGAGCAGAAACACTGTGGCAGATCACTCTGTGCCTTGATACCTGATATTACTGTGAGTATGGTATTAAGTTTAGTAGGCCTTGCTTCCTTTTAAACCAAATCACAGACTACATACAATTGCAAGTCTATAGAAATAATGAACCCAACCTTGAGTGACATTTAAATAGTAATCTCGCGTTATACGTTCAATCTAGGTTGCTTTATTCCAAGTACCCCTAGTAGTTATAGAGACGGCGAGTAACATCCTGAGGGAGTTGTCTTACGTGTACTTGAACGTAGTTCGAATAGATAAAGCATTGACAAGACGGTCACAATCTTTTGTCTTGATCTTCTGAGCTTTTCGAGAATTGGTTAAGATCTGGTCTTGTCGAATTATGCTTGCCCTACTCAATATACGTTTCTATTATTAGCGTCTCTAGCAAGATACTAACCGTGACAAGGTTAAAGTAGAGGTTGAGGTTAGTAAAAGTAGACGCAAAGGCAAAAACGGTGTAGAAGTCTATTAAACTATATGACTTTACGAGCAGCCTGTGTCTAAAGAAGTGCGGAAAAAGCTTACGCCTTTTACTCTTAACGAAATTATCATTACATAGAGCGGTTGAGCAGTAGTATTCGGGCCCTAAACAGCTCAGAAAAGTCAATGAAACTGGAGTTTGGTTTGCTACGTCAGGCGGGCAGCAAGAGGAGTGAGCTTGCAGCGAGCTATGTGTATATACAGTCGAATTGGAGTACCGCGTCATATCAAGGAGTAATACCAGTAGTATCAATGTCAGGATCGATGTAGAGGTTAGACGTGTGCCATCACTCACTTCGGCGTGCAAGGTCAGATGGAGGCATAGGATCTGCCCCGGTAAACCGACAAGATAACCATGTTCTCTACAACACTGCCTAAATTACACTCCTTTACTATATGAGCCCTTCCCTTCCTGCAAGACCAGGCGTACCACTACCCTACTATCTAACCCATCCCTATTCTCACCAAGTCCATCCACCGATGCAGCTCCCTCGGCAACTTGTCCAGCATGTCTAGATTTTCTCAGCTTTGGCGGGACGTGTGTACGTGCGGTTTTGTAAACCATGAGGTTGAGGCTAACATCGTGTACGGCACCCGCGACAGTGGGGTTTCCAGCGGTAGGCCTCTCTGTGTGGAGTTGCGAAAAGCTTGCTGCGATGGTGTCAGCGCGTGAGTGTCCGCGTTACAGCTGTGCTTGGCGCTTGCATATGCGATTGCTTTATGGCGTGAATACACGCAGGCCTGCTTGCCAACGTTTCTCCAGGCGGGCGTCCCCTGCATGTTTGATTCGTCCTGCTCAAAGTCCAAACGCCTGCCGACTGCTGAATGCGATCATAGATGATTGTTGGCGCGTCAAAGAGCTAGACGCGGTTCTCGAAGGCGAATGCAGAGAGGAGTGTGCTTTTCTTGGATGCCGGCAGGCTCGTTTCGTGTCGAGCGGCGCATCGGTATTGATGGATGGAGAACTCATCAGATAGGTCCGAGATGGGGCCAAGGTGGCTGAGGACTTGTCAAGATGGATACATGTTGTTGGTGGTTGAGGTCTTACCCATTGCTTCCATTCGACGAGCAGGGAGCAGACTAGTTCAAGGGTTTCCTTAGGTGCCGGTGAATCTTGAGCCTATGAGTTCAAGCCGTTGATGGGAAAACTTGGTACGCGTTGTGTCGCATCGCGCCATGAGACTCTATTATCTTGAGATCTCCCAACAAGCTGTTGCGATTGATCTGCATTGAAGCTTGAACACAGTGAAGCCGAGGATTGTGTTTGCGTTGTAGTAACGAGGTAAGCAAATTCCGGTGTAATTGCCAACAGTCATGGCTCAACCCGTAATGCTATCCGTATAAAGTATAATAGGCTATAATTAATACTGAGGAGGTTTATAATTGTGACTGCCTCAGCATAGAAGGAAACAAGTCGCGTTGAGAAAATTGGGGAGGTGACGGGACGTGTATGAGCGTAGGATGGGTCTTAGTGCAGTGGGGCCGTGCTAGCGGCCGAACTTAGCGCAAACGGCTCATAGCTTGTCCGAGAATGGGTAAAACCATATCTCTATAGATCGGGATGCGTCACTCAATCAAGTTGAGGTTATGGCCTTGACTTAGTGTATATTTCTAGATGCTGGAAACTAATCGATCGAGACATTACAACTCCAGTGTGCAGGTAATATGCTTGATGTCAAGATTTAATTAAGCCATGCTAGCGGCTCAGCATCCCTGGGGTCTTTGAACAGCTGTAGCACAGGGTGGCTACAAGATAAGGCTGTTGCTTCTTAGGATTATCACATTTTGTGTGAAACCAGTTACACCCATGCATTGAGATTGGCGCGGATAATTATTTAATTCAGCTGCACTAGCATTTAAATCTCGCGCGATATGTAGGCTAAAGTAAGATAGTGTCTTATTTTACGTTTATTTGAACACAAAGTGAGACTCTCTTGACAAGATACTTTGAAAGAGAAAATAGTGTTGGAATGACGCTGGCACTGAGCACAACAACTTGTTGCTTCGCATCTATGCCAATCAAGAGGCTATTTTGAGGCTATATACGCGAACACTTGACTTGCGTATGCCTTCGACACAGCTCACTTCGTTACAGCGTCTGCTTGGGGCTTTGGCATATCTCTCTACTAGTTGTTTACTTTTGGGACGCTACTGGCATACCCTTGAGCAGTATGTTCTGATATCAAGATTTACCTGTACTAAATTAGTCTCACATCGAACTCCCAACGCCGAATGCCCGTGCCTTGACAGAAATACAATGGCAGTGCGTCTAAGACTTTTTCTTTTTCCAACTTACACATTCAAGGAGCTAAATTTACGAGCTCGGCACCAACGCCTCTATAAAACTATGTTAATATCTACAGTACACCTCCTGAACTCTACTTGGCCTGCTGCAACACTAGCAATTTCGCCTCGTTACTGTAGGATACTGAGGTCGTGGCCTGTCTCCTGTGATTCTTTCCTTGTTATCCTTCGTTTGCAAACTTGTTGTTACACCCCTTACACTGCCACTTAGCAATTTGCTGCTTGGGCTTTCGAGATTTACTTGTCTGTTTACCCTCCCGCATAACAAGTTAGTTTGAACTCGTGACTTGCTATTTAGACCTGTCTGGTTTATCAAGCACATCTGCAAAACTAGAGCTAGGACCCTGATGTATTTACTACAACCTAATGTTGCCTCAGAACTTCGCTGGCCCTAGGCTACCTCGCGACCTTCTACACGACTATGTCAACCCGAGGTCACGGCCTTTGGGCTAGACTGTTCCCCTTATAAATCGTGTAAGTCAGTTTCTGAACGCGGCCTTGTTGCATCCGCCTCAATCTGAATATCACTTGATTCTAAGCCAAGCAGCGATACTGAACGAGACATTTAAGACATATGTGTGAATTAAACGGATTTAAGCCTCTCCTTTTAGTTAGATAAGTCTTTATTTACCACGCTTACAAGCTTGTCGCAAGACAAAACCCTTAGATCTATATAGCGGTAATTATGCAGCTATTACGCATAGTCTTTCTGCCCTTTTAAAGCAAAGTTTCCAAGCGGGGTTGTCGAGGGGCTTGCACCTGACATGTCTTGTAAACGCTCCCTCCAATGCAAGCAACGTCCCACAAAGCTAACCCCAAACCTATAACTACAGAAAACTACAGAAAACTGCAGCACACTTTATTTAATACGAGTTTAGCGATAGCAAAGTATAAGCACAATCCGACAGATATATTAGCGTAGACTACTCGGTTTACACCGATCTCAATGTCGAACATTATGTAATACCCCAATTATCCCGACAACGCTGGGAACATAGTTCTGCCATGTTCCAAGATTACTTATTCAATTAATTAACTCAAACATTAAACTATTGTTCTTTTGGTGACCAGTTTAATACCTAAGCTATCACGTAGGACAACTATCTTCACCGTTGCGTCAGTCGCCTTGGGTCATAGATGTAGCAAGTGCAGAGCACCTCAATAGCCGTTGCCGTCGCAGTCAAAGTATCATCATCTTGTGAAGAACCAATGATGCATGGTCTGTTCTGAACAAGGTCGATACACGTCGGATTTATGCCTTATCTCGCGATGCAAACGCATTGTTTCTTTCGAAAAATTAACTTAATTTGTCCGCAGCAATTCGGGAGCGCCTCCTATTACATCCTCTGTGGATAGATTTGACGACAACAGCGGTATCTTCGCTACAAGCAACGTCTATCTACGAACGAGTTTTTTCACACCCACATTGCGAAGTTGAATGATGGCGGAGCTTATAAGACAGTTGTCGCATTACCTGTTTTTTTAAGAAAGCTATGCTATCTGCGGAAGACCGAAGCACTCACAATTCATCCATCTCGTGATTATTTGCAATGATGTCCTTCACAGAGAGTCCATTCTGCGACTCCCCTGCCATACTCTCAAACAGTCGTGAATTGAAGTGGGTTCTTGGGGATTCGCGAGCACGCTTTATCGCCGCCAGGTCGACCATGACCAGCAGGGCCAAAATGCAAGCGTCATCTCGAGCATCTATGTAAGTAGACAATATCAGAAGTGCATGTCGAAGCCAGACCACCATTGATAACCATGGTATTCCACAACAAAGATGGCTCCATGGATTATGGAGGAGCACTCAAGACCAGCATCGCTGTTGCAGTCCCAACGAAACGATTCAAGTGGTTAACATAACGGCTTTTCACTTTGCAATGCATATGCATGATCTTGTGGAAGTATATGACGGAGTCAGTCTACGACTTCCTGTCGTCACACTCTACGACCGCAAGATCGCAGATAATCAGCCTGATTCTGCAAGCCAAGCCACAGTTCGAGACCCTCTGGGATCCCCCGTGGTATCAGTCTCCGGAGCTCATACTCGAAAAGCGACGAAATATGGGAGCATCTCACATTATCATGAGTATTCGCGAGGCCGGCACCAAGTCAAGCGAGCGATTTATAGCCTTTACTGCGAATCTCTGTGACGTTATAAGTCGATCGATCGCATCAATTAATGCTCTTACTTCAATTCTCATCGCAAGTGCAACATATCATTATCTTGATCCCTTGGTCTTATACCCAGTAATATATAAAAGCTCCTTGACCTGTAGATGTGTTGACGCGTTATCACGAACCTGACGATTGTTCTACGTCATGTTCAACTTCGACACGTGATCGACGACCTACCGTAATCAGGTGGTTGGTGAAGAATTTTCCTGTTGAAATGTAGAGAAACAAGTTATTAATGCAAAAGTAACAGTAATTAGCATGTTCTATACATAGGCCAAGCCTCTCTCGATCTCTAGGCCCTCATACATGTTCAGCCGCTCTATTTTATGCTCGGGCCGGCCGGTGAGAAGACGTGAAATCCCATCCTTAATACCTTTCAGGTCGGCTATCAAGCAGTTAAATACACCGTTACCTCTATCTTGCATACGAAGGTCACTGTGAAATGGGTGATAGTATCGCATTGCTGTTATTTCCTGTCTTTCCTACTTCGAAATACCGATGAGGTGTTCGTCTAAGAATGTAATGCGACAACTTCCTTGCCTGCAAACCCAACAGCAGGATAATCCAATACAAGTTATATCTCCAGCATTTCCAGCAACGCAGTATACATATCAAGCAGTACGTGAACATGATACCAAACGGCTTGTCAACCAAGAACTACCTGTCTGGGCCCATGCAATGAGTTTCAACATTGTTACTTTACCTCCGATACGCATTCCAAAATTGTCTTGAACTACTCGGTAACATCTATATATGCTTGTAGCTCGATCCGCAGTTTGTTGCCACTCTGGCACAGGGACTGACTAAGAGTTTGTCAATGGAGATCTCGAGACACTCTATAATCGCAAGCTCGATGGACTAGATCCCAGTCCAAACGACATCTTTGAAACCTTCAGCACATCCCGCAATGATCGATGGATGGGATTTTCACAAACAGATTACCCAGCAACATCTTTTAGTCCAAGCTGAGGCGATGTAGCGTGCGAGCAACTTTACACTTCCTCCGCACGCTCGCTCGATGTCGATAGTAGGCAGATAGACCGACATCGTCGACGGATTTAGATTTGAGAGAGTTCAGTCAACAGCTGCCATAAACAGGAGTTGCTCGGATCAAGATTCATGTAACTAGGAACTCAAGAACTCAACTCCTAGCTAGCTTACCGCCGCGCGATACTACATCATTGCACCACGTTATACAAAACCGGCAGTCTCAGCCTGTTGCGCTTAGACATAGTGCAAACCGCTGACTCTCTAATGAAATTTTCTTGGTTCATTATCAAGCCAAGATTCTTGGTTCCGTTTTGTCAGTTTGAAAGAACTCGGCCAACGCCGTAAGGGGAACCGTGCACGATACTACCATTATATTGGAATTATTGCCAGTATCAAAGTACGGCCGACTACGTGCGAGGAATTTAGGCTAGGTGAAGACAAAAAGCGTTGGCGGCCTTCTTGCAGGATCTTGTCAATGTTCGTGGTCAGTCACGGAGCCAAAATCACGAACACGATCAACAAAATCCTATAACAAAGGCGGTAGGGGTTGAAATCAAAGCTATGGGTAGTGATTGGGCTGTGCACATTCCACCACTCGGAACCAAGTTGAACCTGCCGACATGCATGCTCCCGCATTAGTGCGGTTAATAAAAGTAATATTCCAAAAATAGTTGATATGACATCAGGGGATTTCGGCTACGGCAAGTCGGGTTGGACACTTAGCCTGCAAATACATTTGCAATGAGTTCTCACTTCTTGCTCCTCTTTTCCTGCTGTTGCAAAATAATCCACCACGCGTATCTTGGCAACCCAGGTTACTATGCGGTCTGAGCACAGCCTTTTCTCTACTGTATTGTAGCGGTGAAGACCTGGCTCAATCGCTCACAAAGGGATGAAATTCAAACAAGTCGTCAGGTTATGCATTGACCAACACCTGCACAGACGGCTGCACCCTTCCGTCGCCGGCGCCGGCACGAAGCGTTCGCCTGCCCCCTTTGCAGGGTCGTCGCATGACAAGTATCCCATCTGCCACAGTCCGGTCCTGGTCTCGCTTGGGAAAGTACAGAGAAAAATTCGCTGAGTTCAGAAGTGAGTGAGTTTGAAGACGCGGCACGTTCGATGATATGGGCCGGCTATCAAGACAACGCTGTCGCAACCTTGAACAACTGCCATGGCTAATCAAACTTTCACATTGTCTTTCGTTACCGCACTAACTGCTATGTCGCTATCCGCGGGGCTGCTACCACCCTTCCCATATGCAAAGCTGCGCGTTTGCGTCTGGCATGCTCGCCGAGACAAAGATGTTTCGTCGCGGCTCATCTCATGGCAACTCGCAGAGAACGACATGTCAGAGATGAGTACCAGTCTTATCGAGGCGCACAGCTTGGACTGCTCCGGCCCTCGCAAGCTTAACCTCGTCCGCTCCATCCTTCAAATTATCTACCTACACCGCGATCGCTCTCCTTGAACGACTCACTTGTACATGTCAATGTCATAAATCCCCGCTCTATACCCGCTTGCAGGCCCACACTCAACTTCAACTCCGACCTCAACATGCCTCTCCATGATCTGACTGAGTCGGATTACGAGGAGGGTTGTGCCATCCTCGCCAGGTTGCAGCTTGCGAATGCGACGCCAGCTCTCTCACGCTTCGACGACGTCATGAACGAGAACGAAATCGAGCTGTTGATCTTGTTGTGCGGGAAGAAGATCCTGCAGGAGCGTCGCCACAACGAAGGCACGCAGTACCTTGTCGAGTTCACGGATATCGATCCTGCTACTGGCGAGCCATATACACCCCGGTGGGTGTGGTGGGTCACGAATGACGTTTTCAGGGAGTGGACTGCCTCGCACATTGCCCACATCAGTGATGAACTGAGGCCTGCCCGCCTGCCCACGGCGAAGAGAAAGCGAGTAACATTCTTGCTCGACGACACAGCGAGCAAGCGTCAGAAGCTCGAGCTCGACGACACTCCGGCTACGCATAAGCCTGCCGAAATATGCAGTGATTTCATCCAGCAGCTCGAGGACACCGCTATTGGCAAGCTCCAGCACTCCGTGCAGCTCTCCGCGCACGTCATCTCCGCGACATCCCGCCAATTAGGCACGTTCCCCCAACTGAAGCCGAAGCACCTGGACACCCTCTTCCCCGCGCCGAACAACCTCGGCGAGAAACTGCGCGCAGCTGTCGAGCTTCCTAGTCATCTTGTTCGGATGGTTCCCAAGTTGCCGGCTATCCTGGAAGTTGAGGGGACATCCCCCGATGGTGGGGAGGGCATGTCTAGCGTTCAGAATGCTGGGGACGAAATTCTCTGGGATTCTGGAACAGAGTCTTATTATGAGGTGTAGTCAGAACTCTCTTGGTGCAGGGTGGGTGGAGGGGTGTTAAGAGATTCGATGAAAGGTGTGTATTGCTGGTATAGATTCTCTGTTCCGATCTGACGATAACAGGCTTGCATTTGCTAAGGGGATGGCTTTAACACTATCCTCCCCTGCTCATGTACGGATTGAATTTCAAAGACCCATGTATCAGCACGGCCAGGTATTGGTAACCAAGATGTGTTGAAGAATATCATGGGTTACGAAATATTGTTATAATCTACGCTTTTTATTATGAATAGCAAGGGATGGGATTTGTTATAATGTATCTAGTATTAGTGTTCTTCTCTTATTTGTTTTTTTTCAATGATTCTTTGGCTTCTTATCTTCTGAATCTACCAATGCCGACACCGATCTTCTGATTGTACACGACAATCCCCGTGACATTTGCTAGGCGATGAACGTAACGAACCTTGCTTCTTCTGCGGATATCGTGATGCACTGGGCTTTCCTAGCGTGGAGTACCGAAGGTCTTGCAAGCAGACTCATCTCGTCAGACAAGCTGCTGGCATAGTGGTGTGAATATGAAGATAAAGTGTCTAAAATGTGCCTGCTTTGATCCCATTGAAAGGCATAGGTAGCTCGTAGATAGCATCGGATCTAGAATCTCCTCATAGGAGTGACTCTGTATGTGCACCGAGACAAAGACCTTGCCGGCGTCAGAATCGTGACCAATGGCTAGCTAGATTACGGAAGTCTTGTGTGCTACGCTACGGCCAGCCCAGTGTAGCACTCATCTTGTGGTAGCTAAGAACCTTTCTGTTCGTCGACGTGTGTCTATCCATGTGTAGATTCTGTATAAATTCTCGCCAGAGTATCGAAGACCATGACGCTGCTACTTGTTGATAGTAGCACTCTACTACGTTCTCGTCTGCTACTTCCGCCGTGTGTGTATTTTGAAAGTCCATGTCGATGAATTAATGGTGTTACAATAGCAGGGAAGGTTGTGGGGCGACGTAGCGTTGGTCGTGATGAATGATGAATATACTCCAGATTGTGTAAAGAAGTGCGGGATAATAAGAGTGTTACTTTTTCTGTAGATTATAAACATTGAACCAAAGATTTGGGGTATGTTGATGCCAATGAGGGAGGATAGACTGCTAGGCACCATGCGAGATGAGTGTACTACGATTTGTCATCGTAATAACTGAGAAGTCTGGGATCGCGAGATGCACGTTGGAATTCAAGAGTCAGAGTGTGTTGGCTGGATGCCGTGCTACTGAGTAAGGTAATGGCTGCAGCTTGGTCTCAAAGAGTTACGATCTGCGTAACATGCGATCAAGCGATTCTTTCGGGTATTAATTAGGGATACAGAGTCAGTTCACGCGAAGCGGATCGTCGATAGTGTAACAAAATCCTGGCATTTAACAGCGCCCTTTATATTGCTTCCTTACTTTCTGACCTAGCCTGCCACATCTTGAACAAATGTGGATATCTTGCACCAATCTTGAACCGCTCGCAATGGAGTTTGATATGTTGGGAGGAGGAATCCAGTCCAACACAAACGGCCATCGGCTCTACTCGCCCCCAACGCTCCGCAGCATGCTACACTCCTCTGTGTTCTCGAACCTCTTTGGAGGGCCTATTGGAGTTATTTATCTACTAATTGCAAGATTTCTACTCTTCTTGCTTCGGCGCTTCATGGTATTCTCAAATGCACGTTACCCCCGAGGAACAACCTCTTTATAATTGTGTGGCGAAACCTTCATCCTCCATTTTAATAAAGCTCGCGCGTCTAAACCTAAAATTTCTCAGCTGACTGCCGCCTGCCCGTCTCAAGGTCGCAACTCTCCGGTACATAACCCAGCCGTTGTAGTATATTGTAGCTCTATCTGATTACCTATTTCGAGTCTAGTAATACTGTTTCTACTGCATTCTTGTAGTAACCGGAACTTTAATGCTAAGTCTAAGTTCAGCTATCTTTCTACAAGGAATCTCTAGAAATCAGTTTAAGGAATAACAGCCCAACGACATACAAAGACAACTGTAAAGCGTGTTTAAATTGATCCAATGCCTTTTTTAATTATGAAAGCATAAATTTGCTTCACGTAAAGTTTCTAAACCTTATGCTGCTGGCTCTGGGCAGTTTGCTCTCTCGTTTTCATAGTAAATTGTCTTGCCACGAGTCAAAAGTCGTTTGACTTTAGTCAAGAAGATTAGTTCTCCAAACTTTTAACTTTGCCTTGGTGTCGTTCGTTCCTAGCACGACTTAGGTAAAGGCACCTTCCTCACACCACTTTTATCTCATCTCTTAACTATTATTCGTATATCTTCTACCTTTAACTAATTACTCAATCTCATATTCTACCGTCGTTTTACTAGATTTCTACTATAACATTAAACTGAGAATAGAATGTAGAGTCGCCCAGTAGCATCTACTGGACTTCTCCTACATTACTACCGTTTTCGAAATCAGCTTTGAGAAGTTCGGCAGATCCAGGTCCAATTCCAGAATCTTGTATCCACTTGGCCCGAGTGGCTGCATCGATCACGGCTCTGCGCGGCATCATGAGAATAGTCACCGTGATAGCTAAGAACGTTTGTCCCCTTACAAAGAGTGACTGTTATTTTTCCAAGAAGTAACGGAGAAGAAGGAGAACGCTGCCCCAAGGAGAAGACTCAGACACAAGAGTAAGACACAAGGCTTGGGCAAGTACATCATGATATAATAAGTCCAAGGAAACAGTAGGAATTAAAGTGAAATAAGTTGTGCAATTTTGGTCTCGAGTCTACGATGTTTATGCATGAAGGTCACGGACTTAGCCCTATACTTGAATTTGTGCGGCAGCTGCTTCAGCTAGATACTTTCCCACGAGAGAGCTTGGTAGCGTTCTTGGTAGCGGTTCAGAAGCGCCTTCTAGACGGAGCGCTTATAAATAGTCTTATTGTCAGCATTGAATCAAGTATTTGTGTTCCACAAATCTCTACTCTACTACGAAATCAAGGGCATTAATGGTCACTAGCACGCTCCCTGTCACGATTACTGGGGTTGTTGGTTGGGAGTACTCGAATTTGCTAATGCTCAACCTATTCACAAACAGGCATGTACGAACGTTGTGGGTCAGGGTGGCTGACCCAGGAACCAGGAACGAACCTAGCGCGACGTACCCCGCAATCCCAACAACCAGGACACGCTAAGCTTTAGCGTCGGTCCTCAAATAGTAGGAACCATTGTCTAGGTTCAACTACGTAGTCTTGGATATCCTTATCTAAAACGAATTCAATAGCACTTTCTATTAAGAGCTAAGGTTAACGCTGCCCGATTAATAGCGCTGGTCGTCCTGGGCGATACAGGGACTAGATTCGAATTTGTTTCCCCATACTTACCGCAGGCTCGGTAGGTCCTTCTCTAGAGGATACAACGAGATTGGAGAGCGTCCTGTAGAACCAACCAATCAAGAAACTCAACCTTGAACTTCAAGAGATTTGTCAATCAACGAGGAGAGTTCAAAACGGATACACGAAACCATGAGGGAAATATCCACCACATTATAACTATGAATTAACTAAGAAGATGAAGTGCTTATTGAGATAAGCAAGAATTGGAAGATACACAAAAATAGCTATCGGAGCAGAGAGGCCTAGAATCGACATTGTCTTCCTTGGGGCTGGAATAGACTGGGGTTTTGTTAACATGTGAAACAATATGGTATCAGGATAGCTTCATCCAACAAGGATAGAGAAGCAAGATAGCAGTATCAGAGTTGGCCTTAGAGATAATCCACTGCTCTGTTTACTCCAACTACACTAATGTCTTAACCCAAGGTACTTGCTCAGGGATACACTTTGAGGCCAGAATATATCACCTCCTTTGCTAACACAGACTTGGGTAGTTTGTCTGGTGATGTCGTTTGTGATGAATTCGGTCGCTCCCATTGTGGACTATGCGTTAGGTAAGAAAGCAGGCGAACGAGCGAGTTACTTCCAAGTCTAATCAAAGACCTTGGCATTGGGAATTCATCGTTCCAATTACTGAGGCAGAATAGCTGCACGTCTCCGCACGAAGTTATTCTGGCGTGGCCTGCAGTGTAGTGTTGATGTTTACAAGTCCTAGGTGATGTGCTCTTTATACAAGATGCCTATCACTCGCTGATGTAATGATTAGAGCTACAGATTTAGCACTTGTCTAGATATCTTGGATACTCGCTGCATTATATCGGAATCATTCGTTGACGGTGGATTGATGATATGTGGGCGCAGTGCTCAGGTTATGTTGTGGCTCGTCTGCCATCGTAGATAAAGAGTGATGTGGACAAACAAGACGGCGCATCCTCTCGCTTCCCCTTGCCAATTATGGGACGTTTCTATAGCCTAATTGTGATCGTCGACATATATGTAAACGAAATTTCCGCAGTAGTTCAGGCTTCGTGGAAGGGAAAGCCAACGTTGGACTTCCCATGACTTCTCCATCCCCTTCACGGGAAACCTTTGGCCTTTGTCTGTTGTTCCAACCCGCACTCCGTGTCAGTCGGTTCATACAGTCTGTGCCGCATCATGAAGGACGATCCTGGTGGCGCGGCTCGGATTTGCTCATTTTCGAGTCACCTTACTGTACCAAGATGGCGGAGGTAGGCTAGGGAAAGCTTGTTGTCATCAAAGGGACTGGCGTCTTTGCTAAACCGTCCGAAGACGTCTGTCAATAAATACGCTGAATGGTGGATTATCACGGTGGGCAGATGAGAAGGACTCAGCACATTATGCCCGGGATAGCAGGATCGGCTCAAAACCAGGAGCGGCAGTTCTGCGGTTCTTTGCATGCTGGTTCAAGACTCTGCTTTTCGAAGTTGTTAAACGTACCAACCAGGTTTTGGAACGGTGCCTGACGCCTGTAAGTCGATCGGCTCATTACAAAGCACAATTTAGATGTAGCTCTTTATGCCTCACTTGCTGAGTGCTCCTTGACAAAAGCATTATATAAGCCTGTCGTACCAATATCGTATTTCTCTGCATCACAATGTTGCTAGGAAGAGCGGTAGATGTTTCCGCTTACATCATAGTAGTCTGTTGCGCCAGGATAGACTCCAAAGACAGGGTACGGCACGCATGATGTGTACAATATCTTCTAGGTTTGCCACCAAGCAGCTATCTCTTATAGTTGTAGCAGTCTCTGTAAATGTTAGCAAGCTCTTCGGTTGCTTTCTCATTTTCCTATATTCGAAATCTGCTCTCCATAAGCGCAGATTGCAGAAGCGACGATGAGAGCGAGAATCTCTTGTCGGATGAGTTCATACATTTACTCACCCAAATTCGTGAAGATTTCATCCCATCTTGCGCTCCTCACTCCTATCTTGGTTGCATGTGTGAGTACAGATGTGTTGTATTCTTTCAGATACCACTATCCCAGTTTCACGATTGCGTGAGCCTTCCCGTCCTGGTCACGCCAGTGTTTCTCCTGGATAAAAGTCAGATGCCACCACAGACGACCCAAAATAAACCTTGTGCCCTTACATGCCCTATGCAAACGAGCGTGCATTGTGTGCCGCGGAGATCAAGGAAAGTCTGAGGTGGAAATGCGACGCTCTTGTTTGAATCGGCGGCGCGGAGCTGCTGAAGGGAACCCGACATCGATGGTTTGTATAAGTACATTAGGCAGGAAACTCAATTTCTGAGAAGATGAAGTCGCCTGCGCAGTGCTTGCAGTGCATGGTAGGTAGATTATAATGATATCGGCTGCTCGACATAATGTGAAGGTAGATGTAGATGGTCAACATGAACATGGGAACGAATGGCTTGCATTATTTGTCGACTACAGTTCCTGTGTGCTTCGTAAGGTCGTCACTTCAACACTAGTACACCTTTGTGAGCATGGCATCTGAGTCAGAGATCCTTTCCTGCATATCTAGATAACCCTCCATAAGCGCCTCGGCGATTTCGTCCGTAGTAGTCATCACTACCCAAATCCTCTCTTTGCGTGTGTACATCTACTGAGAGTCCCGATTTGAGCGCAGTTCCTCATCAGATACAACAACAATTGCAACCCTTCTTTGACCGGTGCTAGACTTGTGGCATTGAGAGTTGACGCCTACAAGATGCATTTCACAAACCGTATGCCCTTCCAAGGAGCAGCGAGCAATACCCTTCCTTACCGAGATCATGTCCATGATTTTGTCTACACAAAGGTCTACGTTGTCTTCTTTGCAAGAGCTTGCTGGTATGTATTCACATGTTTTGCTCAGGCGGAGGGCTACGACGGGAAGGGCTGCAAGAAGATTATAGTGATACCATGGAAGTTGATACAGCAGAACAGAATCATTCTACACTTATGGTTCTTGTTAAGACATTATAACTACGCGTCAGTCAGTGTAGCGCTCATGTCAATGTGGACAAGAATATTCAGTAATGATGAGGCTCTACCTGGGACTCTCTTTTATCATTGCACCGTCGCGAACTGGATAACTAAAGTAAAGTCGCACTGATACAAAACAATTCAGTCACTCGAGACTCCTTAACAATAGACAATATGTAGTTCTGTACCGATGTTTGATCCGTAAGATAGTGAATATCGCTGTGTTCCTGAACTTTGAAGATTTGCTTTCCTTGCTAAAAGTCCTATAAAAACCCCTTGTAACGTTAAATTCTTTAGCATGACGTACATCTTATAAGGCCTTGCTATAAGCTTCAAATGATTTCTCTACACAAGTTTTGTATTAAGAATTTACGTTTTACATGCGTACTAGAGTGGATCGCGACTCCGGCTTGGCGCTTCGACAGGGCAACTTTCTGAACTGCGGGCCGGCGAATCACGACTGTAAGGCCTGGTAGCGAGTGAGACTACTAGAAGGGATAAGTAAAGCTCTCATCAGAGCCATTGGAAGATTTGTAACATTACTAGTTCACTTATACTGACCCCATCGTCTTCTTTACTGCGGTATGCATATCTCACGATTGGCCTGTTCAGATCTGACGTTGACTGTATTGATTTTCTTTCGATCACATCAAGTCGAGAACTGTTACAAAACTCAGAAACGTCTGAGAAAGTTCTATGAATGAACTTGAACAATGTTTTACTTCTTAAAATTGACCGAGGTGACTTTGGTGTTCAGGTACCAGTGCCAGTGTTGAAGTGGCACGCACATAAGTCACGATGCAACGCGAACCTTTGATCAGAGCATTGACCAACAGCTTCAAGTCAGGTCTATAGCGATACAAAAAATGCCTCCCTAATGATCTCATTCATATTCCACTATAAGCCAAGTCTAATCAAAATTACATCTCGTTTCTGCATGAACCTGCGCCTCTAAAGCCCTGGCCGCTTCCTGACTCGATATACTCAATCGATCGCTTCTCGATTCATAACAGCTACTGGTGCGATTCCCCTTACCGCCCCTCTGTCTGTTATTGTTATTGAGCCCGCCATTCTCCTCGCCCTTCCACATCTTGCCAGGAGAGAAGCCATCCCAATCGCCCCAGATTGCCATCCGACAGTCATGGACCCCCCCCCCTAACACACTCTTTATGAAAGTCCCCATGTCGTCTGGCCGATACTCCAAACAACGCACATACACGAGTGCGTTTTTGAGACGATATGCTTCTCTCTTCGCCACCCCGGCCACGTCTTTGGAGGTTGAGGGTCAGGCACGGTAAGTGGAGAATGACTGTGTCTTTGGTGACAGCGGTGAATCGGGCTTCAAGGGCTTGCGTGGCGAGTGTCGGTGGTAAGGTGTAAGGAAGTGTAGGGAGAGGAGGGGAATCGATTGGTCGAGGTCGTGAGTATTGGCTTTGGAAAGACTATTGAGATGGGGCAATGATGCGAATAACTTGTTGATGCTCGTCTCGCAGACCGTTGAAATTCGAAATAACTGCAGAGACGTGTTCTGCAACGCGAGCAAGTATGCAGTCAGCTGACATTGTCTGTTTCAGGGCTTGATGAAAGTTGGGGATGGGAATAAGATGGATGGTATGGGTTGGGCGCGGTAGAGTCAAAACCCTGCAGTATGGTGGCACTTCAAGATATCATTCGCCTGGGCACATTGCTGCGCAGGATCCATCGCCTCGCGCTTCTCTGTGCAGGTCGAATGCGTTCGAGACACTTGATCGAGAATCGTGCTGAAGCCGAGCACGAAAGGAGGTTTGACTTTGATGCTTCCACAATCATGCCATGCGTTCGGCAAAAGATAGGCTTGTGCTAGTATTGTTTTACTGGAAAAAGATACCCACGTATAACATTGTTCTCCTCCATCAACCTCGATGCATCGAAGACGCTTTCGGCAGCAATGGCAACACCGTTCCGCAGACTTACTCTTTCAAGACTCTGCGAGATATCGGGGCCGACCCAAGATCTCGTGTCCTCTCGTTTCTGGCCAGTATTGACCGAAGCAAAAGGCTGAGACGCAATCCGTTGCTGCCTGGCGGATCGGAGGGCGCTAGGTCTTCCGACCTTCCCACGAGAGACGCGATGCTGGAAGGACACGTCGTCTAGCATCGATATAAAACCAGAAACTTCAGGGTAGAATGGTTGGCATCCTCCATGATGCGTCTCCCTTGCACTAGTGATAACTCGATGGGCAATCCGTTGCTGCTCAATCAGCTCAATCAATTGTTCCTTTGGTGTCTTCTCATTAGGCAACGGTTGTTTCAAGTCGAGCGTGGTCATGAACGCGACGATCTTCGTGGAACTAGGCATGGGGCCGAGATGATCTGTCTGGCTTTGCATCCTTTCCAGCGACTGTCGGCGCACATAAGCCCGGAAGGTGCTTCTCTGTACAGATGCGAGGAGTAGGGAAGCGATGCGCTGCTGTCCGGCATATCGGAGCGCGTTCTCGAGATGGGTAGCGGAGATTGACGCAACATGCTCAGAGGATACGGTGAGCATGGAGTGGATGGTGTGGTGCCGCTTACCGGAGACATCCTGCTTCCTCTCAACCTTTCCCAGTAGGTCATCGTCACCTGCTGGAATATTCAGCACGGCGTTGGTGTGATGGCCAATCTGCGTCTGCAAATCCACACGCAGCGTTCGGTGGACTCTGTCAAACGTTCTGTTGACGCCTTTCACTGTCCTACCAAATCCGAGATCAAAGCCGCTCACCGTCATGTCATGGGATTGGAGACAATTGTTGATGTGCCGATCCTCGGCGAAGCGCGCATTATCTCGAGCGTCGATCAAAGCCTGGGCAGCACGGATCCCTCGCGACAGCGGGTTCTCAAGTTATCTCGCGGCGCTACTGATATGCTCGTGAACTGGCGCGTTTTGGTGAACAGATACAGTTTGTATTGCCTTCCTCCAGCAATGTCCCCAGCGACTTGTTGGCGTATAGTATCTACGATCGAACCTTCCATGTATGTTGTCGAGCCGCTGCAGGCAGCGCGGAGTCAGTCATCGTGTTCTTGTGCTTGTTGCCAACAGATCTGTTGCAAGTTAGGAGGTCGTTCATGAACTGGCGAGGGTGAGTGTGTACGGTTTTGCTCGCGGTTGTAGCTTTTGCGTGGACCATCGTCGATATCGGAGGAGAGGACGAAGACGAATCATACGAGAGAGCTCGAGCCTTTCTTCTGCAGTGATGGAGATTGTAGAACGACTTCTCCCGCGACGGGAGTCATTGCCAATTCAACGAATGGCCGGGGCTGGTAAAGGCTCGGAGGGGGTTATGTGTAGCCCTCGGGACATCAGTGTTGGCGACAACGGCGCGACTGAATCATCACTTGCATCCGAGGTTGAACCGATTTACTAGAGCCTTGGAAGCTCAAAACAGTAGACGTGGCAGTGCCGGAGTTCTTCCATTCTTGCGAAGATCCTGCCGGGGTGAAATACGCGTGGGGAGAGGCGGGTCTGGAGTCTGGTGTTGGGATTGGTGACGGGGTTGGGATTGGAGTTGCAGTTCGAGACGGATCAGCGTAGAGATCAGTACTTCCTCTCCTTCGGTCAGCATATGTCGCTTAGCTCGTTGACTGGTCGACCAAGAACGGCTCGGTGGACGTTACGGGCGTATCCCTCGTGCTCAACACAGCGTGTCTCCCCAAGACCATCAACGTACTCTGCAGTTGGGCGATGTGAGCCAACCTTGAGCGATTCGTTTGCAGCCACGTTATGTACCGGTAGGACATGTTCTCGAGACGCGTGCCGTGGTGCTTGCCTGTTGGCACAGTATGGCTGCGAGCAGCGCGCACGGCGTTGCAAAACTCGTGTAGAGAGATGTCGGCACGTGATAACGGCTGTGGGTCGCGCGATGATAAAAGTCGCCATTGCGAGGGCGATGAGCGTGGAGTAACGTTTGGCTATGGTTGCGGTTGTAGGCGTTGGCAAGTGACGCGCAGTCTGAGGATAGGCGCCGGTGGGAAGGCAGAGGGGGCAGAAAGAGATAAGGTACTGCTGCACGCCCAAGAGAGCCAAAAGCTTGCAAAGCAGAGGGCATATCGCCGTTTCGTATATCCGTTCTTCCACTGCCCGGTCTACCGCAGCCGTAGACATGTGTAGTGAGCGTTAGGCCGGCATGCTTTGTATGCAGAGCGTTGCGATCCTCGCTATAGCTCCCTGTTGGCAGGGAATTCATTCAACTTGAAAGGCAGGAGCAGGTGAGGATATGAAAGTAATAATCTCAATTGTTCTGGCGATGATGACGGTGACCGAGGGAATCAATGGTTGATTTTCCCACATTGCGGCCCGCGCCGATAACCGCTTGCACGGCACGGCGCGGCGCGGGGTGCTGTAGTCGCCGTTCACAGGGTCAGGACACCACTCAGTACCCCACTTAGGACACCACTTAGGACACCACTCAGGACGATACTTGGGACACTACCTAGGATGATAATTTGTCTATTCGAAAGCTTTGGCAGAGTGTACAAGATTCCGTCAGCCTTAGATGCCGAGGGCCAGGGTTCGTTAGATGCATGCACCCAGAATTGCCGAGAGACTTTAAATGTACCACGGTCGATGATTGGACCAAAAACCAGAACTTTCATCGTAATACCAAATAGTTTCCCAGAAGCACAGCCTCTGAACCAGAAACCAAAAGATCATCCTCGCTTGACGTCTCGCGCACCTGACGAAATCACCATGTCGAACAATTGCAAATGTCTACAATTCGGTATATAATATCACGGAATAAGTCTAGTTACTATGCGTCGGCTATTCATTTTGTTTTCACAACACTACGCCTGATGATGGGAGCATTCGTCCTGAGGTGTACTCGAATCCGAACCTGAACTAAGTCAATTAAAACTGCTCTGCTCCTAGAAGACGGCTATATTGCGTTCTTATGTCTCCGAACAGTACATCTGAATTGGTACTAACCTTTACTGAGAGCATTCTTTTAAAGAGCAACTGATTGAGTATAATTTGCTACCGAAAGTTAGCTTTGTAGAACCCAGTGTATATTGACCACTCAGGCTGTTGAGTTATACCAGCATCATTGTGGATCATTCAGCGCATCCGCTTGGTGATGGGCATCGACGTATGTTGTGTGTTGCGAAAGAGAATCTCGAGCAGGTGAGTACAAGTGTTCGAGAATAACGGATCCAGCTCTCTGACCTGCAACTGGACGAACCAAGCAAGAGTCAAAAACATTGCACTGTCACTGTAAATATCACCAAGACATGTATCTTCATGCCCCCGTTCCATGTCCGGCGTCAAGATACCGATTGTAGACATCCCAACCCGAACTCCTTTCAATCCGAGATGTTCACAGCCGTGACTATCAGCTACTCGCCGCCCGCCAACCGCGAGAACTCTATGTACTGCTTTGATCGTGGTGATGTTTCAAACGAGCGAGTGAGGCAGTTGTCTCCAGTATTACTGCATACTGCGCGAGGTTGAGTAATTCTAAAGGAGCATGTTCCTACCAGCTCTCGGTACCCGTGGAACATTGTGGTAGCTTGATGGAGGTAAAGGCTGTGACAATGTACTTTGGGTTCAGCTCCTGGTAGATGGGTGGTGAAGTCATAGGTGAATAAAAGGCTTACTTGTCTAGGAGCGAATGACATTCAAGGAACGGCACTTTCCCACCTTTCCCCATTCACCAACGCTCCCAAAGTTTGATCTGTACCTGTCGATTCTGGCTATTTCCCAGGCCGAGTATTTACTCCCAGTTTCTCGAATCGCACAAAATACGGACAAGGAAGACGGCTCCAAGTTCAGCACGTGAAGAACGTCGTTGCTGAGCGCTTCCCCAAAGTGCGTGGCTAGATCCTGTGAGAATACGTGTTCTCCGTCTCCCGCTGCCTATGTGTCAAAGGAACGAGAGCCTGACGTTTATCTTCGTCATAGCTACGTTTCTCACAGTCATAGTTCAATGCTCCAACACGGGTAAGGCGTATTCCGTCGATGCATCCGGTTCATCTCATCATGCAGGCGCGATACGTGTCGTGGCCAGTAAGATATTTGCTTGGAGTTCAGATGATGACGTAGCTCTTGAAATGACAGGTGTGATCCTCCCATCACTCTCTTGGATATGGCCTAGATACTGGGCGTGGAAGGATATTCGAGTCTTTGGTAGTTCTCTCGCTTGGTTGGGTGCACGCAATGTATTGGTGAACTTACACAAATAGGGTGATCTGCAGATTCCTGGCTCGACTTCGAAAAGGCTGGGCGGTGAAAAGGCGGTTAACGGTTAAATGTGCGCTTTATGAAGTCTTGGAAATGAATGACATTTTCAATGGTTGAGATATCTGTCAATGACTATATGTGAATGGCTGGTTCTGCACGATGAGATGGCACGTGCGGGCAATGTCAACACGGTGGCGATAGCCATGAACGCGAGGGCGACCAGTCCATCTCAGCATTGCACTTCGCGGCTCGTTTGACTGCCCGCAACAGAACACTCGACTACAAGCACTGAACTCGACTACAAGCACCCAACACGTAACACGCCAGGGGATGCCGGTGAAGCAAGACGCTGCAGTCGTGCTTTCCCTCCCAGCGCGATGATGCTGTGCGACATGGGCGCGCCTTCCCCGTCCGCGACAGGACCTGCCGCCGTTGCAAAGCAGCACCCCCAGCTTTCCCTCACCTGCCGTTGCTGTCCTCGCCAATGCCGCTGCCAACCCCGAACAAGAAGAAGCTCATGACGCGGCCGACGGTGCGCTCCATCCCCGCCGCCCGGCGCGCGTTCGTCGACGCGCACACGCAGCACCTGAGCCACGGGGAGTCGACCAAGCTGCTGGAGGTGGTGCACGAGCTGGCCGTGCCGCTGGACACGCTCGAGCGCGGCGAGTGGGCGCTGGACGGCGAGCGCTTCGTGGCCCTCTTCTCGTTTGCCGCCTTCACGCGCCGCCGCTTCGTGCGCCAGCTGGCCGCGCTGCACGACGAGACGAGCCACGCCCTCGAGGCGGTGCACGCTGTCCTCAAACAAGTCCGGGTGCGTGTTGTGCCGGTGATGGCGCTGTGGTTGCTGACTGATGCTGCAGAGCGACGAGGACGCGAAACACGGACGCGCCGACCGCACGCGCGACTGGCAGGGCCACCATGTCGAAGCTGCGCGCGACCGCCTCGGCGAACTCGAGCTCGCGGCGGAAGGCACCACCGACCGACGAGGCAACCGCACACGCCAGAACGGCCAGGGAGAGGCGCCGCTCGCCAACACGGTGGCTGCACGGAAACGCAAGCGGGCAGCGCTGTCCATGGGCAGCCAGGACGACGACCAAACGGCGCAGGCGCGGCGAGACGACGTGGCTTCCTCGTCTGACGGCGGCCCAGACATGGAGCACGCGCGACGAGACGACCAGGATGCTCTCGATGACGGCCGTGACGAGGCCAGCGCCTTCCACGACGGGGCCAGCACCTTCCACGACGGCTCTGACGACGACGCCAAGACGGCGAGAGAGTCCCTGCCCGCCCTGGTCGTTGACGAGAGCACGCTGCTGTCGCCTGGCCGGTTCGAGTCGCCCCACGCCAGTCGACAGCCGCACCTAATCGCGGCCCTCACCCAGACGCCCATCCGAGTCGAACCAGCCACGCCCTCGTTGACTATTCAGGCACAAGCCACCCCCTCATCCACTGCACAAGCACAAGCCACACTCCCTGCCCACCAAGGACAAGCCGCGCCCTCGCCATCCCCGCCACGTGACGACACACGACAGCTCCTCGCCCATCTGCTGCCCAGGAAGTGGCTGCACACCAAGACGGTCGACTACTTCCTGCGCGCCTTCCTCTCCGACTGCGAGGCCTACCACTACTACGATGCCGGCAACGTCAGCCCCGCCTCGACGCCCGTTCCCGTCTCCAAGGGCAAGTTCCAGTACGCTCGCCAAGTCCTGGCCCCCATTTGCCATTCGCGCCACTGGCTGCTGCTCGTGTTCCACTTCGAAGACGGCCTGATCCGCATCTACGACTCGATGAAAGGCAATGTCCAGCCTGAGCAAGTCGCCCAAATAGCTCAGAATGTCGGCCTTGTCGTGTGGACAGGTTCACTCCGCCCTGGAAGTATGCAGTGGCGGGTCGAGTATGCCGACATGGAACAGCAAACCAACGGCTACGACTGCGGCATTTTCACCATCGTCGCGGCCCTGCACTGCGCCGTCCGAGGCCAGCTTGGGCCTGGCGTTCGCATCAACTCGCTCCTGTGGAGGAGCCTTCTGCGCGAGCATCTCGTTTCGAGGGAGTCGGACCACTTCAGCTTCCTCCTCGACCAATCCGAATCAGCAACATTCGACTCCGCGACACAAGCAATGCAGGGAGTGGTCGCTATCAACAATACCATCGCGTCGGCAGAAAAGTTGCGCCAAGACCTGCCTGCCGTCCAAGCTCTAGTGGGTGAGTTGCGCGACCGAGCTGTCGAGCGTGAACTGGTCAAGAAGCGCAGCATAGAGCAGCTCGAGAAGTCCTCGTCGACGCGCCAGGAGCTTGCTCGCATGATCGACAGTCGACGGCCGGTGGCCGCCCTTACCCTCGAGGCTCTTGCCATGGTCAATTCTCAAGACTGGGCCTTTGTCGATCGGAACTTCGACCAGCCGCTGCGACGCAACAAACGCATCCACGCCTCGCTCCATCGCAACATCGAGCAGCTTTCGCGCCTTGTTCAGACGCTTTCCGCGTTTGGCCCGAGTATTGATGGCGTCGGGGATGCATTGCGAAAGATGAAGGATGGGATCAAGGCGAAGGCGAAGCAGTTGCTCCATGCTGAGCATCAGGAGTTGGCGGTCCAGCACAAGCAGCTCGACAGGGCGAGGCAGGAATTGCAGAAGAAGGATGACGCGCAGAGGCTGCTGAACGAGCAGATAGATAGCTTGTGATATGTATGTCAAACGTCCTGATCAAACCTTGCATTCGTACACACACGTTCACTGGTTGTGCTGTTGCTGCGAACTGGCCGGATTGTACGGGCGCATCGTTCCATTACTCCTGTCCAAAGTGCAGTGCAAGCCGTGGCCTATGCGCCAGATCCAGAGCGCGGAGGAGAGAGTTGCGAGCAGGCATGTGTAGGTGGCGAGGAGGTAGACGAGTGCAGGGAAGGCTGGCGGGAGGAGGAAGGGGATGGTGAGGGTTGTGGTCAGGTAGGCTGGGAGGAGGATGGGGGTCTCGTTGTGTACAGATGCGGTGTAGGACGGGCTTTCTTGGGTGGTCGTATAGGTCCGGTCGTTGGTTGGGATTGTGGGACAGTTAATCTGGTGTGAGTAGTGGTATTTATGTATATATATCAAGCTGTCGATGCCGATAGGAAGGTTCCTGTTCACTACGCCGAGCATTCTGTTCACAACACTAAGAAGATCAAAATCGAGATCTTAGGCTTCGTCGTGGGAATATCATGTGAGCTTATTTCATGACACTCTTCTTGTCGTGGTATTAATACATTTCCACCTACTTTCGAAGATTCGTTGTCTGCCATGTCACCAAGTCAACTTGACTTGATATATTCGCAACGACGAGATGAAATTCTCATCAACATTACACGTCTCCTCCAAGTTTCAAGCCGTTCATTCTTCTTTCTCGCCATGCAGTCTCATATTCATTCTGCCTTGAAAAGAGAGGGAACAAACATATCGACGACCGGGAATGGACGAATCGATTGAGTTGGCAGCTGGATTCGGGAGCCATTCATCCAAGTCATAGGTAACGCTAGGACCATTTTGACTAGCGCGCTAAATCGACATCTCACCGCAGCCAACACCATGAAAGTCCTCGTCTAATAGATAAGTATCGTTACAAAACAATGAGCGTGATCCAACTTACTACGTCTCATCGACTTTTGCATTTTATATCGGTGCTGTATTTGAGTTTCGGATGTAAACGCACTTTTGCGACTGAAGAAATCCCGGAATCGAGCAGCTATGTGCGTAGCACGCTCATCAATCAGAAGGCTACCAGGCATGATCTGTTCTACTTGTGCTTCCGGATCATCGCGTTGAAGGAAGAAGACAACGTTGCAAAAACCGTTGAGGCAAGGCTTCCCCTGTGAATTTCGTCGAACGCTTGGAGAAAGTCATCTGGTCGATCGTCTCTGCGAAGTAACGCCTCCTCAAGCATAGACTGCGCAATGCTCAGATCGGGTAGAGATATGCCGTTTGGATTTGGATGGCTCAATGCTCGCGCAGAATCATGGGAGGGAGCTTCAGTGCGATGCTTTCTCGTGCACAACTTGTAATGCCACGGGCTGAAGAAAGTCCTTCTCCAGCCGCTTCGATTTCGAACTCATGTTTGGTTCTGTGCTGTGCATCGCTATCTTCGTATACAGAAGAACATCTAGTCTACTGCGTCTCTGCCCGGGATGTTGGAGGTGGCAGGCGGTGGTATGCAAGCCGAATCGACGGGCAACTGCTTTTTTGCATATAAAAAGGCTCGAAGTAGCCCTTTTCGGCCGTACTCTCTATGGCGCTCAATGAACACTGGAGAACAGAGCATCTGACTAAGACTTTTGGACGACGTAGCGAGAGCAGCCTCCTTACCGGATGGCCTCTGCTCTGTTCAGCGGCCCTGTCTCCGTTGGTCGTATCCCGCAGTCGATCTATCGTGCCGGACTCTCCGAGCGCGTAGCTTGAGAGATTTTTCATCTTTTATGTCTGCAGATAGTGATCTTGCTGTATTTCTGTTGGTTTCTACGGCATGGTACGTGTCTTCAAAGATATCACACCGGCGCTTGCAAATTTGCTGGGGTTTGCCGGTGAATTGACTATTGATTGATTTCCATACCCGGATCATGCACTTGCAACATCAGCTCCAGAAACTGCTTCGCGGGAAAGGCTGAGGTACCTGAAGAAATATGAAAGCAGACTCAAGGCAAGAAGGCGGTGCATTCATCGGTGCGTAGTGTTCGACTTATTTGTTTTATACGTGACTACCGGACTAGAGCCTGGGCGTTCCATGATGGAAAATCGCACGCAGATATATAATCGACACGGAAAGAATCACCGCGTAGTACTGAGGTACTCCTCCTGTATTGGTGAGGCGTGGCTTTGCGCCAGGGCAATATTTTCTGACGTTCATCGTGCTTCGAATAACTAACCCTTGGCAACCGACAGTCCTAATACTAATATCAGCCTGGTCGAATACCAAGCATTGACCGCACGTGGTCTTGAGACTTTATTCTGCTGTCTCTGCCGAATCTTGTGATGGATCGCAGAGACAGAAGAATATCACGTAAACCCTTTGGAACTAAGAACGTTGAGCGGAGTATGCTTCAAAGCCTGTTCGATAACTTTTATCCGGTGCTTCCTTTGTTGCTTATGCAGTTCTAGGAATAAGAGTTACAGCGGTGTATTTCTTTCAAGGGGTACAAGGGGAAAGAATCTGAAGTCTCGGAGGTGCCTGTTGCCTGTCTACTGGCATCAATGAAGCGCGCTTCCATTAATTGTATTGTCTATTTTGGGAGCTCATTGAAAAAAGCCGTCGGCGTCAACGCCATGCAACACCGACGTCTCTCAGGAGTTCCATGGGACGCCTAGTATGAACCGTCTGTTGCAAACTATCTGCAAAATTTTTTCACATTCAGTATTTTCAACATCGGATGTCTCGAACATCATGATCAGTAAGGGGGATTTCCTTACATTTCTTTGGTTCTTTCTGTAAATTATAGATGTTTTCACATCTTTTTGACAAAGCTCGGGAAGAACCGTGGTGATACTCCTTCCTCTAACGATGTTGCTGGTTGCGAAAACGCTATTTTTTTTGGAAACTTATTGCTGCCGCTCGATTGAGCTTAACTGCAATGATGAATAGAGTATCTAGCGCTCGACTCAGCATGAGATATACCGAAACTCTTCTCGCTAATCTAGCTTGGCTCTACAACTTTGGGGCTTTGCAATGTTGCGTAGCATCAGCTATTAGAAGTAGACTAAGACGGGTTGACTATTCTTTGGTATCGTGATGTTGCGAGGATGTATCCCTTCCACTGGTTGTGTTTATAGTCTTACACTCTTTCTGGGAGGCGTGTTGAGTTGTCGAGATATGCTCACGCGTTGAAGGTGCTCGTTGAGTTACCTAGGGTCTTTGGTTATACCCAATTCAATAACTCTATCATAAGGTGGAACCTCTTGGAAATAATTCGTTCGGGATCAACTTGCCGGTCCTCGTTTAGCCAGACATCGACCCGATAGTCATCAAGATGGACTGGAAGTTTCACAAGCAAAGACTTGTCTACCTGGCTATTTCCTAGAACACCCGTCCAGCGTCACGTACTTGTACCTCGATGAGGGGCGAATAAGCTTGGTACACTACACATCTGGTCAAGCCATGGGTTCAGAATGGGTGAGCAGTTTCCATTTGTATTGAGCTGCTCGTGGCTGAACCGAACTAGACAAACTATGCTGATGAACGCCAGAAGAGCGCGGACACCCCCGACAGTGATAACACCGATGGGAGGGGCACATGACTCGACATTCACATGTAACGAATTCTCTGCGACATATGTTTCTTTGGGGTGAAAGCATGCTGGGCAGATGCCATTATGCTGGTTGCCGGCGTCTAAAGGGGTGTTGCAACACAGTTTACTACAAGGAGGACATCCGATCTCACACGCATTGAACTTATAGATTTAGTAACGCGTGTATCATTATACACATCGAGAGTAGCTTTGTACAACTGTTTCAAGGGTCATACCAACAGTATGGTACCCGCCGGAGAAGGCAACGAGAACCGATTAATTGGACTAAATAGGCGCCATGATATATGTACAATCTGATTACATCTTTAACCCCTATTCAACTCCTTTTCACCTAATTTGAATGCATGTATTGTTATGCTGCAAAAACCTCGGACTAGCAGTGTCAAGTTTAAATCAATAGATTGTCTGGATCCAATTCTCGAGGAAGAACCATGCGCCTGCGAGGCGGCCAACACCGCGGTGCATCTCTTGATGTAGTTCGGTCTGGATTCCGTTAGTTGATTAGACGGACGCTTCTTCTTAGTACATAGCATATGCGGCATTATGCGTTGAACACGCCTGCTAGGAACGAAAGTAGCCGCTGCTGTAATAATAGCACTGATTGACTTCGGAAATAAGCATGTAGCTACCAAGGCTTTTGGACGGGGCCTCGTACCTCAACAAGACGTTAGAGTACCGTAACCTTAATCGTTGCTTGGGATTAGATCTGCGGTGATGACTACCCAGGCAAATGTAGAATGAAGTGCGCAGGATTAACTATAGAAGACCGCAGGTCAGCTGACAATAATTGTCAGAGGGAGCGATATGACTAACAGGGGCATATACCTATAGACTAGCGTGTTTAGTCCCGTCAGCACAAATCGGCGATTCGATGATTGGAAAGAGTACTTCCTGTTGAGCCTGAGTTTTTCTGGTGGAGTTGCGCAACGGGCCGATCGACACACGTCAGATGGAAGGTGATTCCTCCGCGGCATGCTCAGTTGAGATGCGTGGATTTTCATAATGAGACCTAATGAAATGATGCACGCGAAGCCTCTTCTCAAAACTCCACGAATTGATCAGTCAAACAAAACAAGAGCCTACACAGCAAGGAGATCACTCAGCAAACTCGTATTAGAAACTCTATCTTCTGAATATTTACACATAGCGAGAACGATTGTCAAGCTCCTGTACCGCTTTGGTGAACGCTCGTATCACATGACCAGCAGTTCATGCGGCGCGGCAACCAGCATCAAGCCTAAACCATTGTCTCGGAACATTGATGTGACTTTGGAGGGCGCTTGAAAGGCTCACTTTGCGCCTGCGTCACTCGGTTGTTAATGTCTACTACTTGCTCTTGCCGATCTTTCGTTGCATCCGTTTGATTGCATTTGCTCTCCACCCAAGCGCCGATGCTGACTATTTGAAAATTGCAAGACTGGCTTCGGTTAGATTGCGCAGCCGGATTCTTCAATGCAAGTATTGCTGATCGTGCCTCACCAAATTGACCATTTTGATCCGTGTGCAGCAGCCCAAGTGAAAGTGCCTCCCCCAGCATGCGATTCGGGCTATGCCGTTGGCCGCGCACGTTGACTCCGTACTTGTTCAATCTCCTTGTACTCTAGTGATTGGATGACCCTGTTCAACAACAACGATTCAACCATTCATAAGTGTTTAGGTCTTGCCTCCGCTATGGATTGAGGATTTACTGAACCTGAACGACGAAGGCTGGTCGACGAGGTGCAACGGCTATCTCGATCTTTGCCACGGATTAAGATAGTATGCTCAGGTCTGCATGGGATGCTGAAGTACCCAACCAGGTGCTCAACAGGTTATTGACTGCTTAGGGTCTTGCCATTTGGGATATAGATGCGGATTGCAAACACTCCTACTTCCGTCCGGGATGCGATCGAGAGCATGAACCAGTTCACGGACTTCTACCAGGAGCTGATTGAGAAGATGGAGGAGGCCTACGGCTTGGCGCAGGGGTTGCCAGCAGTGGTCGAAGGTGATCAAGGCATCTACGAGATTGAGATCATGCCCGTAGTACCGCTTGTGCGCAGGGAGGACGGCTCGACCATGAGGCAGTCCGTGTACGCGCAGGTGAGCGCCATCGCCAGCTTGAACCAGACTAGGAACGGCGACATGTGCGCGTTACCAGCTCGTGATCGTTAGGAAGGCTCCGACTCCTGTACGACCATGGTCGACCCCTTTAACTAGTACGCGGACTAGAGCGAGGACCAGAACGCTGAAACGACCCACAACCTCTTCACGAACGGAACCACGACATACAAGGAGTTGGTGAAGGTGAGCCTAATCGCGTCCCTAACTGAATTCTACGACGGGAACAAGACGGCATTAGGAGCCGCATACAGGCGTTTGGAGAAGATCAAGACTTTATTCCCCAGCGCGAACACGAACATGGTCGAGCTAGCAATTGAGATAATCTCCCAGAGGACGCTAGTGCTTAGAGGCGCGAATCTGAGCTTGAGCGAAATGACAGCCTTGGTTGAATGCCTGGTCGAAGAGAACGAGTCTGGGGTAATGGACATAATAGTGAACGCGATGAGAAGCAAGACTGACCTCATTGCCTGCTTCAAGATCCTAATTGAGGAGTAGACCTACCTTACGCACCTAGGCTTGATACCAGTTTTGGTGAGGCTCAGGCATACGATCAGGGCCTCGTGACGATGTTGTAGGGGCGATGAGCAGAAGCTCGTAATCGTGATTAAAAACTCAATCTAGGTCACGCTTCCTGATGGGTACGAGTCGTTGCTCTCGTTCGTGTACGTGTCGTCGTCCATGCTCGTGTCCATGTCCTTGAATGCGAACGTGACGGTGGGCGAGGGTCTGCACATGTTCAAGCCGGTGATCTCCATGTAGTCTAAGCACGTGGTCGAGAACGTCAGGCAGGCCAGAATCGTAGACGGAACGCGGTCATCATTATAGTTATGGGCGCTTCGGCGTCACTATTCGCATCGTAAGGCACATAGTCGAAACGCTAATATAGCTTAAGCTGCCTATTTACTGATTGTATGTTCTCAACGCACGGCTGGTCGCTGACTCAACATAGATAATTGAGGATAATCATCAACACAGCTGCTGACTACATCGCATCGACACATTCCCATCTGTACTGCTATCCAAATCCGCAGCTGTTCTATATTACGTCTTCTGTGATTTTTGTGCTCATCCTGTTCGTAGTTTTGCTTGCTTAATGGCGACGAGCGAGTTGTGGCTGACGTCTTTGAGAATGGCGGTTGGGTCGAGCTACTTCTTAGGTGCGATAAAGAAGCGCAGCACGCAGTCACTAATTGGGTTAATGAGGATGTCGATGCACTCAGTCAGGTGCAGTCGGGCCGGGCCGGCGGTGACGGCAGACAAAGCGCGGGAGCATTTCGTTAGTTGTGGTGGGCGGCGCCCCGATGCCGCCGCCGACACGGGCCATCATCAGCTGCAGCAGCTTCAGCGGATTCTTCTCGCTTACCGGGTAAAAAGCAGTCGCGCGCAAGTTTTCAACAAGGTGGTGTGGGTCCTCGTTGACGTAGCCAATATTCTCAACCACGCTAACTTGTGCACGTTCCACGTCGCGGGCACCTTGGGCAGCATCGCCGTTCGCTGGTCAGGACATCTGGCCCAAGACACAGACTTACAGAGAGGAAGATGGCTGTTAGGAGGCTGTACTGGAGACTTTATACAAAATGAGAAGACCACTGCTATCTGCATGATATCTGCAATGCGCTTCAAGCACGCTGGGAAGATGAAGTGTCTGGCACTGTCAACGGCCATCTTTACAGCATATTTTGCAACATATTTCCACAGAGCGTGGAGAATCTCTCCTAGAATGAATTTAGGACGAGATCAACACCCAACCTGTCGGTGGCCTTCAGGATCTCGTCCTTGAAAAGCTCGTCTCGGGAGCTGAAGATGCCATCTGGGGCAATGCCATGATTCTCCATAACAAACCGAATCTTCTCCTCATTTCCGACCGTCACAAAGATCTGCTCGTGTCAGCCTTTGAAAATCGGCATTCGCGGCAATTGAGCTTACCTCTGCATCTGTGGGCTTGGTCACTGGTATTGCAGCGAACCTGACACCTCCAATTGCGGTACGAATCAAGACGGTCTGCGAACACAGCATTGAAAGATCATCGCGTGGAAGTCATTTTGCTCAGCACTTGCCTGATCCTTCTTTAGTATGACGCACTGCTCTAGAGAGTCAAGCGTCGTGATGCATACCAACGTCATGGTTGATACCTCGTCGAACTACAGCAAATCCGATATCTTTATGCAAAGTCTACCCAACATTTAGAATCAGGTAGACGTCTCCATTTGTACATGATCGGGGGATAATTCTGGAAGCCGAACAATTGCCACTCAAGCGATTGTATCGAACCCGGTTTCCCAACCCTCAGACCCTTCATCGTCGCGTCCTCGGGCCTAGCCAGCCCCTCGCCGATGGGTAATCCAATGGGATTTTCGAGTGTTGATCAGGCCGCCGCTCAGCGCGTGTTTGTGCTGGAACTTCGTGGGTACGTTCGGCGAGGGCTGCCTTGCCGACGAACCGAAACGTTTCAACCCAACGTCCCTGAGGCGGCGCCCAGTTCGATGCGGGTGGCTCTGGCCATGCCGAGGGTGAGCGCATAGCACGAGCTTGATGGCGACTTGACTGGCCTATAGCGACCCTGAGAAAGCTTGAGAACCCCAACTTATGAACGATTTCGACGAAGCTCTCGAATCCTTCAATCATCGCATCATTCAGGAACGGCTGGTCCAAATCCAGGAGGGCAAGAATGTCGATGCCTGCCGCCGATACTTGTTCGAGGGTGCGATACTCAACTATGTGACCGTGGCCCATGAACAGGTACTCAATCTCGCGAGCCTGCGCGGGAAATTGGCTGCCAGTGAGGAAGGTGACCTTGCCTGGAGCTGGTGCGGCGAGCGCTGGTCGTGCCACAATATGCGCGTTAAACTGGTAGAGTGAGCCCTGATCCTGGAAGGAGGTGTCGACGCCTGCAAAGCTAGCACTGCGCAGCTCTTTCTCCTACCTCGTGTAGTTGTCGTACGGCTCTTCCACTGTGCCATCGACTTCACCAGGCGACCTGTGAAAATGAGCTTGTGAGTGTAGTGTAAACCTGTGATAGATTGATAAATGAGATAGACCGATGATTGGCATATATATGCAAGTTCACCTCATATTTGTTACCAGACATATTCGGCTCTAAGGATCACCAACCCGGCGGAACACCTATAATGCAGTTAATTTACTTGTATTCAGAGTAAAGCTTCTGCAGGAATTGTTTGCTATGTGGGTCGAACAGAGTGTGGCAGCGGCGCGGGAGCTTCACCAGAGACGACGTCGTGTGGTGGATGTTGGAGGCAATAATCAGATCATAAGTGCCCTTTTCGAGATTTTGAGCAAATGGATTCGCTGATGGCCAGCACTGCACACTCAATACCTAGTATCTCTTTGGAGTACTGGATTTGCAGATTGTGACTCGTCAACTCGTCAAGATCCGAACTGTGTAGAGCATACAAATTCACTTCTACACGAAAGGTGAAATGCTTTTTGGTGGCACCAGATAATTACACGGAAATGTCGGTGTAAGTGTATTGGTTATAGGTGCGCTTGTTGTACAAGAAATAGGCTGATTCTAATATTCAAAGTTATTGCTGACTCGAGTCAAGTGTGCAAGATCTGCAGCATCTAGCAACGAGCAGTTCTCGCCATTTCTGGCACGTATTATGTGCTCAGTCCGTTCGCGGTATTCTTCGAGTTGTCTATCAGAGTTGGAATCGCCTTGAGTATATCCACGCTCTCAATTGAGTATAGGAGGTTCAGTTTTTTCATGGTGCAGTGCTCGTCCTTGGTATCTGGGACCTATCGAAACAGAATGAATGCATCGACGAATGGCTCAATTCTCATACCCTTGAGCGCAAACTTTACCATGCCAATGGAGACGCCAGTAGCAAAACATGTGGAAGTACCTCCACGAACGACCAAAATTGCAAGATTTATAGGGATGATTTTATTGCCGTTGGTAGTGTGAAACTCCCCAATGTCCGCAGGTAGACACATCTTGTCAAAGTTTCGGGTGATGCCTTGGTGCGCCGCAAGACTGAGAGCTTAGAAGACTCAATCGAGGGAGCAAGGATGAAATACATATGGACTCTGACTCTCCATCGGGCATTCCACCATATATGTAGACGCTGCATGCTCTGTTGGCGAGATAAACATTTTGTGCAGACCCCTGAATGCCAGGCTGTACTGCAAACCAACCTTGTGCATCTGACGGTACCAACTCTGAGAAGAGACTGTGTGTGGGTACTCCTTCAGTTCGGGTACCTCTATGCATACGGGTCTTCTAGACCTGATTTGGCCCAGAAAGTTCTTTGTTCAACTATTTCCGTTATTCGAGATGATGATAGAGTCATATCCGGCTGAGTTGTTGGTTGTTGTGAGACAGTGGCGGGAAAGCCTGGTGATGACCTCAGTTAACCGCATGGGAAGGATGATGAGAGCCGAAACTACAACATTATCACAAATCATGTACTCCTGTAAACCTTCTGATATGTAATGGATGAGGTTATATGTAACGAATGAAATTGTTCTATTTACACTACTCTACTTTGCGAACGACTGAAATATCGAATCTTTGAACTTTACGGGCGAGACCTTCTTCTACTCCAACGCCCCAGTCTATAATGTTGCGTAGTTTCCCTTCATCTGCCTGCTCAAGCTCCGAGATCAGTTGCCTGAATTCGTTGCGGTTCACCATCGCGGAATTTTCTTCGTCAGAATCTTTTGGTACATCTCCAATAACAGCCATACGTGAGTTGATAGATCCTTCGTGTAGCTGTATTGTGAGTTGGTAGTCTGTATCGTTTTTATCGTCCTTGCTCTCGAACGATCCTGGGGGTCCGACTGCCTTGAGACCCGGTACGTACAATTTGGCGCCTTTAAACAGGCTAATCATTCGCCGAAGTTGTAACAGCACACGATAGCATCTTGCATATATTTTATCGGCCCGGTCTGCGTCCAGTTTCTGCTGTTTCAGAGCATGGGATTTGTCTTTCTGAGTGGAGTCGCCTTTTCCAGGAAGAACGTCGACGTCGTTGATGGTTGACTGGAAGTATGCGCTGATCCAGAGACGGAGCACATATGTAGCGTCTTGGAGCAGTGCTTCTAAACAAAATATTGTCCTGGCTGCTTTGTAGAGTTCCGTCTTGATCGTGGCTAGTTCCTGGATTGCCTGCTGCGATTCTGAATTCTCTAGTTTCTTCACCTTCCGCATCGCATCATCATATTTCTTCTCCAATGCCTGAATCTCGGTATCATGCTGATCCTCAGCGCTCTGCAGCTGCTGCTTGAGAGAAGCAATCAACCTTTTCTGGTCGCTTGCCTCACGACGGAGATCCGTAAGTTGGTTGTCGCGATCATCCTTCTGGGTAGTGTTGACTACAAATGATGTCAACTCAAGTATAGCCCTTGTATTTGCCTTCGTCATACTCAGCTCAGTGTTAGCAGCATCCAATGCTGTCTTCGAATCACGACTTTTGTTGGCCTCCGTTTCGTATGAGCTTTGCCAAGCTTTTATCTGAGCTTTCAAGTCTTTCTCCGTTTGTTTATGCGCCCGCTTCTCGTACTTTAATGACTTTTGTAGGCTGCTATTCTCTTCCTGGACCTTTTTCATTTCGTTGTTACAATTTTTAGCGGCCTGTCTCTCCTGCGATATAGAAATGTTGAGAGAATCCAACTTCGCCTTCAAATTATCTTGTTCCACAGTCCACTTGATGCATTCTGTTCGATGCTGAGCATCTTTGACTTGTTGGTCCTGCTCAAGCTTCGCACGCTTTGTATTTTCAGTAGCGTAGAGCTGCGATGTGTTGTGTAGGCTTTTCTGCAGTGTAGTCAATTGTTCTGGCAAGCTAGGGATATGCAGAGCTGTTGAGTTCAAGGCCGATGATGATGATGATACGGTTTGGCCATCGCTAGATGTGTTATGTCCTAGAGGGTGCAAGGTAGGAGAGGCGGGTGCGGGTAGATTTGGTGTTGCCATGGTCAATGGTGTTGTATGTGTAATTCTGCTAGGCGCGATTAGTCCTGGCATTCTGGTTACGGGTTGGGTATCACTAGACATGGTACTTACTTCGTGCTGCTCGCTTGCCTTTGATTGTGGAATGTGAGTTGTACACTGTTCTTTCGATGGTGTTAGATGCTGTCTAGAGTGATTTGGTAGAATAGTTTTGAGGATAAGGCGGGGGGAAGCTCAAGGATACTTATTATATCAGGCGATACAACAATGTTTGGTGTGGTTGCACAAGAAACTGCGTATCTCACAATGTTCTATGATAAGCGACCGATACAACAATGTTTGGTGTGGTTGCACAAGAAACTGCGTATCTCACAATGTTCTATAATAAGCGACCCTCCAAGCGCGGGCAGAATACTAGAAAGGCTAGACGTGAACCAACAAAGCATAATTAACCAATCAACAACGTGCCAAGGCTGTTTGCCAAATCTGTTCAATGCACATCTACAAAGTTAGCCAAACAGAGAATACTCGGCCCAACGGCTCGCTTGAGTTCGGGGTTCGTAAAATAGGCCGTACAGCGCACAGCGAAGCCACAGCCAGGTTCTTGAATTTTATCGCAGAAACTGTTGTGGCAAAGTCAGAGTCTGCTACGTCTACTACAAACGAGTCTTAGCTATTTTAGAGTAGAGCGCATCGGCTAATCGAGGGATGTGCTGCAAAGCAAAGAATCTGGTTTTGGGGGTCTGTGCACCGTGTAACTGAAACATGCGTAACCGAGCTGAACATACAACGTACGATGAATGTATTCCAAAGGCGGGTATAGGATGGGGTAGCTAGACGCTGCACCTCTTATTCGGTAAACGCAGTAGTAACGTATTCCCACAAGAACCCCCTATCGGCCCGCCTTCGGCACTACGGTCGATGAGCCCCCGGTTGCAGGGGGATAGATACCCCCCGGTACGGACGCTGTTTCCGTTCTTGATTAGGGGGATAGAAAGCTCATTCTATAATACCCCGCTATGCCTGCCTACCTGCCTGCTGTGCCTACCCACCGTGCCCACCCACCGTGCCCACCGTGCCTATCTATCTATCCACCACAACCTTCATCAGAATCTATCACCTACGAAGGAATTCTATTACTAGAATTAGTTGTTAGGGTAAAATCCCTACTTTGGCAGGTATTCTGGCATTTTTAGGGCATATTGTTGAGGTTTGGTAGGATGGATTTTGGCGAGGGGGGTATAGTTTTCAGGCCTTACGAGACTAGAAAGATAGAAGTAAATCTATTGGCTAATAGATGTGGCTGGAGATATAGTCACGTGCTAGGATTATCTACCCCCCAGTACGGGGAGGTGTATCTCCTAGTACTGGGGGATATCCCCCTGTACGGGGGAGTGAATTACTAGTAGCAGGGGATAGCCCGCCCGGTACTGGGGGGCCCCCGCCCGGTACAGGGGGCTGGTTGACCGTAGTGGGAGGACCTACGATTAGTAGTATAGTGCTATTTAGACACATTTGAAATACACTATAATCTCTCAAAAAATTCTTGGTACAGTCTTTATATTCTATAATTCTAATTGTAAGCAGGACAAAGGTTCTTTAATTCGTTGACTTTTGCATCGATTTTTAACCCATCTTCGCTTGTCCTGTTTGTCCGCCAGCTCCTGCAAGAATGTCGTCAGATGTAAGCGCAGATTGAAAGCTGCTTGCTGCTTCGAAACATAGCTTCGTCTAGAGTATACACCTTCCTATCAAGTCTAATTTCGTTAGCAAAGAAGTAGTAGCCACAATGCTACACATCTTATTTGGCCGCAATAGTCCAAAACATATAAAAGCCCTATTCGTGAGTAGCTCGCCATTACGCCTCGTACGTTTTGAATTCTTCGATCTGCGGGCACAAGCGCGTTTGACTAAAGATTGTGATTGTGGCACTATGAACGAGGAGCGTTTCAGACATGATGACTGCGCCATGAAGGCGCTCGATCTCTAGTCAAGGCCAATTCAAAGATATGATATTGTTTTGGAACCCGATTAATTATACGAACCCATTGCCGAATTACGTCAGTAACGTGGAACTGAGCCTTTCTCGCCTACTTGAGCCGGGTCGACTTGCTTGAAATCAGAGACATAGTCGCAACCGTTAGTGTGTTTATCCTCTCGGTGTAGTCCGCCAACATCTTTATGCTCTGGGGCATTATCATTATCTGGGTTACACTCGAGTTCCCCTAATGGATTATAAACATAATCAAGGGTCCGCACAGGTTGCACTTTATCCACAAGGCGTTGCCCTAGCTGTTGTTTTTGTATTCCTTCCAAGTCAACCACCTAGCTCATCTCCTCCTGACCTCGTTGTCCACGATTGCGGTTGCGGATAAAATCGTTGTTAGAGGTCATTTTTCTCTTTCGTACGAAAAGGGATTTCATATGCGAGATAGTGACGCAATCAGCAACGATGGAGCTGGCAGGGCATGGATTTGCAGCACGGCAGTATAGACACAGAAGGTATTTTCATGTTGAAAGTTTCATCGATCCTGGTGGCTTGCTATCTCGTAACTTCAAACCGTCTCATCCCGAGAAACCCATTGTACGAAATGCACTTCGTGTGTTCCACCATGCAGTCCGTTACGGTTATCAAAACCCAGGTAATTGTGTTGATTCTTGGTCCACTGATGTTACAGTAGCTGCCTATTATCCAAAGGAGTTAGCGCATTCGATTCTACAAGAGCTGTGCAAAGTACCTACTTTAGTCGCCACCCTTGCGGAAGAGATTCTTCAACTTGTCAAGCGGGGTAGTCTTCTCGCCCTTTGCTTCTCTTCTCACAACATCAATGACATCCTGCCAATGCCTAACTTCTTCCTGAAGTACTCGAATCAAACTCGTCTTTCCGCTCAGTTCCTCTCGAAGGTCGTTGTTGTCCTTGACCAGTTCCGCAACCTGATTGTTATGCATGTCTTGCTGGTGATCGAGCTGCACACGTAGTGCATCGATGGTAGCGTGTAGATTGTCGAATACTGCGTGTACTGCTCGAGGATGGGTATGACTGAGACGGTATTCTGGATGCGCTACAGTGCCTGCGGACTCGGGTGACACTGGCGAGGCGGGCGCAGCGGCAGGGTCGGCGACTGCGGCGTTGATGGCGAGGGTACGCTTCATCAAGGTGTTGAACTTGTTGAACGACATAATGAGTTAACAAGGATTGGATAGGAAGCGTAGTGTTGTGTGTTGGATGTGATAAGTATCCGTGTAAGCAGTATTACGGCATGGACGAGATGAATTTCATCCAGCGACAATGATCATTAGTAAGCTGATGAGACCCTCCCGTGAAGTGAAAGTGAGTCTGACCTGGATTTGCAGCGTGAAAGAGAGCATCATGATCAGACTGGCTATAAGCCGCAGCTTATTCTGGGTGGTAAGGTTTGTCAATGCTTCTTCAAGCTCCACAATGTCGAAGCGTTTTGTGCATGTTCGACGGGAGAGGGAGTAGGGAAAAGAAAGTCAATTATCGCTTCGTTACGATCCTGTTCTACCCCAAGATAACATTGAAAAAGATTGAAGAGAAAAGTTGTTTTGATTTGATAAGCGGATATGAAATGCAGTAGCTCAAGGTGCTATAAGAACGCTGATAAATTCAATGACCCAATATGAAATACTCTCGTAAGAAATACATAGTCACCTTGAATAACGGGCATGCTAAAGTCCCATTCGAACTACAGCCTTTTCCCCGTCTACGTTACAGTTGAGTGGACAAGCGTTGATAGCTTTAGTAGAGGTCACATGTGTCAATCGTCGTCAGCGTCGTCAGGCACCTCGACCTCGTCGCCACATCTGCTGAAGGCAAAGCTGCCGAGGCCGAAGCCTAAGCTGTCGTAGGCCGCAGCCTCCCGAATGCAGTACTCCCAGTCCCTGCGCGCACGCCAGCGCACTTCCTGGGCGCGATGCTTGGCCCGCCCCTCGACAGTATGGCGGTCGAAATCGGCGTTCTCTGACCAGCCCGTCTTGACCCACCGCTTCTGCGTGTCATCAACCACGCGGGCGGCCCACTCGTGCGCGAGATCGGCATTTGAGGAGAACGAGGCCAGGGCGCGAAGCGGCCGCCAGAGGATGCCCTTGAGCGAGAAGAGGGGCAGGGCGGCGAGCGTGGGGTCGGCCCAGAGTGGGTGGTTGCGCGGCGGGATGAGTGACCAGTATGTGCGCAGCATCGACGCGGCATCCAGCATGCACACACAATGCTCGCGGCGGCCCACATCAGCCAGCGTCGGCGCCCCGGCGGCCACGTCCTGCCACGGATACGGCACCAGTGCGCGCCGCACCAGACGGCCCGTCTGCGCAACGAGCCCGCAGCGCGCCGCGCACCCGGCATCAAAGGCAGGCAGGCTCGTGTTGAGGAGCAGCGGCTGCTGCGTGGCCAGGTGCGAGATGTCGACGGGCTTGCGGCGGTCGTCGAGCAATTTACGCAGTTCCCCCTGCGACAGCCGGTAGTGGTGCAGAAAGGGCTTCGGGTCGCCGTCGCCGACGCCCAGCACGGCCTGGGAAATGCAAAATGTCGGCTGGCGCTGCTTCCATGCCGCGTGGACGGCCGTGTGCAGCGCGCCCACGGCCTTCAGATGCGCCACGTCGACGGCACACGTGCGCCTGCCGCGACAGTGCTGGGCGGCCTTGTCCGTGTGCCAGCACAGCTGCAGCCGGCGCAGCTGGGCATCGACGACGGGGCGGGGCGGCGACCACGTGGGGAAGAGGCGCGGCGGGAGCCCCAGCAGCGGGTTCAGGTCGGCGTCGGGCAGGGTGAGCGAGGCGTGGTAGAGGAAGGACGGCGGGCAGCTGGCGTGGTATATGTCTGGGTGAGTCAGCATGTCAGGTCAGGCCAGGGAAGGAGCAACACGCACCTAGGGCGCCGCGGTCCGGCTTGGGCGCGTAGGCCAGGTTCGTCGCCACGTACGCATACACGACGAGTGCAGCAAGCGCGCACGTCGCGGCGCATCTCCACCACGTGAGCGCGCGCCTCGACCACACCAAGGTGAACTGCCACCACACCAAGGCAAACTCCCACCACAACAAGGCGAGCTCGCCAAGGCGTGCGTCGATGCCAGCAGCAGCAGCCCTCGAGGCGGCCCACGTGACCCACGTCGTGACCCATGTCGTGACGCCACGCACAGCCACCACAGCAGAGGCAAGCCACGTCCCGATGCATGCTGGGCTGCCAAGGGGAAGCGTCTCTTCTTCGAAAGGCGGTACCAGCACCGCATGCCCAGGCCCATACCGCAGCCGCACAGGAAGCGTTGGCGGCTCAGACGTGTGCCGCGTTCGGGGGCGGCGGGCTGCTGATGCGGCGAGGAAGCGCTGCGTGGGCGTGGCTTCCTCGCTAGACAGCTTGGGCTGCTTCGTGGGCGTGGCCGTGGGCGTGCGAGATGCTTCATCCCCAGACAGCCTGGAGTGCTTCGTAAGGGAGCGGCGACCGTTCATGCTGACCATGGGACGCTTCGTTGGTGCGAGGAAAAAGATGCTGTCAACAAGGACGAAGAGGCCGTGTTTATATACACCCCTTGTCCTCTGATCAAAGGCGTGCATCTTCTCCCCTGATCAAATGCGTGCGGTTGCGGTGTCTTGCTTGGTTTGTCTGTCTCACCGTGCGACACAAAGAACGCGACGAGGCGTGGCGTTACACCGCTGCCACATCCTTTGTCCGCGCAGGGAATGGCGTTTGCTGTGCTTGCACAAGGGGCGTAGTTGCATTCCTTCCTTCACTCCTTTACTCTTTCACTCCTTGACTCCTTCTTTCCATCCTTCCACCCATCCGCCGTCTGACTTTAAAACAGCCGTTTTCCCCCAGCTTGTCTGCATCTTCATTCAGCCCAAGTGCTCGATCAACTACCATTTCAAGTGCTCGATCAACTACCATTTCAAGTGCTCAATCAAGTACTTTTCAAGTCCTTTGTACGTTGCTGGGGTGCTTCATGTCCCAAGCCATCCACTAACTTTGTTGTTTGCCAGAACTTCCGTCATGTCCATCGACACGGGGTCCCTCCCGTACTACCCGCGCCTCGTCGCCGATCCCCCGCCTGACTCCCCCGCGCCCAGCTCCCCCCTTCGATCACCTTACGTCGCCCTTGCCTGTCCAGACTCCCTCTGCGCAGCCCTCCTAACCACGCTATGCGTCTCCCTCTTCTCCGCAGCAACAGCGGTGTACCTCTTCACCGCTGCTGCTCCCCCACCCCCCACCGTCCCCACCGCCGTCGCGCTCGCGCTCCCCGCGCCCACCCCCCCCTGGAAATCAAACCACACGACGCCCTCTTCCCTCGAATGGTCCGCTGAGCTCTCTACACTCCTCACCCGTGCCAGCTTCGACGCTGCCGACTGGCTGTCCAGTCTCGGCGCCATACCGCACCCCCCGCACACCGACACTTTGATTCGGCTTGTCGACGTAGTGCTAGGCGCGACGAATCACACAGCACCGACGCTCTACCATGTGAATACTGCGTGGAACGGGTACCAGGGTCTTACTGCCGTGCTGAACGCAGAAGCTATGCGCGTAGTGCGCCGGAACCCAGCGGCAGAACACGCCAGCATCTGTGCAATGCTGTCCCGCACAGCTGACGCCCTAGTCTTCGTTGACTTGGCTACAACACAACTCACCCTCTCTTTGTCTGCACTACAAACCGCCTTGTCTACCCTCCACGCATACATCCGCGCCACCTTCCAGACTTCCCAGACCTCGTTCTCCGCTCTAGACTCTCGCGCTACGTCCCTCCTGCGCAGTCTAGCGTTTGACATCAACACGTTCCTGGATGCAAAGCTCTTCCCCAGTGTCAACGTAACTCTTGCTACGCGACTGCCAGCGCAACAATCCTATGCTGTTCGTAAGATGGAGGGCGAGGTCATGGAAGTGTTAGTCGACGCTCAGGATCGAAGGAATGAGGTAACGACGTTTGCGACTGATCTTGAGTGGATCAAGGGTTTTTTGGAGGGCGTGGGCGGGGCAAGGGCTTGTGCCGCGTGGGTTGGGGTCGAGAAGCCTCGTGAGAAGATGGTTGGTGGTGAATCAAGTGGTAGTGGGTCGGGAGGGGAGGGCGGAGAAGGAAAGAGAAATCCTCTAAGTATTTTACTGGGACATCAGATTGCGAAGCTCAGTGCTGAGGAGGTCATTGAGGCGGTGGATGTTTGGGGTGTAAGGAGGGTGCCAGTTGCCGGCGCAGAAGTCTATGGGCAAGAGCCACAGTAGCTAGGCATGGGGTGTTAGGAGTTTGGGGTGGGCATAGGAGAGGAATAGACCTCATGGATCAAACGTTTGTGTCAGACATAGTTAGCTTCGTTGTCTAAAAGACTGCGTTGTCCTCGAGGCAGGCTGAGCAGAAGAGATGGACATATCGCGCTGGGATTGTGTTGATAGAGCGTCGGTTGACAATAGATTTGTAGAGTCCGAAGAAGATTTTGACCGCTGTCTCGTACTGGTCTCCTTCTCTGATTTGCGGGTTGTAGAACCCTGCTCGGATATTGGATTTAGTGAAGATTTGAGACGTGGGTAGCTGTTTCTTGACGGTGCAATTCCTTGTTTTTGCAGTGTACTTTAGTACTAGCGTGAGCTATAGAGATTGCGCCAAGTTCATACGGTGCTTCTGCCAAGGGAACATGTCACCCCACTAGCAGCCCCATCTACGACGGCTACCTGCACAATAATCACATCATGGCTACAAACTATACCTTCAAGCTTGACCCGTTCTCTCTGCCCACGCTCACTCCCTGGGGTAACACACACCGATCACCACGCGCTGTGTCTCGTAGCTCTCCACGAAGAAGACGCGAGAGGAAGTAGTGGCGGTAGAGTCCTGGCTGAATCTGTTCGACTGCTGTTTGGGTATCCATGCATTGACTGAAGAAGGAAAACATCGCAATATGCTTGAGCTGCAGCAGAGAGCCTAGGAGACTACACACAACCTCGAACAAAGCATGGCTCAGCCGGATAGTCTAGGACTTTGTCTTGGAGGCTGAGGGCGGCTTCTACCTTTGAATGCCATTGAAAATGGGGAGGGTGTCTGTGGTTGGTGGTGTGGTTGGGTTGAGTCATGGGTGGGAAGTCTAAGACATGATTGCTATGAAAGGGAGATTCTCGTCATCTTTCTTCATCCCATCTTGTTCAATTCATCCATCTTCTCATCCCCCACCACTCCGATCATCCATTCACCGCAACAAGCATGAGCTGGCTCTTCACCTCCTCAAATGGAGCCCCCACGCACCCCACGGCAAACGAAGCGCGCACACGTCACGCACCCCCGCCCTTCCACTTCTCGTACAAAAGCCGCCACGCAGGCAAGAGCGTGGCAGAAGTGGCCGCCTCAGACCCAGCGTATCTGGAGTGGCTTGTGAGTTCTGGCCAGGGGCGCAAGTTGGATGGGTTTGGAGCGGCACTTGCGGAGTTTCGGCAGGGAAAACAATCCAACGAACGGCCGGTTGAATATAGAGGGTTCCCACGTTCTGCGCATCGAGGAACTCGACCAACAATTGAACCACAGACAGATCGCAACGTGCGATGGGCGCCCGCGGATTGCGTTCCACAGACGAGTCGCAATGTGCTTGATGTGGATGATGGCGTAGAAGAAGCGAGGCGGTGGTACGACTTTCCCGCCGACAAAGCCGAGCGTGTTCAACATGTACAGCGTCCCGACATGGTGAAAGAGATGGTCCAAATCGATCAAAACCTGGGCCAGAATACGGAGCGGTACGATGACATTGAGCGGGTTGTCGAGGAAGAAGCGTTCCAGCTGGGGCTTGGAATGGGTCAAGCCTTCGCGCAGACGGATCGCGAGGTGAAGAGTCTAGGGGAGAGGATGGAGGCATGCAGTTTGAGAGGAAAAGAGGAGGTGCAGGTGCAGGGTAAGCACACTATAACGGCAGTGCGGGCAGTGGGCAAGGACCTCCAGGCGCAAGGAGCAACTACGATGGCAGCAGTGCGAACTATACGCGGACAAGTCAGCGGCTTCGCCACTGACATGAACACCTTACTCCGCGATGTCAGGGGCGATGTACAAGAAGGAGTCCTCGCAGCAAACCAGGGCTTCATGACTGGTCTCTCAGACGTCTCGGCCACGATGACCACACACTCCAACGCCCTTCGTCAGGATGTCCAGCACCTCGCCGCATCATCACAAAATCTGCGCGTGGACGTGAACCACATGGGCACTCGGTCTGACGAGCGACTCACGCAGCTCGAAGCCGAATTTCGCGCTTTGACGCAGAGTTTCCAGGGCGCGAGGCAGGATGTGCGAGAGGGGTTCCGGCAGCAGGACGCTAACACGACAAGAGGGTTTGCGAACGCTGAGGCAAGTGCTGTGTCCAGACATGATGAGGTTGTGAGGGTGCTTGAGCGTGTTGCAGCCGCTGTAGAGAACCGGCCGCCGGTGCCGAATCAGACGAGCGGTATTCTGGGCACCGAGCCAGCGGCTGACAATGCAGATGTCAAGCGGATGATGCGGCAGATGAGCACGTCAATGGATGCGCAGAAGAAGCAGTCTTCGGCCTACCTACGTCGGCTAGACAAGGCACTTACAGCTGTGGTCGGGTGCGTTGGGAAAATTGACAGGACTACCAAAGCTCAGATGGTGCAAATGGAATCCCTCAATCGTGGCCGAGCGGATGGGAGTGGACGGCTGGATGAGCTTGGAATGGCGCAAAATACAACGTCCAAGAAGATGGAAGGAACATGCGCCGAGATTCTCGCCCTGCTACAAGCACACATTACTCTTGATAACAGTCAGTCCGATGTAAGTACCCAGCTGCTTGAGCTCGGCCTAGGACAGAACGTAGCATCTAAGAGGATCGGTGAGGTGTGTGAGGAGATGCTACGCTTAGTACAAGACCACTACAACAGTCGGCCTGATGTAGGTGGAAGGATGGTTGATCTCGGAGCGGCAGACACCATGGCATCTGCGGAGATAGGCGAGGTGTGTGGAGAGATACTGCGCTTGATGCGAGAACACAACACCCGCAACGACAGTCCACCGGATGTGAGTGAACATCTGCCCGAGCTCGGAGCGGCAAACACCACGGCATCTGCGGAGATGGGCCGGATGTGCGCAGAGATATTGCGCTTGCTACAACAGCGCCACGATGTTAACGAAACGCACCACCTATCCTCCATTAGCACCCAGCAAAACCTTGTGCAAGATCTCGAAGCTCAGCTCGCCGCCACCAACCAGAAACTTGACGACGCCATCGCCGCTCAAAACCTCATCACGTCCTCCCACGATGAGGCATCATCAGCGTACCACAGCGCCCAAGCAATCGTCACAAGCCAGACCTCGATTATCGCCACCAAGAACGAAGAAATCGCCGTACTGCAGGAAACCCAGCGTGCTCTGCATGCCGCACGCGCGGAGCAAGTCGAGATCCTGCAGAACAAAGTCACTTCCTTGCACAACGAACTCACCGGCATTAAAACTGACACGTCAGTAGTACTGACCTTCCAGCGCCACATCACGGACCCAGAGGCGTCAGAACCCCCGAGAGTGACGAACGTCGGCCTCGCCCTCCTCCTTGATAGCATCGTCGAGACGACAGCCCACTTCACTACGAAAAACGCATGCCTCGAAGAGCGAGTCGACAAACTAACGTCCACGCAAAACGAGCTGATCGCGAAAGAAGATAAACACCAACGATTTCTACACTACGTTGAGTCGAGCGTGGACCGCATGAATAAGGGGCATTTGGAGATGGATTCGGTTCCGAGATGGGAAGAGAAGGATAAGAGGCAGGAGCTGGACGACTTCGTCGACTCACTTTATAAGGAGCAGATGATCAAAGCAATGGGGGAAAACGTAGGTGGGAAGGTAGGAGATGGGGGATTGTAGGAAGCGTTCTAGACGCTGGGCGTCAAGGAAAAGGAAGAAAAAAAGTGGAAGTAACCGCAGGAGTAAACTTCTGTAAAGGCATATGATATAGGCGTTTATATGGAGTTGTAGGTGTATATTTGATCGGTTATCTTTATGGGTTTGGGTGCGCACATGGAGTTGAGGATGACGCAAGTATGCCGTGCATATCACGAATTGCTAACGGTGGAGAGTCTTGATAGACAGGCAAAGAACAAACTCAACTTCTTTGATACCAAAAAGGCCCCTCTATGCCTTCCTACTCTGCGTCTAAGTTCGGTATAAAAGGTTCTTTCGCAAGCTTCTATAAGTCTCTGAGTCAAACTCTAATCTTTGCGACATCTAATTAGTTCATAGTGAGTTACGTGCTGTACGGGAAGCTGTGCGGAAAAACTTCGCCCCATAGAACTGAAATTCTTGCATCACTGCCCTTACGGAGGATGTCTCAAGAGTGTAGAGGAATAGCGCACCCATTCTCCGTTCACGGAATAAAACAACTTATCTCAACCTCCCAAGTTCTACTACCAGTCTCGGAAACTAACTACCAAAAAATGTATCGTATAAATCCTAGTAGGATGCAGGGCTCCAGCGGATCTTGCAAGGACGCGGGCTCGACCACAGTGGCACGAAGGCCGTGATGACCAGTCAAATTCGAGAAGATGACCTCCGTAACGCATAAACGAAGTTAGACGAACAAACTAAGCTCCTCATTGCTCGTCCCAATGCGGAAGCTGCAAAGAAGGCGGATTCTTGGGGTACACCTCCGTAACTGCTCAAGACTAGTAAGTCACTTCCTGATCGACTCGCTCGGTTCAACTGACACTTGACAAGTATGAAAGAACACCAAAAAGGTACGCAAAACGGTCTCCCTACCCATTTGGTCAGTAAAATCCACAATTAGCAAGAGCCTTGGTGAATTTTATGACCCGCATGATGCTTGGACGTTCCTACACAATGGGTACAAGATAATGGATGAGCGCGTCGAGCGTATAGCTCCCGACGAAGTTGGTAACCTGAAGCTGACAAATAGTAAGAGTATGTAGGATCTCTTGAACTGGGTGGAACAATGTCGATTGAAGATTAAGGACGCCATATGATCCCCAAAATCTTCTGGGTCTTGTCTAACGCCAACTAAACGAACATTAACCTACACGATTTCCCAAGCAGACTGCTTGGGTTCAATACTCCTCGCCTCGAAGATCTCACATGTTGTCTGCTTATTCAAGAGTCGAGACTCCACCAGCAAGGTATTAAAGTCTACACCGTCACCAATACCGACACTAGCAACAATGAATATCGCCTAGGAATATCTTCTCAGGTTCATCCAAGGACGGATGGGAACGTAAGTCCTAGACTAAGGGATGTCGAACATAGTAAACACACAAGATCGAAGACTGCTGGAAGACTCACCCAGAGAAGCGCCCGAACAAGAATGCGGATACCAACATGCAGAAAAGCAATGAATCTAAAACTGTTCACAACAAGGAAGATTTACAAACTAGGAACCAAAAGTTTTCTGACATGGTAAAATCGGCCACGCCCAACGACGAAAACGACCATAGCAAGCTTTATGAGATTGCATGGCATACTCAAGCACTGAATTCAAGAATGAAATGATCGACCCCAATCTCGACCCAGTCCTGAACAGAAAAGTCGATCGAGCTTGTGCCCTGATCCAGAAAGACCCATACGCTGATGTCCCTAGCGAAGATGACTTTATGGAATGTGATGAAAACACATTGTTCTCGCCACACAAGTTGCAAATCGACGATCTTGTTACTCTACGCGAGATGCATGCTGACAACCCTCGTGTGGTCACCCCAACTACAAATAGAATATCTGTCGAAATGATGGGAACGCCAGGATACATCAGAGAAACTTCAGCAGGAATAGCCACAGCAAAAGCAACCGATGAGGATCTCACGCTCATTTTGGGCGTCCAGACCCAACTTGAACCCGGATCACCCTTCAAAACGGGCACGTTACTTAGGCCATGCTACATGTGTCATTTCGACTCCTTCGCGAGAACTGCCAGTCGAAAGTACGTTTCTGGGATTCCGAAGCAGGAAACGACTTCTACAGACAACATATTGCCCCCTTCGAGACTACCAAGGAAAAGAACAAACCAGAACAAAACGGCATGGGTAACCTCCAAGCGTTGACCAGCGATACCGCGAATGCCTTGAGTCATGGAGTAGTCACCTGGATTGAAGTCTCTTAAGCCGACACCCCTCTTGCCGAGGAACGACACTCGCTCAACAAAATCCTCCTTTTTAAAGGCAAAGCTGACGGAGTCTCAAGTTCTATTTCAGTAGACGGGCAAGAAACTGTACCCTTTCAGCTTCCATTAGGCACAATCCATGAGCTTGACGATGTACTCCTAGCTCCAACCACAATGCTGAATCTCATATTACTAGACGAACTTGCAAAGCCTGGGCTGCAGGAGACATGGAACGAAGAGGACATAATGTTCCCAAACAAATGAGATAGGTAACTGACCGCTGTCGCGAAACAAAACATATGGCCTGTACTATCTCCAAGATTTTATTATTTCCAGCACTCTGTCGGCGTTCTTGGAGGAAATGAGAACCAGGTGAAAAGCCACGGGGTCTACGCATGTCGTCCCCATGGCGCAGGCCAAGGTCAAGAAGCTAGTATGGCAACTCCATCGTCGACTAGATCGCCTATCATTCTCAGCAATCAAGACACTGGTAAAACACGCAACAGATATGAACATGATAGAAGCTCAAGTGGAGACCATAATCGGCACTATCTACCCAATCCACTCAATTGGAAAACCACTGTGACCCGATCTCAACAACCATCCTCGCGAACGTTCACCGACCCTAGCGATCTCGTAGTAGCCGACATCTAGGGTCCACATGAGCCAATTGGCTGAGACGGGACCGTGTCGTCTTTTTTCTCACCGATGGGTTCACCGATATACCTGTATGGTGAGACTACATAGAAGCTACCAGTTCGCGCGAGCCCTGTTCACCGCATACAGACGAATACAGCGAGCCGACAAAATTTTCAATCAAATTTACTGCCTTGACAACCTCTTGAATATACCCAAAGCAATGACATGAGTAGAAATGCAGGGAAACAGGGTAAAGTTTGCAGCTACATGTTCGGCACACAAAGTCAGATCACAAGAGCGCGGTCACTACTCAATGAGAGATGGGGCTGCAACTATGTGGCAAGAGACTCTTACGACAAAAGAAGGTAACTTAGACTGGTTGGTAAATCTTGCTGACGTCAAATTTGCGAACTCGAATATTCCCCAAATACTCTGGCCCGAGCCTGCAGCACACAACCTGGTCGAAAACTCTACCTGGTCTTATCACGGCATGAGTGCGAGGTACGGAACGCCGCCAAATCTCTCGAACGAGCAAGTATAGTCAGTCCAGCATACCAGATCATCCCTGGGGAACAGCGCAAGAGACCGAAACCCCAAACGCTGAGGTGAGATTGGGTACTTTGTTGGTCAAAAAAGCTATTTCGGTCGGAGAATCTACAATTCAAACATGATAAAAGTCACTAGATCCACGACTGCCATGATCGACGAAAGAGGTAATGATGACGCATTAGATGGCGAAACAATAGAGCCTATCAATCAGGAGGGAGAGGTAGATCCGGAACTGCACGTTTTGTCAGATGACAATCCCAGTATCGATACTGGCACAAAACCTGAGGTCGAAACTGAAGCCCTTAGACACATAGCCCCTTTCCAGATGATGCTAATAGCTACTATGACAACAGATGCAACATTTCTGGAGAAGAGATGAACGAAATATCAATGTTCTTCCATTTCAATCGCTGCAACTGTGGCAATGAGTGCACTACAACACTGTTAGAGGTCCTGTTCGACGAATAATCGAACCAAAGCTTCAAGTCCGAATGTGCCATGGACTTATTTCGCTCTGGGCGACGATGGATGACGCAAACGAAAGAAATCGGATGTGCATTTAGAAACTCATCTAACTAGCTACGGAACTACAGGATCTTTGTCCAACGCCGTCCTCGACATTGGTACTGAACTAGGCTGCCAACTATCGGAAATGCCGGGACTTCTTGTCTTACATCTAAACGTCTGGACTCCTTAAGAACAACTACCACAGTCTGTTTAACACTAAGGAATGCTCCCAAGCAAAATCACAGAGGATTACCTTGCTAATCTTAACGCCGAATCCTAATATTGATCAGAAGTTAGACTTCAGACAACTCATGTCCATGTTTTTCAAACCAGACGTTGTTCCTGACGAACTCCCCTATGGAAATGTTGAATATTATACCAAATTCACGGGATGTCAACAATGAAGTAGCCGACTCAAATATCAACGACTTTCACCCCGGAACGTACCACACCGACAGCGAAAAAGCTGTGAGAATGCATATCGAGAAAGTGATAACAGTCGCCGAAACTGCCTGAGGCGAAGACAATTGTGTGACCGTGACGACCCGACTTCCAATACAAACATTCCATGCAAGTCTTGCGACATTCAGAGCGTAATTTGCCGACCCAGCACTGAACAAGATATCTTACATAATGATACCAAGAAAGAACACAAGAATTCTCTCAGAACTGTGAGCTGTGCTCGGAAACCTTCACAAAAGAAAGTCTCAGTCCGGATGAGCCAAAGTCATCAGAGAAAACGTCGCAATCACCGCTAGGAAGTCGCAATCAGAAAAGGGTCATTCAAAGGCAGATCTGGGCGAACTGCAAAGCTTAGAAACTCTCGAATTTTGTAACGGAGAAGGCTGCTGCAAAAAATACAAACAATTCTACAATCCCAGCAAGTGCACACAACAAGAAGTCAACATCGAAAAAATGCGAAGGCTGTAAACATAACGGGGCCAATCTAATCGGCAACAACGACATCAAAGCTAGCGAGAATCCCGTCGCTCAAAGACTTGACGGTTGCAGGTATCTCATCCTTAACAACCGAAAGAAGATAACTGTGTATAAGACACGCACACCATCCAAAGTTGAAACAGACAACGATTGGGTCAATGCGGAAATTTGTTACAGATGCTTAGAACAGGAATAACTACATGTCAGAACGAATACGAATGCCACGGGCGCCCATGCCAATGATGCAAGGGAGACAGCACTTTTCGAAGAAAAGCGGAAGGCTAAACCAAAAAAACCCAAGTCCACCCTGAGAATGAGCAAGGAACAAGTCGACCCTGTCGGGTTTAGATAACATCACATTACGGGTACCATATTGTCAATTGTTGAGAAAAGAAGTGACAATAATATTTCAACGAATAACCATGGGGTGTGAATGATTAATAGCTACTTATAGTAGAAACCATCTCACAGATCTCATAACATTGAATCATTCGGCTAAAAGGAACTTTAACACAACTCAAGTGACATCACAACCTTCTCGGACTTGAATGAGAACCAGAACGCACCAGGAACACTCCCATAAAAAATGCACAAGCAGACATCCGGCCAACCCTAGCATTTCAATATTACACGTGACCTTAACTGAGCCCCTCTCCCTCGCACCTACAAGGAATCCATGAACGGACCTGAACAAAAATGGTAGAAATCAGCACTTGAATCGGAAATCGAGAGCTTCGTCCGAGCAGATGCTTGGAAACCGGTTCTTATGACAGCAAAACCAGCAACTCTGCGCTTTCCTCATTTTCGAGAGATGGCAAGTCTTAAGCTATGATTCATGCCTGCTCTTCGAACCAGGCGTGGCAATCTTGGCCACCTACATGGATGACCTGCTCATGACGACGAACGATCCCAAGATTTTGGAAGGAACGAAAGAATCTCTGAATGAAGAGTTCGAAATAACGGACCTGAGACCGTGCACGGAACAGCCTAAGATGCAGGTATTGCGATTCCCTGGCAAGATACATCTACACCATGCTGGGGGCATTCAACACATTGTGCAGAAATCTTGGCATTGGAGTTTCTGCGAGCCGTTGGGGCTGGGCATTTGGTGCGCCGGTCAATACTAAAACCCGGAACAAATGTACAAGATTGCTGAAGTATTGTCAAGACAACAAGAAAATGGTTTCAGGGCGACTACAATAGCGACAGTGGAATTTTGTACATGCATATGGTGGTTTGGTAATGTATTGTTGTGATCTGTGTTGGAGATGAGGGCATGTCATATGCAGTACGTTTCTACAGAAGCTCTGATAGGACCGCAACAAAGCTGGTCGTGCCGGCTAGTCCTTCACGACCTTGAGCCCGTAAGCGAGACGACGCCCGTTAGTATGAATGCGATTCTTCTTATCTTGAGCACGGCATAGGTCAGCTGCCAGATCGTTTCAAAATATATCTGTGGGTTATTGATGTGCATGCAAAACTAATTTTCAGATACTCTAATTGTGCGACGTGTTGCTGACCAACGATGGGGTAGGTGAGATGATGTTGCCAGGCGACGCCAACGCCGGATCATCGCCGAAATCTCACCAACGAAATCACAAAGACGCTCTGTCAAGTATTCACACTATCTTCAACTCAATCCTCCCGTAACGGATGGAGGTAGGCATTTTTGCTTTTGGAGATGTCTTTACGCCTTTGTCCTCGCTCTTATCGTCGTTCTTGGCGTTACAACCTGCTACGCCACGAAGGGCCGAGGCAGGACATTATGCGCTGCCTTGAACACTGCGCCAAGCCATGCCAGCTCAGATTCTTCAATGTTCGCAGGCATGATTCATGCCCCATATTTGGAATGGAGGTATTCCAGGCATTTTTTCATCTCACAATACTAAAACCTAGCACTTGCTGTCTTATCAAGCCTGCCTTCCAGCGCATTACGCACGATTCCGTTTTCACGTGTTATTGTTCTCAATCTCAACCCGCATCGACGTCCTAACCTATCCCGTATTGATGTCCTAGCCTGTCCCACATAGTTCCCAGCCATGCATCATCACGCACCTGGAGCCTTCGTCCTCCTCTTACGCCTCTCCATCTCCCTCGCGCGTCCCCTCTCTACCGCTCGATCTGTATATCTCTTCCACACTGTCCCTCCCTCCTTGCGCTCATCCCCCCTACTCTTGTCAATTTTGCCGTCCCCACAGAACACAAAGCACCATACCAAACCGGCACACACCATCCCCGCGCCAGCAACACAAAGCGATAGCTTCGCCCAAGTCGACAACTGCCCCCGCGGATTCGCTAGCGCGGTCGATATAAGCAGGCAGAGCGAGGTTGTGAGGCCGATGATCGAGATAAGGAATGCAAGGGGGGATTTTGTAAGGAGAGACGCGAGAAAAGACAGAATGAGCCGAGCTGCGGGTGGCGGGCGTGGTGGCATCGTTTAGTGTGTGGCCGGGAAGGAGGCGAATCTGGATGAAAATGTCAGTGCCTGGCATGCAGGAAGGTGCTCGATGGGATGCACATGGGTGCGGTGAACGGACAGACGTTGAGTGGGCGTACGAGATTGCGGAAGTCGAGATTATAGGGGTTCGAGTGGCAGAATCTTTGAGATGCTTTGTGTGGATTACACGGCGTGGTGGCGTATGCGAAATTCAAAGTGGAATGGCAGTCAGCCGAAGTCAACACGCTCTTGAAAGCATGAGGTTGAGGAGCTAAGGAAATGCGTGTTGGGGCTGGCCGGGCGCAAGGTTGATGCGTCTTGTGTAACATACCCGATTACAAAACAGGATTAGTGCGGCAATGCGGTTCGAGACACGGTCATGCCAAAGATGGCCAAACAACAAGAGCGGGAGATGGGGCATGATATACCTGTGATTGACACAGAGAGGGGGTCTGAACAGCCACTCATTTGCATTCCGTCAGTACCGAAACTCGCTTTTCCCATCCCCGTTCGTAACACGCCTGCTCCCTCGCTTCAACTCGGGCTTCGTAAATGCACTGGTGAGGACTTCGGTGGTTGTATGTTGTGTCACGGCCCTGGACATAGTAGGAGATTTTGCGAAGGTGGGAGCGGGTCGAGTGAGGTGGGTTACGATTGTCAGTTTCTGAATGTAAAGTTTTCCTGATACGTCTGGCTGGTCGTCCAATGTCGGTCTTGTACGCCCATCATTATGCTTGAGTCGCTGAATACAACAACTGAACTGCACTCGAACGACCTGCAGCACTCATTAAACATGACCCAGTCTCAGGATGCATTACGAATCTTGGTACACAAACGACCAGCAGAAGGTCACGCAACACTACTGGGCCTGAAGCATTGTGGCCTCGGGCTATCCGTGGAGCCATCAGTAAGAAAACCATGACCCAACATTGGAAGCCCTTCACAGCACCAAGCTCAATCTCGCCAAAAACCACATCTGGGGAAACATGGTCTACGTCGATAAACCACCAGAATAAAGCCGCAGAACAGTATCTCATTGTGACCCAATCAAGGGCAAGACATAAACCACAGCTGACATCGCTTTATTATCACATGTCGGTACATATTCTGCGAACTGCATAGACAAGTAAATTATAGCTACCCGAACATGAATTACCCAGTACAATTCGTGGCGCGGCTAAATACATCATCATAGCCGGATACAAAACCCGCATCAGTACTCACTCCTCACTATCGCTAGATGCATTGCCTTCAAAGCCTGGGAACCTCTTCCAGCCTTCTTCGTCATCCGTCTCATCTTCATCATTGCTTTCGCCTCGTCCCTCCACGCCCTCCAATCTCTCTACAAGTAGCCAAAGCAACTCATGCATGACCCGATCCAGCCCACTCGTCCTCGCCAACTCCACAATGCCTGCTTCCCGCAGATATCGAAACACATCCCTCGAAATGCCTGACAATTCCCTCCCCTTTGAGCATCCATACATACTCGTCAGACAGTCGTTGAATAGAAGCAACGCAAGCGTGCCCAGGGACGTGTTCTGCGCAATATACGCGTACTTCGACCCATGGTCAACGTATTCTTTGCTCTGTTTAAGCCAGGCTGCTTTCCGGGCGTTATCACCATCTTGCTGCGTAGAATCACCTTCAAGAACAGCCATGTACTTGTCCCACAACAACATTCCCACATGTTTGTCTACACTTGACATGCGCTCCTGCGACGCAGCAACCCAGTCTGTAATGCTGGGATACCGCACAATATAGATGAATAGGCATAGTAGCACGCGAACAAGACCTGACTGCTCGTCTCGGGCATGGGTGATGCCAATTAAGCGCATGATTGCGTTGACGTAGGTCGAGTTTGCTAGCTCAGCAGACTCTTTGCTGGAGCTTGAGCTTGTGCGAAGTATAAGGTGTTGATTAGCAAAGAGCGTGGAGAGCGTAGGCTCTTTGATCAGGGTGGTGGTAAAAGAGCCAAGTTTAGACATTAAGGGCGCTTTGAGCTTGAGCATTTTTTTCCAAAAGAATTCTGTTTGTGGGGCTTTTCGTGGCTTGCGTTGACGAGTAGTAGAAGTTGGTGATCGGTAGGGGATTACACTTGAGGGGTCCCAGGCGGTAAGCATTTCTTTGAGGGCTCTGATCGTGGCTCCGTGGTTGCGGAGGCTGAGGTCGAGATCGCTGTCGCGGCTAAGGGCGGCCACTTCAGTTATGGTCTGAGACGATTAGCTCTGCAAAAACAAATGAAATTGGGACTTACCTCCGGTGTACACTGCATTATTATCTCGTGCAGCGTGCGGAGTATCCGCATAGGTTCCCGCGCATCCGGACTTTCATCATTGGCGACTATTGATGAGCCGTCATGAGAGATCTCGGTGATGTGATGGTCCAGAGGACTGGCACTTGTAGCCGGCAGACGCGACGGAGAAGAGGTATGTACGAATTCATTCACTTCCGAGCCGTCATCGCCACTGTCTGTGGAGGACTCAGATGAGCTCCCACTGGATACTTCATCGACATCATCATCTTTTGTCTTGGCGTATTGGAGAGCCGACAACGTCTTGAGGGCAGGACTTGAAGCCTCGGAAGTGCCATCGTCACTGTCATTGTTGTAATTCAGTGGACCTGAAGACATCTGTACATCGTTGTCATCCGGCCTCCTTGTGTGATCCGTCTGGCTTTTGGCTTGATCTTGAAACAGGTGTCTACGAATTGCTCCGGTCAGCGTGGGCTTGTTGACGGCTCCCACGTGACTAGTTCGACATGTCGTTGGTGGAGTCATCAACATAGGCTGTCTCGGATTCGGAGTAGTCTGACGGTATTTCTGTGTAGCGTTCGGTTCGTGGTTTTGCGTGGTAGGAATGATTTCTGGTTGTTGTCCTGGAGCAGCTCTTTTGCTCTGTCGCCTTTCAGACTGAAGGTCGTCTTCGAAGTCGCGTTTTCGGGCATTGACCGCCTCGAAAGACAGAGCATTTGTTGGACGGGAGTCAACCATACTTGCAAGAGAGGGTGCACCGATTTCAGGTACTTCAGCAGGCTACAGTTATCAGCATTTTGTTCAAAAAGGTGGGCTACGGATATGACGTGCAACCGAAACAACACTGAAGAATGTACACACTGATCCTAGAGAATCTTGACGATTAGAGGATGAGTTGACGTTGAGCACATCTTCCTGCTGTACTTGCAAGTGCGGTTCCCGTTCATTCTCTGTGTGGGGCATCTTGCTAGGGTTTTCTTTTCCGCCATGGTCGAGTTCGTAGCGGCGGATATAATCCTTCACCGCATGGAGCTCACGAGCTACTTCGTGCACCCGTAGATTTGCCGCATCCGTTGCCTGATGTGCTCTTGTAAGGTCTTCGTTGCACTCTGCAATAACCCGATCCCTATCGACCAGTTCAACGTAGTATCGACGAGCGTCCTGCTGATATTTGTCGTAGTAGTACCTGTTGAGTTGTTCATGCAGAGTCCTGTCTTTCGAGTATTCAAGTTCCTGAGTGAGTGCAGGTCGGGTACCGGATTCGCTGTGTTGTTGTTAGTGTCGAAAAGCACATACATGGGGGGCGTAACTTATCTGGGCACAGATGCTGTGAGGATGCACCGAAGACGGCCGGTGTTCCGTTTGCACTGGTAAATTTGGATAGCTGAATTTCTTATGATGGTTCGAGATTAGTGAGTTCTCATTCCATTTTCAAGACAAGTCACACTTACCGGCGAGGCCCTGCTAAAGGTAGATGCAGACATGTGACGATGCCCGTGGGTCGGTATGCTGGTAGCTGTTCGGTTGGCGTAGACAAAAGCTCCACGGATGTTTCCATTGCCAGCCAGATAAGGATTGGAATTGAGATCCGGCTGATCTGGTGCAGCTTCATACGGGTTCGGAGGCAAGACACGCGGTTGGGGTGAGCGTCTAACAACACCAACCTCTCCAACATCCTTCGAAAGTGCAGAGTGACCTCGATATGGCTCTTCTCCCCTACTTTCCCTCAGGTCGAACGGCTCTCGACCTGGGCGCGCACCAGCCCACTCATCGTACCCGCCATCGTCGAATGTTGATACACTTGCGCGGCTGACCCCACCTCCACGCTTACGCTGAACACATCGCCCCCCTAACCGGTAGAAGCTATCGGAAAACTCCGAAGCTGGAGATGGCAGCTCGACATACGGCATGCAGTGGTCGGGTCGCCGATAGCTCCCTCTTTCCGAGGTCTTCGACACTGGGGGTCGGATGGGATGAGGCTGATATCCGGAGTCGTCGAAGGAATCTGTCGATTGCGCCATGTTTAGGCCGTATGGACAGGTCGTGGGTGGTATTAAAAGTCAACGAATCAACACACGCAGCACACAGCCCGAGAACGAAGAAAGACAGGAAAAGACAGAATGGAGACAGCGAGAAGCCACCAAGCTGAGAATCTCAGCTTCGCATTGATCGTCCAGAACCGGAAAAGAAATTCAAACAAGAACAACAACACACTTATTGTCGGTCAGTGCGAACGTGTACGAGACGAGACATCGAGCAAGGTTTCGCTTGTCTTGTCTTCCGATGCGGCGCATCAGATGTCTCAACACTGAACGCCCCGCCACGAAACACGAAGCACAGAAATTGCCACTCACATCCATGGCACAAACATTTTCCCGATCTGTCTGTTATGCTGAGATGCATGCTGTAAAGACTGGAGAGCACATCTAGAATGCTCTTCAAAGATAGCGAGATGCAAGGAAATCCAACAAGAACTATGAGGCACAATTGTAAGCTCAGCCGTAAGCTCAAGTTGGCCTGTATTTTGATATACGATCGTGACTCGAATTGACAAGTTTGTGCTGTAGGGTCCAGTCTGTTTAATTGAACCAGTGACGTCTAAAGGCCTCGTTCGCCTGCAGCAGGCTTGTGGTGTGGGGTGGTTCTAGAGTTTCGGGATTCGTGAAGCCTCAAAATTCAATTTCAAGTTAGTTCGTCATGTGCATCGCTAGCGCCGTGAGTTCCCAGGATGCCATGTAAACATGTCGACCAATCAAGTTCCCTGCACAACCGAACACGAGTCATTTCTGCGTTGCATCACCACTTTGGCGTCGCATCACCATAGGGAGCTGCGCAGGAAGCCGGGGTGGAAAGCTGTGCAACGACCGATTATGTCGCGCAAACAAGCAATTGCTCTACGTTCTGTTTCTTCAGATGACGATGTGCGCAAACGAGGGCTATCAGATCATTCTTTGGCTCGTTCTTTTCTTCCTTCCCCTCCACCCTATCCGCCACTCTTCACGAGCCCAGACCGGCTTTCTCGCCCGCTGCTACATCCAAGTTGAGAGGCTTCAAGCGCAACATTACATCGTTTGTCTCATGCACAAAGACACCTCTAGGTGAGAATTCATCGTAGGACTGGGTGATTTCAGCCTGCACCAGTCGAATACGAATGTGCCTTTGGCCCAGCCCTTTGCCAGGTCGGCATCTGTGGCCCCATGGAAGTTGAGATCAATAGCCGGTCAATTGAAATTGTACTGCACCGATGAGCATTCATTCACTCTTCATCTGTCTACAGTTCAAGGACGTGCATAGTAACCGAAACTTCGACTCCTCAACCACGGCTTGGCTGTTGATTAGGTTGACTTCCCGGGGGATGTTTGTAACTGGGGTATGCATATCAACATTGTGGAGGAAATGATTGGTCTGATCAAGCGTGTGTTCGAAGACACGTGAACGAGCTGTCGGAGATCTCAATACGCGTGATGAAACCTTGACAGAATTCAATCCTTGTTTCAGGATCATATTTGTAGACCAGGTTCAGCCCGCCAGCTTGAGCTAAATGATGATTTTGGCTAGGAAGGGGTCTGCAATGTGGAGGTGTAAAGGTGTCATTTCTTTACCGGACCGAAGCTCGTGTAGTTTGTAGCTAGCCCCTGTCTGTCCCGATCTTCCGATGCATTCAACTCGGTGGACTCGACCGACCTAGCATGAACTACGTAATCTACACGTGCTATCTGCCCATAACTACACATAAGAAGACGCGGTTAGCGTGACCGCTCCTGCCATTACACAAGTCTTGACCTTTGACTTCGAAAAGCCCGTAACGTGCTCGGGTTGACAAGAATCCCCAATTAGGCTGATACTCTCTTCTGGTATTTAAGGTAGCTGTTTTGGCCCTAGCGTTTTTGAACCCCAACAGCTTACCTGAGATAACATCAGACACAAAGACCTTGGTGTGGTCAAGTTTACAGAGAACCGTGACGCCAAACACTACAAGCACAGCAAATACTGGAATCTTGATACAACTGCAACTCTAGCCTATCTTCTAGCAATTACCCCCACAACGTAGATAGCACTTCCGCCTCCGTTAAAGGCAACGCTGCTGACTTTAAAGAAGCTTGTCTGCCTGATGAAGACTCTAAACTACCTCAAGCTGCCAAAGCCTGGTGAATATACCTCCAGCCCGGTCGCACGCACACCATAGTTGAATCTACAACTATATTGTCTGACTAAAGTCTGTCTCACCAAAGCTTTCTTCCAACTACTGCACCCGCCTTTCTTTTTGACAATCATCGTAGACAACACTTGAGCCAGGAACCCGTATAGTCACGTTGCCCGATGATAATACCATTTCACACGTCACTACCAAGATGAAGTCTACTCATCAACCACCATTTAACCCCACAGCCGAATTTGAACCCTACCGACCCTATGCCAACTGCCCCCTTCCTGCACCCCATACCTCTATCTCACCGAAGCCACCCAAACCACCCGCTCTTTGCCTCCACCCCATTCGATGCAGTGTCTCTCTCTCCAGCCTCATCCTGATCCTCTCCAGCCTGCCCACCACCCAGCACCTGACCCATCCGAAACAGCACGTCATCCACAACCCCCATCCTCTCCATTAAGTGTCCCACCACCTTCAGCAGCACATCGAGTTTATCTCCGGACCTCACTCTCCCATCTCCTCCGGTATCAGCCCTCAGCACACTATCTAACACGCGTCGCATCTCCACTGCTTCCCCGGCAAGACGGCGGTGCGGCATGTCGAGCGAAATAGGGGCGAGGAGCTCGTCAGAGAGCGGGTTGTAGGACTGGAGTTTCAGGGCGAAGCGGAGTTCGGGGGTGGTTCTCGATCGGGTATGAGCCAGAGGCGGGATGGAGGGGTATGTTGGCATGTGCATAGTCGTTAATGGCGGCGGCGGGTAGTATGTTGAGTTGAAGTTATCAGGATGGCGAGAGGTGTATGGAATCTGGTTGACAGACGTGGAATGGGGTATGTAGTTGACTTCATGCTCGTCCTCGACTGTTGCGTGTCTATCGGTGGGGTAACGGCCGGGCATTGTGGAGTGGTTGTGGTCGCGAAGGGCGGAGCGGCGGTAATGGTCCATCGTAGTGTGCTGGTGAATGCATAATTAGTTCTGTCGTGCAATCGGCGTTGAATGCATACTGTTGATGTCCCGGTTTGGGTGGATGACAATGTCGTGATGCAATCCGCTCAAGATGGTATTCAATAGCAAGTTAAGAGAGCTGGTGCGTCTGTAAAGTTTGCGCTTGAGTGCATGGATTCCTAATGCACACCGTAAAAAGGGGGTCGCCTTTGCTCAGTTTTCTCGGTCTGCACTGGTGTAAGTGGTCAGCTCGATCCCCAACCCTCTAGTCAACACTCACATGGCTAGAGCGTCGCAAATACCCTCCAATACGATAATCTGCTTGCAAAACCTGCAGAACAAGCTGATGCCTTCGCTCGATCAACTTGTTCTAAGCTATCACTTCGTCATTGACCGCTCTCATCTGAAACCACCTCGACAGTCTAGAAACTCACATCTGACGAATTTTCGTTTTTTAACCAAGCCTCAGTGTCAGGCCCGCACACAGAACAATGAAACGTGACGACGATGCGCAAAGATAGACTCTACAGACCACGTATCCCAAGATACCCGCAGCAAACAGTATACAACGCATCAATCAGCCCAGTATACCCCTATATCACCCTCACCGTCACTGACTTCCTTTGTGTGCGGGTAGCTGCGACACATGCACGGAGCCAGAAGCCCAGTTCCATGCGCATGGTTTGGAAAGTTTTTTGTTTGCTTGCTTCCGTACATGCGCCGGTCTCACGTATAGATCTGAACGGACGTATGTACCCGTGCGCTGACTCGCGTGAGGTCTCATTCATGCGTTGGAGGCTGGGCGGGAAATGTCCGGCCTGAATGCATGTGGAACCAAATTCATTGAATTACCGCTTTTTGCACACACTAGTATCCTCCTTCTGAGTCTGTCTTCTGCTGCAATACATCCCTTCCTTCGTCAGGATACAAACAATCTCCTTCCCTTTATTGAGCCTCCCAGCCGAGCTGGAACAGTCCAACCCCAAATTTTGTAGAAAACTGTCTTCCCTTTTCACGCTTCATCCAAACACATCCACCATCTTCCTCAAAGGACCCTCGTTACTGGCCGAAGACACAACTCCATCCGTCCAGCCGACTTACCGGAACTTTCGAGAGCGATAAATCCATCACGAGCTCTTCTTTTGTCTCTAATTATCTATCGATCCACCGCACTGGCAAAGCCAGTTTGTCCTTTACAAAACGAACTCTCTAAACAAACCATCTTTGCCGGCGAATACCACAACCTCCCTTTCATCAATCGATTCAACCCCACAACATACTAGAACCTGCGGAACCAATACCTTGTCCACGCTCGGCTTTCCTTTCACAGTCCGTTCAGCTCAAACTAAACAACACAATAACCTTCTCTATCGATCCAATCTCTTTCTCGGACCACCAAAATGACCCCCTCCTCCCCCCCACCAACTTCCACGTCCAAAGCCAACCTCCACTGCGCAACCTGCTCTCGCAAATACACGATCCTCCAACACTTCGCCACGCACCTGGCGCGGAACAATCACAAGCCTGTTCCCGCATCGGTGGGGGAGCGTTTGCTGAACTTGCACTACCAGACGCTTGAGGAGGGAAAAGGCGGAGACGAGACGGGCTGGTGGATGGATGCGCTGAGTATGTGGAAGGATGCGCTGAGTATGGGGATGGATGCGCTGAGTATGGGGATGGATGTGCTGAGTATGGGGATGGATGTGCTGAGTATGGGGATGGATGTGCTGAGGATGGGGATGCCGAAGGTATGGACGGGCGTACTTGGTATATGGGAGGTGGTGTGTCATATAATGCGTACTCGCGAGGGCGGCGTGAACTGGTGGGTTGTTGGGCTTGTGCTAGTCTTGATGTTTCCGTGGGTCTTGAAGGGGTGGTGTTGGGCTTTCTGTATGCAAATCAGCGATAGATAGATTGCTACATACATATACGTCTACTCTGATCTCGTTAGGCAGCACGCAACTTCGCAAGCGCCTCTTCAGTCAACTTTGTCTGCACATCCATCTTCAGCACTTCCCTATCCCAGTCCTCCACCGTATCCAGGCCCTCTTCTTGAAGCACGCGCTCAATGCCGCTCCGCACACCCTCTACACCCCCCTCAGCAACAAGCTCCTCCCCTTCCCACGCCCCAATCACCTTTTCAACCGTCCCCTTCCCCAGCCCTTTATTCCCAACCCACAATGCCTCGCCCGCACGCTCTAAACCCTCCAGATTCTCCTTCGCCAGCATCTGCGCAGCAAATACATCGCGCGTCCTAACAGCGACAGCAAATTGCTGTGTCAGCGCGTCAATGCGGACCTGGTGGTACTGTGCTGCTTGTAGGAGGGGCCGGGTGAGGTCGGATGTCGCGAGGGCGTGGGCTTTGGCGGCGGCGAGGTCGTGGGTGGCGGTTGTGAGAGCGGCAAGGGTGGAGTCTACGGTCAAGGTTAGGCCGGCAAGGATCGAGGCGGAATCGGGGGGAGGTGGGGACAGGAAGAGCGACATGGGCCAGGACCAGGGCGACATAGTGGTTGAATCGCTGTTTGTGTGTGTGTAGTGGAAATTGCTTGTGCGTGTGTTTGTGGTTGAATTTGCTCATGTGTTCTGGAATGTGGGCGTGTGTTGTGGCACTTTAGCATGCTGGCTTTTATACCGAACGGCACGGCGCGCCAGGTGAATAGACGTAAGGCATTCACATTCCCTTGAGTGAAAATCGGCCAATCTGTCAACCTATCGCCTCGAATCTAGTCAACCCAGTTTAACTCATCTCGACCATGGTATTCGAAGCCTACATCGGCTGGCGCCCAGACAACGCGTCACAACGTGCCAAGCAACCCCAGGCTGAGCTGACGCGCCAGCAACGCGCGGCTGCAGTGTGGCCACCATATGATCAGAGGGCGAACGAGGAGCGCGGTGTATCGTGGGGCACCATGCTGTGCATTGTGCTGTGTGGCATTGTGCTGGGCATTGTGCTGGGCATTGTGCTGGGTGGCCATGTGCTGGGCACATATGCGGAAAGGGCGGGCGTGATAGACGAAGCAGCAGTGGACTGGGTGCGCGAGTGGCTTGTCGGCTTATGGACGTGAGAGAAGGTACCTCGAATCACGTAGTTGAAATCTTGGATCGAGGCAACATTCTACCTGACACACCATCTCCAACACACGGACTGATCGTGCAGCCAAGACATTGCTGACATAACGCCGGCATTTTCACAGTGAACGAATCACTACACAAAACCTTTAGCTTGATGGGGGACAGATCGAGATGCACGAAGAGGGGGTATGGGGGAAAATGCGCGGTTGACTGCTTTGCTGATACACATGATGATTATAGTCGTAGCTGCCCTCAAACTCAAAACCTAGTAGTTAATGCTCCCAAAGCGTTGTTCAAACCCGGACGTGAAGAAAAATGTGATAAAACTAACTTACTTAGGGTTTTCTGTGAAGTCTTTGTACCTCGACGAGCCGGTCGAGTTCCCAGATCAGCGCCATCGATTTTGTCGGTACTCTCATCTCATACCACCAGGTCCCAGCAAATATCTAAGGAAATATGTCAGATGTGGAAGACACAGTTTTCTAATCGTTTGGTTGCTTGCCTACTTACTGGCGGGCTAGAAATTCGGAACGTCTACTTTGAAACAGGATATTCTCGGAACCGATTAAACTATGTGACAAGCCTTCACAGATAGGGATGTGCCCGCATTAACGCACAAAGCTAGAAGGCTGAGAAACTGTAGTCCTGCGTCTTTGACATTCTCGGTCATCTCGCGCGTCAAGTCCTCGGGGTGCTTTTCCTTCCACCTTTGCTCGAACTCGACCATAAAGATAATGCCGTGATCGTGCATGCTGTAGCTCCCAGGCTGGCCGTGGAAGATCTCGCGGCCGCTCTTAGTGCGTTCATGGTGGTGGCCGCTGGGCTGCTTGTTGCGGAAGCTGATGCCCATTGACACGTTCTGCTGTTCGAAGGGCGAGGGCGTGGGATCCTGCAAGTCTACGGCATCCGGCTTCTAAGGTAATATCATCACATCATCCTGCTCATCAAGTGACCAATCAATCATTTTGTAAGGATAATAGTCTACCGAACGTTTTGCAAACAATCACCGGACGTGGAAACACGGTAATCCTCATGCTCGATTATCTTTATGAGCAAGCATTTTGGCCGCATCAGCGCACAACATAGAACGCCGATACATCATTGAAGCAGCTCTTCGTATTCTGGACTGACTGGTTAGACTTGAGAATTGTGGTGGCGAGAAGTTCTAGCAGTCCCAGATAGTTGGTCTCATGCATGAAGCAGTGCCTTCCGCAATTGCCCGTATACGCCGAGCAGTACAGATGTTCACGGAATTGAAGCCAACGTGGATCATGCCGGGAAACAGCCTGCCACTACTTTGTTCAAAAACCGCATGGATGAATTTCGTCATACAATCATTGCCCTCGCCGCTCGTTCTAAAGATTAGCCCTGCTCTTTTCTTGAAAACTACATGTGTATCACGTTTCCGAGAGCTTAGTGGATATTGTGACCAACCTTTGAAATCTTCGAAGATGACTGGCAGGCTTGTGATGATGGTTAGACAACATGCAATGCTATCTCGAAGGTTGCCGACAATGAGATTGCCCGGGACGAGAGGAACGCCCTGAATATGGTAAATGTAGTAAGTACGGTACTTGCGGTAAACGCTGTGGCTGACGCAGGAAGCTCTCCAGGAAAGAAAACATGAAGTGCATTGGAATATCGCGAACAGCAATAACACAAGAGAATTGAACCACCGATATGGCCTCAATACATCAGTATAGCATTGCATTGGACGGTAACAGATATGCAGTGAGTGGCTTGCTTTTACTTACCTTCGTTTTCCACGACGAGTCAACTCCAACTTCAGTCATGGAGGCCAGAACTTGCGAGACTTCTTCTCATTGATCAGCTGGGTTACTCCTGACAATCTCTTTGCAACGCTGCGACCTGAAAGCCGTAATTCCATCTGTCACAAACTCGCAAACGACTTACGCCCTCAAAGTATGAAAACCACCGACTGTCGTAAATATGGTCAAGTCCCAATGCGCTCAATATCTCATTCACTTGACAAAATCGTCTAGAAAACAGCACTACATGCGTATTCAACCCACCCTCATCCTCAACTCGATCCGATTTGCACAACTGAAATCTCCGGAGACTCCCTGGCATGCCGGCCCTTTGGGGCGAGGCTTGCATCTTGGGTCCCTCCCTTTCTCCCACAATTCGTTGCCACGGCCTTCCTGTTCTGCTTGGAGGTAGTTGAAAATATACATGATTTTCGAAAACTCATGTCTCTCTCGTCTTCCAAACATTGATGATAGTCGTTTCAAAGGCGCTGATCTAGTCTATCTTTCCCATCGCTATCGGTTACAAGTCCCTTCTTGACCGATGTTTTGTGAATCTATTAACCTAGCCAAGAGTAGAGTAATAATGTACGAATGTACTATTTGAGCCGGATGTAAGATATCTTTTGTATGATGGAGCTTGTTACTGGGAGGGTCTATAGCGCAGATCGCAAGATTGCAAACGTGTGCAGCAAGGTCCGGGTTGTACGTGTGAAAACAGTAACGAGTAAGATGCGACTGCGTTGGAGCAACCATTCTGGGACCTTTCATTGCTTGAAGAACTTATATCCGGGGTTTTTTGGTTGCTCAGTACTGAAGAAGATTTTTCTGGACTTCCAAGGCGTGATCCGCCTGTTTTTACATCGTGTGCAATGGGTCGGAGAAACCTCCGGCACAATGAGGCACTGCGGACTGCTCCGCCCCACCGACCCACCTCGGTATCCGGCCCGAGCCGGAACTTGTAGCGGGCTGCGATAGGTCTGGTGATTGGTAAAATATCGTTGTGTAAGCTCGGAAATCGATAGCCTCGCTAGTGGGTCAATGGTTTCCTGCTCCGCCAAAACATCAAGCGCTATAAACTAGTACGACTATTCCGATTTGTGAGATATGGTGCCGCCGGATCATGCCAAGAATGCTTAACGACTGAACCGATGTGATGGTTTAGCCAGAGAAATTACGTCAAACAATTACAGTGACACTCCCTCGGTTGTCTTCCGTGCCACCGCGATGGCTGGATTCATGGTCGTTCATCACCAGCCACATGTTTGGCCTGCAGAATCGTGGATGAGTATTTTATCTACTATCAGAAAGAACATGTGTTCTGAACTCTCGGACAGGTGATATCCAGACGATGTATGAGAGCTAGGGAACTCTCACCATTGATCAGTTGCTCTTGTTGATATCATCGTCACTTCGGACTCCAATTCCCGCTGCATATATACAACCATGATTGCGAGATGTATTCTGATGTAGTAGATGATCATGTCAGAGTTACTGTGGAGGGTGGTGTTCTCAATCTATCTTCTTTCCGCGTTGCATGGGATGATTGTTGAATTTGTAAAACTCCCGAACTATGTGGAGTCGGAGAAAATTCAATGGGTATTGGAGGCTCCTGAGCTATTCAGTGTAGAGCGTGGCAATCTATAGACTTCAGAGGCAGCTGCATTACCTTTACTCCATCCTTCCCTCATCTTACACTGAACATGGAAGCCCCAAACTTCTACCCAAATCGAGTTCCTACTAGAATAGTAATATCTACAAGTCACTACGCTCCAGGCCAGTGGATGTGTACAGACTCGACCTCTCCACCAACAAAAACATCCCTATCTGGGGCGCAGCAAAACGTCTTCCAAAGGTCTAAAGGAATGAGTTTCCGGCCGTCTGAAACGTATGGGATGATTCGTCCCCAATCCTCGCAGATACAAGATACCGAGCATGCCCTATGAGTTTCAGCCAAGCGCTGTTGGCTTTGCTCTGTGCGTTCGTGATGCCGATCCAGTACCGTTTTCCCGAAATAAACGAGTAGATGTCTTTGAGAGATTACAAGGCGAGCGACCTTTGTGAGTAGTTTCGTCATTCGTCTCCTATTGGAAACGCCTCCTCTTCCAGCCCTCTCTGACACGTTGGAGAAGGTCTCGCTTTCCTGTGACTGGCGCATAGGACACGTTCTTCCCGAGCCACAGGCTCAGCTCATCCACAAGATTACGGTCCTTCTTGCACAGTCCTAGGTCCTCCAGTTGTTCTGGCACCGGTGCATTCTTGTGCGGCGAACGTTGGTCAAATTGAGTTTGTTTCGTACCTTGTGAATGATCAATACTGTATGTTGGGTATGTTCTTGATTGACTTGCATGTCGGATTTCCAAGAGGACATGCAAAGATTAAATCTTGAGCGGCAGTATGGTTTGGCGCGTGCAGGCAAAGGCTAGATCACCTGCACCTTAGTCTATTAGCCGTCGACCTGCGTTCGCACATCTCTTCTGACTGACGTCATCACGTGTCAATTTCCATACTAGCCCAATTACGGTCAAGTCACTCCAAGACCGGTCCATGCCAGATCATCAAGTAGTGAGTAACGAACGACGCTGCATTTTTCTGCTAGCAGTACAGTCATTTCAAGTGTTTCAACGTCATCAGAACACGTCAAGCTGCGTGCATCTTCCCATGGACGATCAGAATCGACGGAGACACGATTCGTGGCTTCGATGAGACTTGGCACATGGGCCCGTGCACGGCGATCAGTCTTCCCGAAGAAGCTCCGGTGGGCCGAGTGGAGTGGTGGAAGGCAGGCACTTGATGTTTACACGCCTCCCGCAAGATGAAGCGGAAACAAGTCGACAATAACGCGTCGCACGCAGGGCGCGGCCGTTTGAAGCGCGCTAAGACGCATTGCGCGGACGCCAGCGCACCTCGCCCCTCACCACCAGAAACCCGTGCCTCTACGCAGACGCCCGCCCACGCCCTCACCCAAGAATGCTTACGCAATCTGCAGGAGTCGACTGCTGAAGTCGGGAAGTTGTCGATATCGCATTGGAGAAGCTGTGTCAGCACTGGCCATCTGGAGAACATGGACGCGCCTCCGACGCCTCGCAGTGCAGGCGAGCGCCGCCATTCAAAACACCGCAGACACGCACAGAAACTGCGAACACCCAGTCCCAGCAAGAGACCAACTCCGCAAACGTATCGCACGCGGAACATGCACCACGCCCGTGTCCTGGTCGATACCTCGGTCGATCTCCCGCCCGCAATAAGCACCCGAGTGCGAGACATCCTAGGAGTTGATGGTTCAGGGCATCCAGTAGCCACACCAGAAGACGCATCACCCGTGCCTGCACTTGTTGCCGCTTCAGCTACGATGTACTGGAAAGAGTCGCAAAGAAACGCGCGCGAGTGTTCGCTGGAAGGTGATTGGAAGGCTAGTCTGTACGGGCTCGTGAGAATGATTTCCAATGTCTGGCCGGGAGACGTCAAAGTCCACACGTCTGAGAAAAGTACGCTGTCAATGACCCTTGCGAGAGTGTGAAGATTGCTTACTACATCAATCAGTCTGGCATTCCGATCTCAAGCCGACAGGCCCCTCCTTCGAAGAGTCTGTGAACGAAAACCGAAGCACTATGCCCGACTATCACACACCACAGACTGCGCTACCAGAGTCGACCTCTTCCGAAGCCGCCACCAGCGATAGCACTTTTCTTGGGTCCGTCCCGTCGCTCCCTCCTCCCTCAGTCGCACCAACCACCAGTACCGAAGCTGCAAGTCCGTATCACATATCAACACCGAAACCAGACATAACCGTTGGCCTCGCACATGGGAAATTCATGCCGAGCCACCAGCAGCGACTTGTCAACCACCAGGTGTCTGGGACACTATTGAGCGACCCGCACGTAGCAGACATGGGCATACGATTCCCCTTCTTGGTCGCCGAAGTGAAGGGCCTAAGCCTGAATGGAAGTCTAGTCAGTGCTCAGAACCAAGCTGCCATAAGCGGTGCCTCAATGCTCACTATCCTTCAAAATCTCATGTCCCAGGCACGACGCCATTCGAGCTCAGACGCTGATTCGGAGTTGCGGTTATATACAGACAATACGCTTTGTTTCTCGATTGTAACGGCAGGCCCCTTGCACGAGATATGGGTTAACTTTACAGCTGAGGGGGCCTATCACATGGAATGCCTTCAGGCATTGCGCACTACACTTGAACGCGATGCCTTACATTTTTCTTATTGTGTATATCGTATCTTGAACTGGGGTCAAGGCACGTTAAGGGATGCTATTGTAGAAAAGGTAGAAAGAATATAGCTAGGAATGTACATAGTAAAGGAGAAGTTAATAACAATTATACTATGTTTTTAACTTTTGTTTAAGACTTAAATAAATTTAAAAAAACGTTTAGGAGATGTAACTAAAATTCTATAAAGAAGAAAACTCTTAAGTACTCTTAAAAGAAGACTTAACTTATAGATTCTATACTAAATATAAACTATTAGATTACGCTAGTAAGTAAGTGCCTAGTGTTTTTTTTATATCTTTAGCTAAACTAAGTTTTAATTTTAGTATTTATAAATTCTTATAGTATATAATACTATTAGTTAAGATTTATAGTTTAATAACTTTAAAAAATGTGTTAGAGAAATAAAAGTAAAAAGGTAAAATAGTTATTTAGAATCTTATTTAACTATTATATATTTATACTATTAAATACAAAAAAAAATCTAAATAGTTCTTAAGATGTTTATTAAGTTAATAGTTTTTTTCTCTTATTAGTATTTATTACGTTTAATTCTATCTTCTATATAAGTTATTATTAAAATCAAATCTTTCTTTAGCTTTTAGTGCTTTAGTTTAATATTAGTAAGAATTACTATTATATAAAATCTACTAAAATAAATACTTCTATAACGTTACTATAAGGATATCCTAAATTATTAGTTTATTTAATTAAATTATTATCTTTTTACTATCTCTATATATCTTCTACATAATAAGCAATAATTAGTATTTCTTATATAATACTAAAACTAGTAATTAATTTATAGAGAAGTAGTCTATAAATATAGACTCTTTTAGGGTATCTATTAAACTAATAAGGGTTTTCTATTAAAAACTAATCTAAGTATTTAAGTTTAATAAAATAAAGATATAATCTAAACTAATTTAAGCTATAATAAATAGATTATATAGCTAGGATTTACTTCTTAATAATCTTTCTAGTAGGAAGATATACTAATTTACTCTTACTTTTAATCTCTCTTATATTAAAGCACCTTATAATAATCTATAAAATTATATTAAAATTATAAATACTAGAGTTATTTTAATAGAATTTTAATATACCTATAAGTATAAAATAAAAGATTAAGCAAAATTTTAAATTCTTAATAAAAAGCTTATTATTAGACTCTAAGACTAAGTAATTAGTAACTACTTTTAATCTAGTAAGTCTTGTAAGTAATCTAAAGAGTTACTACTTATTCTATAATAGTAATTGTATAGATCCTTTTAAAGCTTTATAATAGTTAAGAAACTCTCTTCTATCTATACTTTTCTATACTATCTAATAGAAACGTTTTTAATTTAAACTAAAGTAGGAACTAAAGATTCTAATACTTACTATATAGAATATCTAAAATCTTAGCTTACTTGTACGACTAAGACTATTACTTATAAGTTTAAAACTTTTTTAATTAAGATAGTAGATATAGCTTAGCTATATCTTAATTACTAAATTTACTCTCTAAACAGTATTAAAACTACATTAAAAATAGTTTTTAACTTTACTTTCTAAAAATCTTATATTAATTTAGTAATATATTAGCTTATATTATAATTCTTCTAAAAAAACATTATTTCTAAGTAACTTTTAATAAACTTCTCTAAACTAAAATATAAGATCTAAACTAGAGCTTGTATAAATATTACTAAAGTAACATATACTAAGAAAGAAGTTAAGAAAAATACTAAAAAGAATAAAACTAAGTATTTAGAGTTAGTTTCTTTCTAGAAATTAGACTTTAATTTAACTTATACTAACTACTTGTATATAAAAAGATTAGGGTAGAAGAGAATATAATTTATAGTTTTCCTAATATTATACTAATAAGAATTTCTTGTAGATAATATCTATAAATATAATCCCTTTCTTTTTGTATTTAAGTTAAGAAAGCTATAATAAATAATACTACTTACAAATAATAAAATAAGAGCGTTAATTATATTTATTATTACTTATTACACTGTTATTAGTAATATTATATAGGACAACTTTAAAAATAATTAACAATACTAGTTATTTATATAAGAGTAGACTACAAGTTATTAATTACTTCTTACTTAATAAACTATTATATTCTTGACTTGTTTTCTAGCACTAGAATAGGTAACCTTTGTTTATAACTTATAAATGTGTTTAAGAAGTTTTTAAGTAAGTTGTTTAGATTTACTAAATTAATTAATAATATTCTAAGTTATTAGGGATATAACTAGCTACCTTTACTTTTAATAATACTTTTTAACCTTACTAAAAGGGAAACTATAAGAAGTAGCGTAATATAAATTAAAGATCTAAAAAGCTTACTCTACTAAAACTATAATTAATAAGAAGAACTTAGAAGCTTTAAAAGTAATTTATATTTAAGTAAACTAATACTAATATACTTATATTAAATCTTAATCTAAGTTTCTTTATATAAATATTAAGCGTATAGATTTAGTTATTTGCTTTATTATTTATTCTTTAATTACTTTCTTAAGATTATAGATTAGTAGCTCTAGAAATCCTTGTATTAGATTTTATCTAGGAAAAATAAAATTATTAATTTTACTTAAATCTATAATCTTTTATAAACTAGGTCTTTCTATTTAGAAATTTCTTATAATATTATTTAAGGAAGCTTTTCTTTTGTAAGTGCTGTAGTTTAAAGTGTAAATTACTTAGGTCTATATTAACATAGTATTTAAGTTTATAATAATGATTAAAGGAAAAAGATAATTGTTATTAAATTTAATGTTAAATAAATCAGAATTAGTTATTTTTATTACTATATTACTAGCTAGAATACTCTTATAGAATCAAAACGATATTAGAGATAGGTATAGTAAGAAAAAAATAAATTCTTTTAAATAGAGTTAACAGTTCTATTAAGGTATTAAAGATATTCTAGAAGTTCTTAACACTTAAAATATATTTAGGTGTATAATTCTAGATCCTATTAGTAATGAAAAGTAAAGGCTATTAACTTATTTAAGATTTATATTATCTTAATATTCCTAGAAATAGTTATTAAACGTATTAAGCTAAGAATAAAGGATTATTACTATAAATAAGACCCAATACCTAAGCTTATATAATTAAGTAGGTAGTAGTAGTTATTTGTATTTATAGTAAAGAATGCTAATAAACTGTTTCTATCTATCTATTTACTTACCTATACTTATATAAGCAGGTACCCTAAAGCCTAGACTATAAATAATGTTTAGTATAGCTTTATTATTTTAGGTTTATAGCGTATTTATACTTGTAGTACAGGCAGATAAACGCAACACAGTAAGAATTTAATATAGTAACTTAGTTAGTATAGCTTTATAGAATAATATATAGCTAAGTTAAAACAATTTCCTTTAGAGCTAGTAGTTTAGAGAAATAAATCTAGAGTAATTAAAAAAGATAAATATTATAAAGATTAAAATTATATAGTTAGTAGAAGAGAATCTTCTACTACCTAGTAATAAAAAATTCTTTTTTGATTTTGTTTTTGTTTATTAGTTTAACGTATTACATACAAATAATAAAATACTATAACTATAGCTTAAGAGTTTTTGAAAATAATTTTATAAAATAGATAAGTAGAAGATTATAATTAGTTAATACTAGAGCAAAATAATGTTTTAGATATTTGTAGTAGGACTTAATAATACAAAGGTAGATAGTTTTAAAAAGAAAAAAGACTTACTAAGTTTATTAGTAACACTATCTACTTATAACATAAGTTAATTGTATAGTACTAAAATAAAGATAAATAACCTAAAGAATTCTTAGGAATAAAGACTATAATTTTATATTACTATTAAACTTTAATTGCGTACGCGTTTTTATTATAAATAAGTTCTTATTTTTATATTAACTATAGCAGCTAAGTTTAAACTAAAAGATAATCTATAAGCCCTTTACTTCTTATTACTATTACTATTACTATTAACTTTACTTCTACTTTCTAATAAGATTAGCTAGCTTTATTTCTATTCTATATTAATTCTTTACTTCTTAGGAAAGTTTTTATATCTTCTAGTTTGTTTTTATAAGTCTCTTTTTTAAAGTAGAATACTTAAAATTTCTAAAAGCCGCCTTATAAAGCCTTTTATATTAAGTAAGAATAGTAGTATTATACTATCTAGTAGTAAAGCTATTAAGTATAAAAAGCTAAGTCTTACAAAAAGCTCTATTAGTTTTATAGAACTAATTATAATAAATCTTAATTTTTACTTTATAAAGCTAAATCTTAAGTAAACTTATTAAGCTAAAGGCACGATAAGATATCTAGATCTACTTACTATAATTAGATACGATTATACTAAGTAGAAACTTCTTTATTTATTTTACTACTTTACTAAGTAATTAGAAATCTTACTAGAGATATATAAGGTACTTTACCAGTTTAAGTAATAACCTACTTTACTATTGTAATTCTTAGTTTACTTTAAAACGTAGTATATAAACTCCTAGGCTAAACTAAAAGACTTTAATTATTAATAAAGCATAGATTTAGGTAAATAGAAAGATAAAAGAAAGGAATGAATAAATAAAATATCTAATCTTAAGTTCTTAAAGGATATATAGTATTTGTAAATAGGCCTATAAATATTAAGTATTATTACTTATACATATTCTAATGCTACTCTTATAATATTATTAATTTTATTTAAGATTTGTTAGACCTTAAAGAACTTAGTTTGTATTTATAATCTTATTTATAGTTTATCTATAAACTAAATAAAAACTAATAACAACTCAGGCTCTTTAGAATACAACTTAATTAGTGTATTAAGAAGAAAATTACTAGAAGATATTCTCTCTACTTACTAATATTAACTATAAGAAAAGAGACTAGGTGTTAACTACTATATTAGTTTACTTTACGAAAGTTTTACTGTATTATATTTAGCTACTTATAAAATAAGTATATAGACGCTATAACACTAAAGTAACAACCTAAAGAATATCTTTATAGTGTTTAAGCTTAGTTAAATAAGATTAAGTTTATAAAACTAAAAGAGCTTTTTCTTATAATTACCTATTTTTTAATAGGAGGATAGCTTCTAATTAGTAGAATAAATTATTACTTATTAAAAGTAGACCTTACCTTAAGTAAGCTCTAATAGATTCTAGATTTACTACTTAATAATACAATAATAAAGAAAACTTAAATATATAACACAAAACTAAAACACTATATAATTCTTCTAGACGAGGTATATACTTTATAAATTTAATAAAAACGTTATAGAATAAATTAAAGTAATAGTAATAGTAGTTAAAATAGTAATAAGAAATTAAGAGGTAATAACTTACAATTTAATTAAACTTAAATAAAATTAGG